AGGTGATTCCAATGGAAAGATTGGACAAGAACCAATATGGAAAAGTACAGCGGGAGAGAATAGCCTCCATAAAGAAAGCAACGATAATGGAATAAGATTGTTGAGTCTGGCAGTTAGTGGTGACATGAAGATCGTGAGCACCCTTTTCCCAAGGAAAGACATCTACAAGGCAATATGGGTATCACCCGGTGGTCATACGAAAAACCAAATAGACCATGTGCTAGTTGACAGAAGACACCTTAGTCACATTACAAATGTACCAAGAGGGGCTGAATGTGGATCAGATCACTATCTGGTTTTAGTAAAGGTGGACAATAGATCTGTAAACATTGCAGTCAAGAAACTCAAAGAAAAGGATACAGTAAAGGAATTCAAGATTAAATTATCAAATAGATTTCATAGCTTGGAGGAACAAGAAGGAAATGAAGAATTTAATATTGAGGAGAGCTGGAAGTCCCTAAGAAATATGTTACCTACAAAATTTTTGCTGAGGAAGTTTGTGGGAAGAAAAAGCGCAGGAAACAGAAACCTTTGTTTGATGAAGATTGTAAATCAGTGGTAAATGAAAGGAAACAAGCTAATGAAATCTGGCTGAAACATGGAAGTGATATTGACAGGAGGAACTGTGACAACAAAGCAAAAGGAACGGTAAAGGTTCTCAGAAGGAAGAAAACACAATGGATAAATAGTCTGCTGGAAAAACAGAAGATGACAACAGCTAACAATTCAAGATATTTTTTATCAAGAAGTTAGGGGGTTCAAAAAAGAATTCAAAACTATATACATATGGTAAACAAAACAGGAAACGTAATTATGCAGCAGAAAGACCTATATATCAGAATGTACAACCTTTTGTACCCAATCAACTGTACAAATTTAAGGAATATTGTACAATTCCATATAGTTCTATACTCTTGTAGTTGCAATTCCATGGAATTGTCCTAATCCATGGAAGAAATCAAGACTGCAATAAGTGGCCTCAAAAACAATAAGGCACCAGGAGAAGATGGAGTGACAGCTGACATACTGAAAGCAGGTGGGCAGGTAATAATAGATAAAATGCATAGTTTAATCAATGAAATATGGAATAAAGAAACTATTCCCAAAGAGCGGCGAGAGGCTTTAATAGTACCCATCCGCAAAAAAGGGGACAAACAATTTAATAATAACCATAGAGGAATTTCCCTTTTAAATGTTACATACGAAGCATGGTTTTTAAGTAAGTACCATTTTTAAATTTCTCCGTTCCAGCGCTGCGATAGGCATTTTCGACATTTGCGCTGTGTATGGGCATCTATTGGTAAGCCCTAGCCGGAAATTCAAGAACAATCGGCCGTGTTTACATCTGGTTTCGAGCATTCAAAATGGTGCCGCCAATTGAGACCGCCGCTGACTGTGAAGTGTGCGCTGTAATTAGATTTTTAAGTGCTAAAAGTGTGAAAGCCATTGAAAATCATCGACAGATTAGCGAAATGTATCGCGAGAACATTATGAGTGACGGAATGGTACGCAAGTAGGTAAGGACATTTAAAGACGGTCCCACCAACGTTCATGATGAGTAACACACTGGGCGGCGTCATTACTGTCCCCGTACCTAGTGCGTTGTACCAAGGCTGCACTAGATATACAGGCCGTGCTGCTCCCCCACCACTTCAGGCGCTACGGCACAACTGAAGGCGGTCACTACCCCGCTACGCGCCGTGGTCGGTAGGCATAGCGCGGTAGGTATACTAATGAAATCGTCCACAACAATTCAAACGTTTATGATATCATTGTAAAAATTGAACAATGAAGAAGTGGTAGGTTTATTTCTTTGCAACGATTCAAAATATGGCACAGGATAGTGTAGACAAACTAGCACTACCGTTAAATAACAACAAATAAGACAAATTTTCCCTTACTTCACTGGGGGGACAAGATGTGAATTTATGTGCTACATGGGCCTACTACAACAAAAAAAGATTAAGTTACTCCACATAAATATCAATTTGAGCATAAGAATAGAAATATTGATGGAACTATTATTTTCTTAGAAATAATTGTACATAGGTGGGGCAAATTAAATCATGCTTTCAAGGGAGTGAAGATTGTCAAGCAATAACAACTGTTGATCGTGAGAATTGTCATATTTTTAAGATAATGTTTTGTCTGGTTAGAGAAATGGAACAGTGTGGTGGTACGAGGATAACCAGTAAATAATAACAAATACCCCCGCCGCAGCAAACCTGCAGACTAAGCGAATTTCCATTTATCAGGCTGGATTTCTACTAAAATATTATCTTAAAATTTTCAGATTTATTTCCTTTTTAAAAAACATTAATTTTAATGAGTACTTATATTTGCTGATACAGGGCAGGTATTGAGGTGTTTTTTTAAGTGTTGATAGCTTAGGATGAAATAAACGAAATTGTCAAATTTGATTAAAACATATCCATAAGCAAGCAAATTACAACAGTTTATTTATTCTCATTTTCTTTATTATTATCTCCGTAACCATTAGGCATACAACAACGCTTCAATATGCAAAATTCTTTCTTTTGTTAATATCTACAAAATGGTTTGGAAAGAAATTGTGAAATTTTGTGTTTTTATTGTTGAAAATGGGAAAAACAAATTTTTACTGAATAACACCCCCCATAAACCTCTGTTTCCATAGTCCGATCATGCTGGTTCACGAACTTATTCAAATAAATGTACGTTTACACGTTTGTACCAAATTTCATCAAAATCGGATCAGTTTTGCTCGAGTTATCGTGCTATTAGACACACACACATATATAAATTGAACGGAATTTGAACGGAGGGTGTTTAATGTAGCTGTTGTAAATCTAAATTTGTGTTAAGTGATAAGCAAACACTCCTCAACTCACTTTCTTATTATTTTACCGTGATAGATAGTTGAAATTTACAATATCCCTTTAAGCGTATAGTAAATAATGCGTTGATTACTAAAGGTATTTAAGGTTATGATTGGTGAAATATATGGAAATGCCTTCTTAAGATGTAAAAGTCTGAGAAAGGTAGGCCTACTCATGTTAGTAATGTATCATGTTCTCGACAACACAAATCTTGAGGTGTGCCTTTCTTGTGGTAGGGATCTAAAGCTATTGTTAAAAGAATGCTTATTTACATTCTCTAATATTTTATTAAATAATAATCATTAGTAAAATGAACAAATAACGGATAATTGAGGAAGGAAAGGAACATACAAAAAAGCGAAAGCTATAGATAAGCTTTCTTACAATATAGAAGACTCTTTGGTACTGTTTAAATACAAGTTACAACACTGAAAACAGTATTTTTTTCTAATCCTCATTTTGTATATTTAACCATACGATAGCAGTTTAATAAATAGTAGGACGTATCCAATAGTGAAAACAATTATATAAAAACGTCTGCTTGAAATAAATAGTAGCCTAAATGGTAAATGTCTGAATAAATAATAAATAAATAAATACTTTATTTTCTTGACAATATACATTGTATTGACAGTACAATTAATTAGTTTTTAACTTCGGTTTAGTATTTAATTAACCATGCACAAACAATTTTAAACGCGTAATAAACTAGCTAATCACTACGCTACACTAATATAGAACATTACTACAAAATTTCATTACATTACGACTTCATTTAATGGTTAAAATCACGGTGGGAACTAACTGCAGTCGTAAAAACGTATAAGCGCCTGTGTGTGAAGCGGCCGCGGGACCGCCTACAGTTGTGACATCACACAAGTAGCAGCACGGCCTGTATGTCTAGTGCGGCCTTGGTTGTACCGGATAAGCTTATAAAGATAATAACCATGTGTGTATCAAACTCACGTTGTAAAGTAAAGATAGATGGAGAAACCACAACTGAGTTTTATGTATGGATGGACTACCCCCCCCCCCCCCCTCCTGTTCAATATTGCTCTAGAGGAAGCCCTAAAGCAGTAAAAAATTCACCCGTAGGACTAAAACTAGGGTCAAATATTAATATATTGGCTTTTGCGGATGACATAGTACTGATGACAGAAAAGGAAGATGATCTAAGGGTTTTGACAGAGATATTAATTAATAAAAATGAATACCGTATGTAAGATAAACCATGTGAAAACCAAATTTATGAGAGTAGCAAGGGAAGAAGATGGAAATAATGCTAATTTTCTCAAAATAAAGAACCACGAATTCCAAAGAGTTAATAATTTCTGATATCTAGGTGTTGTACTATCTGACAGAAATACAGAAGACATAGAAATTCAGAATAGGATAAATTCAGCAAATAAAAGTTGGTATGCATGTGGAAAACTAATTAAATCAAAGTTGTTATCAAGAAAAACAAAATTTAGAATCTACAAAACAATAATTAGAACAGTACTTTTATATGAAGGGGAAATTTGGATCCTGAGCAAAAACATGGAAAAGGAGATTATAACCTTTGAGAATAAAGTTCTAAGAACTATATATGGTCCAGTATGTGAAGATGGAGAATCCGCCACAACCAAGAGTTAAGAGAATCATACAGAGACCCCGATTTTGTATGAGAGGCCAAAAGCTGAAGGCTAGAAGGGTTGGCCATATCTTGAGTAGAAATGAGGAGAGCATGTTGAAGAAGGTCCTAAGGGGAGATCCGAGGGAAAGGAGACCAGTAGAAAGACCAAAGGCTAGGTGGTGGGATCAAGTCCGGAAGGATATGGAAAAGATGAGACTAGTAGAGGAAGATTTGGAGGACCGAGAGAACTGGCGACAACGTGTTGGCGAGACCAAGTACCAGCTTGGGTACAAGTAGCCATGGCATTAAGCAGTAAGCAGTATATATACACTACACACATGTCATGTACGATTTAACTTTTTGAAGCATTCATCCTTCCACAAAGAAGAACATTGTTCTTTTAACTTATATTGTGAATTAAAGTGGAAGTGTAATAGTTTTAGCAATTCAATTGATATTAATTTAACTTGATAATGTAATTAACAATTATTTCTAAGGGTGATGAGATTATACAATAAATTAAATACCTCTTGAGATGAAAAATTTCCACCGTATTTGTGATCAGGAGGACCACTGTTGTTCCAAGGATTTATTACATAATACCTGAAGTTGACAGACAGAACAGAATTAACTGACATTTTATCCACATAATTGTAAGTTATCAGATGCACATTATAATATATCTGGCACGGTACTAATTAGCCAGCCAAATCATCAGTCATCATTAGTCCTTAGTATTGTTCTAAATTAAAAGGAATGAATACTATCGGAACTCAACAAATAAACTGCATCTCATTATAGGAATACATAAAGGGCACAAGAGTATCATGAAATAATGGAAAACGTGTGGTAACAGCTAGTTAGAACTAAAGATAAGTCAGAGAAAACATGTGGCAGGCTCAATTAGAACTTAACAGCTCAAAACCTGCATCCCAACTACCAGCGACTTTGTTTATACATAATATGAAAAGTTTCAATATTTACTTTTTGTCAGTTTAAAGAGTCAATGTCTGGTGTATGTTTGGATTCAAAGGGCAAAAGTGTCTTCAATTTGACAGTTTAAAATAAAGTAGGACTATTGACTTAAAGTTTTCAGGCCTCTAATTTGAGAAAAAAAACATAAAATCAATTTTACAAGTAGTTGGCCTGTACTTATGTTATTACGCATTAAATATTATACTAGCTGTGTGGCCATTCTACGCACGCGTATCTTATCGTAGTCAGTTGAAACCTTCTTATATTAAGAACAGCAGTTGGTTAGCATATTTTCAGATATGCTGGCAAAACTATTATATATAAACATACAGTACGGTATCTGACAGTTTCAAGCCAAAACAAATGCTTCGCAATTAAATGTCACCCGGATCGTGTTGGTCCATATGTTAAATCCAATGATAAAACCAAAAAAATGCTTCATAGATCTATGAGGCATAGCCCTAAGGTAGGCATTTAATTAAAGTTACTTTCCACAATGGTTAAAAGTATTTAAGGTACTACCTCAACCTCACAATTTCAATTTAACACTTTATTCGGGTTGACATTTTCATTATCAAGGTGCTCTTGTCCTTTCCTTGAAATACTGAGAAATAAGGACATTAATGCGTTACCAACATTACACACTATATATTATATGTATAATTTAAGAACATGCTTGTAATTTTAAAAATATAAGAATGAAGGGGCTAGTTTTTAGTGGACAGGGCACTTGGCTTGGGAAAACATTAAGCAGGAAGAAATGAATACAAAACTAACTTAAGATGGGTTTTCCTATGCACAGAAGCGGAATGTGGAAGCCGGAGAGGCGATTTTAATGGTGTTCCGCTTCGCTTCTAGGACAACAGTATTATTAAATTACCTAAGACAATAGGAGAGCGGGCTGCGCATGCAATCCGTGTTCCGCTTCCGTGCCTAGGAAAATCCAGCTTTATCCAAGAAAAGAGTTCCAAGCAGTTGACAGAACACAAATACCGGTAGCTTACAACACAATTAATTTTATAATTTGTCCCAAAAAGAGGAATTTCTTCAGAACATAGTAGAATGGCAGTTACTAACCTGCTGTAAACTTCCAGTCTTTCCTTGGGTAAGTTAGTCGTTTATTCATCAATATCAATTATAAAACTTATTTAAGTACTTACGAAAAATTGTACTTTTTGGAAATCAAATTGAGCATTTCAAACACAACTCCTTTGTATTCAGTTGGATGTCCACTTTGGTTGTATTGTATTATCTGCCATGGTGGATACTGGAACAAAGTAACATTGTAAGTGTGTTTGATCATGGTAAGGAAACACAATACTGTACAATATAATATTCCTTTATTTTAATCGTAAATGTAATTGTAATGGGGAGCGAGCTGGTCTAGTGGTTAGAGCGCGGGACTCCGGTTCCTGGGGTCCTGGGTTCAAATCCCGCCAAATCACCAATGGATTTTATCCAAGTGATAATGCCGTAACCCCTAGGTCTAGCCTGAAGTAATGTGAAAAACAATTTCGAACTCGTGCCTAGCGTCCTAGAAAAAAAGAAAAATTGTAATTGTAAACAAAGATGGTGTATTTCTTTAAATCTTGGTGCAGTTTGCTTCCTCTTAGGTATTTCATGCAGCCTGAAGGTAAGTGAGGAGTTCTCAGGCTGCAGCCAGCGTAGAAGGATTTTTTTCTCCCACAGAGCAATCCAAAGCAACGTTAGGGCTTAACTAAATCTATGTCCAAAGTTGTAGGGATGGGGGTTCAGAGCTTTAATTATGATATGTGATAAAATCGCTTCACCTAAACAATGAAGTAAGCGAATTTCAGAAATAAAATTTTAAAAAGAAAAATGTGAACTATACATAAGTGTAACATAATAAAAACTATTGTTGGTCTATTATGTTTCAATATTAATCATTAGTTTACATTCTAGAACGCTATTATTATTACTGTTGACACCCAGGCACGGATTTACATATCTCCCACCTGAAGATTACATCACTACTTTGGCCAATTCAGATCCCGTTATTGGTCGCCATACCTGCAATTCAGCCACTGCTCCTGTGTGTTGCAATAGAACCCATGCCCTATTGCTACCCAAGTACGTATAGTTGCCTACCAACATTTTTACATCGATTCTTGGTACTAGTACTTTCCTCAAGAACCCTTTATTACAAAAATCCACACAAGAGCCTTAAGTACTTGATATATGACTAATTACTAGGTACTTGTTTAGTTTTTGTTCATTCAATAAATGTGTCACAGCATGTTATGATCAGTTTGATTTTTTTTTCTAAAATATATTAGCTAATTTTAATCAACATACACTTACATTAAAAGAGGCAACAGGTAAGCTCATCTTTCGAAAGCCGTACTTTGCATGAGGGAACAGATGGTCAGTGAGAGCACAGCCTTCCCGAGGGTTCCAGTAGCCAATGTCCAGTAGATGGTCAGGTGGGGACGAATTGAGGAACTCTTGACCCCACAACTCAGCAGTCAGAGCTCTCCACACAGTACAGTTGTCACAGATCACCTCCGTCTTGGAACGCTTCTACAAACAGATGGTCAGTGAGAGCACAGCCTTCCCGAGGGTTCCAGTAGCCAATGTCCAGTAGATGGTCAGGTGGGGACGAATTGAGGAACTCTTGACCCCACAACTCAGCAGTCAGAGCTCTCCACACAGTACAGTTGTCACAGATCACCTCCGTCTTGGAACGCTTCTACAAACAGATGGTCAGTGAGAGCACAGCCTTCCCGGGGGTTCCAGTAGCCAATGTCCAGTAGATGGTCAGGTGGGGACGAATTGAGGAACTCTTGACCCCACAACTCAGCAGTCAGAGCTCTCCACACAGTACAGTTGTCACAGATCACCTCCGTCTTGGAACGCTTCTACAAACAGATGGTCAGTGAGAGCACAGCCTTCCCGAGGGTTCCAGTAGCCAATGTCCAGTAGATGGTCAGGTGGGGACGAATTGAGGAACTCTTGACCCCACAACTCTGCAGTCAGAGCTCTCCACACAGTACAGTTGTCACAGATCACCTCCGTCTTGGAACGCTTCTACAAACAGATGGTCAGTGAGAGCACAGCCTTCCCGAGGGTTCCAGTAGCCAATGTCCAGTAGATGGTCAGGTGGGGACGAATTGAGGAACTCTTGACCCCACAACTCAGCAGTCAGAGCTCTCCACACAGTACAGTTGTCACAGATCACCTCCGTCTTGGAACGCTTCTACAAACAGATGGTCAGTGAGAGCACAGCCTTCCCGGGGGTTCCAGTAGCCAATGTCCAGTAGATGGTCAGGTGGGGACGAATTGAGGAACTCTTGACCCCACAACTCAGCAGTCAGAGCTCTCCACACAGTACAGTTGTCACAGATCACCTCCGTCTTGGAACGCTTCTACAAACAGATGGTCAGTGAGAGCACAGCCTTCCCGAGGGTTCCAGTAGCCAATGTCCAGTAGATGGTCAGGTGGGGACGAATTGAGGAACTCTTGACCCCACAACTCTGCAGTTAGAGCTCTCCACACAGTACAGTTGTCACAGATCACCTCCGTCTTGGAACGCTTCTACAAACAGAAGGTCAGTGAGAGCACAGCCTTCCCGAGGGTTCCAGTAGCCAATGTCCAGTAGATGGTCAGGTGGGGACGAATTGAGGAACTCTTGACCCCACAACTCTGCAGTTAGAGCTCTCCACACAGTACAGTTGTCACAGATCACCTCCGTCTTGGAACGCTTCTACAAACAGATGGTCAGTGAGAGCACAGCCTTCCCGAGGGTTCCAGTAGCCAATGTCCAGTAGATGGTCAGGTGGGGACGAATTGAGGAACTCTTGACCCCACAACTCAGCAGTCAGAGCTCTCCACACAGTACAGTTGTCACAGATCACCTCCGTCTTGGAACGCTTCTACAAACAGATGGTCAGTGAGAGCACAGCCTTCCCGAGGGTTCCAGTAGCCAATGTCTAGTAGATGGTCAGGTGGGGACGAATTGAGGAACTCTTGACCCCACAACTCAGCAGTCAGAGCTCTCCACACAGTACAGTTGTCACAGATCACCTCCGTCTTGGAACGCTTCTACAAACAGATGGTCAGTGAGAGCACAGCCTTCCCGGGGGTTCCAGTAGCCAATGTCCAGTAGATGGTCAGGTGGGGACGAATTGAGGAACTCTTGACCCCACAACTCAGCAGTCAGAGCTCTCCACACAGTACAGTTGTCACAGATCACCTCCGTCTTGGAACGCTTCTACAAACAGATGGTCAGTGAGAGCACAGCCTTCCCGAGGGTTCCAGTAGCCAATGTCCAGTAGATGGTCAGGTGGGGACGAATTGAGGAACTCTTGACCCCACAACTCTGCAGTCAGAGCTCTCCACACAGTACAGTTGTCACAGATCACCTCCGTCTTGGAACGCTTCTACAAACAGATGGTCAGTGAGAGCACAGCCTTCCCGAGGGTTCCAGTAGCCAATGTCCAGTAGATGGTCAGGTGGGGACGAATTGAGGAACTCTTGACCCCACAACTCAGCAGTCAGAGCTCTCCACACAGTACAGTTGTCACAGATCACCTCCGTCTTGGAACGCTTCTACAAACAGATGGTCAGTGAGAGCACAGCCTTCCCGGGGGTTCCAGTAGCCAATGTCCAGTAGATGGTCAGGTGGGGACGAATTGAGGAACTCTTGACCCCACAACTCAGCAGTCAGAGCTCTCCACACAGTACAGTTGTCACAGATCACCTCCGTCTTGGAACGCTTCTACAAACAGATGGTCAGTGAGAGCACAGCCTTCCCGAGGGTTCCAGTAGCCAATGTCCAGTAGATGGTCAGGTGGGGACGAATTGAGGAACTCTTGACCCCACAACTCTGCAGTTAGAGCTCTCCACACAGTACAGTTGTCACAGATCACCTCCGTCTTGGAACGCTTCTACAAACAGAAGGTCAGTGAGAGCACAGCCTTCCCGAGGGTTCCAGTAGCCAATGTCCAGTAGATGGTCAGGTGGGGACGAATTGAGGAACTCTTGACCCCACAACTCTGCAGTTAGAGCTCTCCACACAGTACAGTTGTCACAGATCACCTCCGTCTTGGAACGCTTCTACAAACAGATGGTCAGTGAGAGCACAGCCTTCCCGAGGGTTCCAGTAGCCAATGTCCAGTAGATGGTCAGGTGGGGACGAATTGAGGAACTCTTGACCCCACAACTCTGCAGTTAGAGCTCTCCACACAGTACAGTTGTCACAGATCACCTCCGTCTTGGAACGCTTCTACAAACAGATGGTCAGTGAGAGCACAGCCTTCCCGAGGGTTCCAGTAGCCAATGTCCAGTAGATGGTCAGGTGGGGACGAATTGAGGAACTCTTGACCCCACAACTCAGCAGTCAGAGCTCTCCACACAGTACAGTTGTCACAGATCACCTCCGTCTTGGAACGCTTCTACAAAAAGAAGGTCAGTGAGAGCACAGCCTTCCCGGGGGTTCCAGTAGCCAATGTCCAGTAGATGGTCAGGTGGGGACGAATTGAGGAACTCTTGACCCCACAACTCAGCAGTCAGAGCTCTCCACACAGTACAGTTGTCACAGGTCACCTCCGTCTTGGAACGCTTCTACAAAAAGAAGGTCAGTGAGAGCACAGCCTTCCCGGGGGTTCCAGTAGCCAATGTCCAGTAGATGGTCAGGTGGGGACGAATTGAGGAACTCTTGACCCCACAACTCAGCAGTCAGAGCTCTCCACACAGTACAGTTGTCACAGATCACCTCCGTCTTGGAACGCTTCTACAAACAGATGGACAGTGAGAGCACAGCCTTCCCGGGGGTACCAGTAGCCAATGTCCCGTAGATGGTTGAACTAGTATTTTCTTTATCACTTATTAGACTAAATTACTGAGCTTAGTCAGTAACAACACTATCATATAGTTTATTCACTACTCATCCTTCACTCATATTTCCTAAAATATACACAATGTTGTCAGCTAGCTCAGATATATTCAAAATTTAATCTGTGCAGATTTTGACAGCGTCTTAAGGATAAAGACAGGTTTAGGCTTGATTAAATTATGTAGTAAGACATTTAATTAATTATTATCAATGTGGTTAAACATTTTAGACCCATTCTAAATAATTTTACCTGGGTCCGTTTTTTTAAGTAACCGTTTCAGTTCAGTACTTAGAATTGAAAATTTTCACATAACAGCATTGTTTACTTACATAACAGCATAGTTTTACTTAACAACACATCTAACGGACCAATGAGGTTCAAGGATTAAGAGAGAGGAAGTAAAATTCTAATGCTTTGAACTTCAGCTAATCAGCTACGGTATTTACCAATTTAATTGTTAACGATTAGTGCAATTAGTGATCGGTACAATGAGTCGGTGCATCAATGTCAGTGGCAATGAGAGGTTATAAAGGATAACATAACCTCTCTTAGAAGTTTTAAAAAGTGATTATTAGTGATTAAAAACCGGTTGTAGGTAAAGTAGTGTACCCAATTCTCGTAAATAGTGTTAACGACACAATGATAAAGCTTCATAAATTATATTTATTTATTGGTACTGAACACTGGTTTTTAATAGAACTCACCATAAAAACTCCAAAACTAACATAAACACAACAAACAATAATAATAATAAATATTACATCATCTGATTTGTCACATGTCACATGTCCTTTTTTTTCAATTTCAATCTTTTTTCTTTTCCATTTTAAATTGTCTCAGTTGGCACCGGTTTCTTCTGAAAACTGCTCCGCTGTCCATTTGTACAAAATAGGAATTCGGGCTTTTGTGTTTCTTGACAACTTTTCCTTTTGCCCATTCTCGAGTTCCCTTTTGGACATAAACTTCTTCGCCCTCCTTTAATTCTGGAAGTAGATGAGCCGATCTGTCATAATATGTTTTTTGTTTTTCTTGGGCTTGCTTCAAATTTAGAACTGTTTCATTGGTAGGGAAGAGTGGTTTCATGGAATCTTTAGTAGCAGGAAGAACAGTCTTTAGTAGTCTTCCCATTAGCATTTGAGCAGGTGCTCTGAGATTAGCTTTAGGAGTACAGTTGAACCTCGTTTGTACGAACCTCGATAAACCGAATTCCTCGATAAGACGAATTTTTCTTAATCCCCTTGACACTTTCATATAGGTCAATGCTAAAAACGCCTCTATACAACGTAGTAATTAAGTTAAAAACCTCCATAAGACGAATTTGTTTGTGACATGGACTAGGACTGATTAACCTCTATACAACGAATATTCTTAGCACAAAACCTCTACAAGACGAACGTGACCTCTATAAGACGAATTTATCATAATCTTAACCTCCATAGTACGTAGTTTGTACTCCAAACAGAAGCTTGTCTCAACATGAAACCCCCACCCATCCCTCCTCCTTCCTCAGTCATTGTTTTTGGAGAAACCTTGGAGCGAGGAGAAACCTCTATAAGAAGAATAACAGCAGCATTAAACCTCGATAAAACGACCCTCTTTATTAAGAATACCTCTATAGTACGAATTTTTCCCGTACCCCTTGAAATTCGTCTTATAGAGGTTCAACTGTATTATTGTAATCGATTATGGCCAGGTTTGGATCTCCCTTGGTCTTTAGCGTTTTAGACAGCATTGACTTTAAAGTTTGTATAGCCCTCTCCACCATCCCGTTAGATTTTGGGTAGTACGGAGACGAAGTTATATGCTCAATTTTATACCTTTCTGTGAACGTGGAAAACTTGTGGCTATCGAACGGAGGGCCATTATCGGAGTGTAATTTCTTAGGCAGGCCATGAGATCTAAATATCTGTGTCAATCCTGCAGTTACTGAATCAGCTGTTGTTGTACTCATCTTCTTTACTTCCACAAATTTGGAATGATAGTCAATCACTAGCATGTGATTGGTATTGTTAATTTTGAAGAAATCAACTCCAATTTCTTCCCATGGGATTTCTGGCACTGGATATGGTTTAAGAGGTTCTTTTGGGTTTGATCTTTGGTATTCCTGGCATGTTGTACATTGGTCTACTGTGTTTTTTATGTCTCTCATCATTCCTGGCCAGTACCAAGCCATCTGTGCTCTGTTTTGGCACGAATTAATTCCTTGGTGTGAAGCGTGTAGTTGCCTCAGCATGTCGGGTCGCAGCTCACTCGGAATAACAAGTCGGTCTTCCATATATATCAGATCATCGTATAAATGTAATTGATACCTTTTTTCCCAAAAAGGGTGAGCTTTGTCATCACAATTTTGTTTGTGTTCAGGCCATCCATGTTCTATGTAAAAACGTACTTGCTTTAGTGCGGCATCCCTTTCTGTAGCATATTTATGTCTATTTACTACATCGTCATTAGCAAAAACTGCCAGGGAGTAAACTACCTCAGCTCCGTTGTCCAGATAACTTGTGTTTAAATGTTCATCTATTGGAGCTCTCGACAGGGAGTCTGCAATGAACATTTTTTTTCCCGGTACGTGAACTAATTTAAAATTGTATCTCATCAGTTCCATCATCATTCTCTGAAGCCGTGGTGATAGACTTGCTATAGGTTTGTTTAAAAGACCAAGTAGAGGTTTGTGATCTGTCTCTATTGTGAAGTCTGTTTCATATAGGTAATAGTGGAACTTTTTACAACCATTTACTACTGCCAGAAGCTCTTTTTCAATCTGGCTGTACCTTTGCTGAGTTGCTGTTAAAGCTGAAGCGAAAGCTGACTTGTTTTTGCTCATCAGTAATCGTAGTGGTCCTGTTTTATCAGATAGATTATCAATGAACCTTCCTACATATGTAATCATTCCCAAAAATCTTTGGAGGTCATTTTTATCCCTAGGGCTCGGGTAGTCCTGAATAGCCTTCAGTTTGCATTCGGTTATTGAAATACCTTGTGGAGTAAGTTTGTGACCTAGATATTGGACACTTTCACGGCCAATCTGGCTTTTTTCTTTAGACAGCTTAAGTCCAAAATATCTTGCCTTTTCTAAGAAAGCAGCCAGTCTTTCATCATGTTCTTCTTTTGAGTTACCAAACACTAGGACGTCATCTATGTATGCACTCACTCCCTCCAATCCACAGGTTACATGGTCCATTGCTTTTTGGAAAATCTCTGGGGAACTATTCAATCCGAAAGGTAGTCTACAATAACTAAATCGGCCAAAAGGAGTAGCAATGGTGCATAACCGAGAACTATTCTCTGATAACGGTATCTGTAGAAATGCTGAAGAAGCATCCAGTACACTGAAGTATCTTGCACCATCCAACTGTGAGAAAATTTCTTGGAGCGTCGCCATTTTGTAGTGTTCCCTTTTTATATATTTATTAAGAGTTCTTGGATCAATACAAATTCTAACTTTACCATTTGGCTTCTTTGCTATTACAATCGGATGTACCCAATCAGTAGGTTCGCTTACCTCTCTTAAAATACCGTCTTTGACCATTTTATTTATCTCTTCCCTAACTGTATCATTTAAAGCTTTAGGGATAGCTCTGGCAGGAATAACTTTAGGAACTGCGGTATCTTCAAGTTTTATATCATAAACGAATGGTAATTTTCCTAGCTCATCACCAAATACATCATAAAACCTATCGTACACACTTTCACTTGGTTTAGTTATTTCATTTACTCTAGAAATGAGATTCAGTTCTTGGCATGTTTTAAGCCCTAATATGGGACAGGCATCTTCATTCACAATGTAGAATTCTGCTAAAAAATTTCTTTTAGAACCCCCCAGTGTACAATTTAGAAGGCAAGTACCTACAACTTTGATGTCATGCCCACTATAAGACTTGAGGCGTTTACCTGGAGTCGTCATGTTAGCGTCAGGAGCTATTTGTTGATAAAGCTTGTAAGGAATAACATTGACGTCGGCGCCAGTATCGAGCTTAAAAGATATGTCAACCCCATTTACGGTAATATTCTGACACCAACTATGTTTTGAGTCTACAGTGTTGACAACAATAGTTTCAATACTTAAGTCCTGACTCTCGCCACTAATTCCCACTTCATTAGGTTCAATGTCCTCATTAGATTCAATGTTATGAATGTTTTGGGCCTTACAGGCGTTTGCAAAGTGATTAAATTTCTTGCATTTTATACATTTCTTTCCCCAAGCAGGACAATTTCTGTAATTGTGAGTTTTTAAACATTTAGAGCAGACTTTAACTTGTCTTTTATTTGTAATGTTACTCGAATTTGGTAAAGTAATGTTATGAATTTTAGATCCTACATTAGTTGTTTCGTCAAGTTGTGAATCAAGTTTCATTAGTTGCACTTGTTTTTTACTCTCCTCCCTAGCCGTGCAGTAGTGAATTGCTTTATCAAGTTTCAAATCACTCGTCATCAACAACCTTTCTTTACACGCTTCATCTTTAGTCCCTATTATCAATAGATCTCTTACAAGGCTTTCTTCCTGATCCCCGAACTGACATTTTTTTGCCTGATTTTTTAGACTAGTTACAAATGACTGAACTGATTCGTCGGACTTTTGCCTGAGGTTAAAGAAAGTATACCTATTAATAACAGTGTTTACTTTAGGCTCTAAGTATTTGTCAAAACATTTAATTACAGTGTCTAAATTGTCTTTTTCCCCATCATCCAATTCAAAGGTGTTGAAAATGTCTAGGCAACCATCCCCCATTAAACATAGCAGTAAAGCAACTTTGATTTTCCCCGACTTTTTAGATTTTTCAGTTGCTTCCAGGTACAACAGAAATTTTTGCTTGAACTTAGTCCATTCATTTAATGTGTTGCTATTTAAATCAATAGCTGACGGAGGTTTTAAAAGGTCCATTATTCTATTTAAGTTTGTATATTACCTTTACCGCTGCCACCAATGATAAAGCTTCATAAATTATATTTATTTACTAGCTGTGTACCCGTTCTACGCACGGGGATCTTATAATATTCAGTTGAAACCTTCTTATATAACGAACAGCAGTTGGTTTGCATATTTTAAGATATGCTGGCCAAACTATTATACATAGCTTCATTTTATGTTGTTTTTTGTTGTTCCGGATCGGTATGACAATCAATAAAAGGTTAAATTACCTCTGTGTCTGCCGGTCGATCCTATAACGGTAGGCTTACTTTTATTTTTACTATCTGATCTCGTTTGCATGGCTCAATCACGTCCTGGTTGAAGTTCGTTCGCTACGCTCACTCACCTGTATGTTGGAGCTCGTTCGCTGCGCTCACTTTCCTTCAGGTTAGCTCGTTCGCTACGCTCACTTGCCTTCAGGTTAGCTCGTTCGCTACGCTCACTCGCCTCCAGGTTGCAAATTAGCTGTTGTCATAAATGTAAAAGAAATAATAGTGCTAGTGCTGCACCCTGTTGGTAATCCTTGTAACTTTAATGCTATTGAAAACATCACAGAACAGAACCAACTTGTTTAATTGAAACAGCTGTTAAGATTCAATAATTTCATTTCTCATAAGGTTAACATGGGCTTCCAGAAATTCCACGTCAAAAATCGACAAAAACTTGATTTTCAAGGGTTTACTGTTAAATATCTAACTGTCTCATATTCGATGAAATACGTCTAAAACCATCTCATATATGTATAGTATTTGGAAAATAAGTTTCAGGCGGGACAGTGCTATAGTTATTGAGGAGTAGTTGTAATAAAGTGCGTATTTTAGCGTTACCAAGAGAATGACAGATAGACAGACAGACAGACAGACAGACAGACAGACAGAAATTGAGATAAGGTTTGATTCGGTTTCTCTGACCTATGAAATGTAAAAATAACCAAAAAGTTCATTATTCTAAGCAATGTACAGACAAAACTCTAATTTTATTTATATAGATTGGTACTGCCCTTATGAAAAAGTTTATATATGGCCATATAAAATTTTTTTATCCGGTTATATTTGGTTTTGGACCAAATACAACCAGATATGATCATATATGGAATCCCCCAGATATGATCATATATGGAATCCTCCATATATGGAATTTTTTAATAAAAAATATATAAATAAATAAAAAAATAACAATTAAACATATTTTTACCTTAAATGGTATATACTATAAATTAAAACTATAATAAAAATTTTAAATTCAAAAATTTCAAAACAAAATTTTTAAGCATCTGACTGGGAATTGAACCCGGGACTCCGGCGTGAGAGTCTGCCCCCTTAGCCACTACACCACGATAGCTTCATATTATGTGGATGATCAAAACCCATTACGAATAAGAGAAGCTGTATTTGGTCTCGTAAAACAAGATATTTCTTAGACATTTTATGTCATTTGAAGAATGTTATTATTAATATAGCCTAACTACGTGACATTGATATTTGAGGCTGTTTGATAGCAAAGGTACAATTAATTAATTATTAATATAATATTCTCCTTATTTAGGCCTACTACACTTACAATTTTAAAATTATACGTCAGTTTTAAGATTTTGTTGCGTTATAATAAAATTGTACAATAGATGTATGTACAGGATTTTGTCATCAGGGTTCAAATCTGGATATTTTATTTCTTTACTAATAATTACTTTAAAGGAGAATTGCCTATATTATCTGCCCCCTTACTGTACCACATATCAACTCAATCAGTTAAGTAGTTTGTGCTTGGAGAGCAACAAGAAAATACACAAACTGATAAACTTTAGATTTTTAATATTATAAGAAGTGTTTGGGAGTTTGAGAGTTACATAATCCTAAAGTGGCAACAATCCCTTATAATAATTCCAGTTATTGTCAAAAACTCATTTATAGATGAGCATAAATGGAAAATTATTATTCCATATATGAGTAATTTAATTTCATACCTGGGAGTCATATATGACCATATATAGACCATAATTCCATATATGGAGGATATTTATGGCCATATATGGGCAATATTTTCATATATAAAAAACATGTATGGCCATATATGAACAATAATTTCATATGTAGAAAACATGTATGGCCATATATGGGCAATAATTTCATATATAGAAAACATGTATGGCCATATATGAACAATTATTTCATATATAGAAAACATGTATGGCCATATATGAACAATTATTTCATATATAGAAAACATGTATGGCCATATAAGAACAATTATTTCATATATCGAAAACATGTATGGCCATATATGAACAATAATTCCATATATATACTACATATATGGCCATATATGGACACCACCATATATGGATACAACCACATCTGGCCATATATGCTTCCATATATGCTCATCAAAACCCATATATGGCTTTATAAAACCATATATGGAATTTTGATATGGCCATATATGGCCAGAAATTACTTTTTTATAGGGGTGAACACTGGTTTTTAATAGAACTCACCATAAAAACTCCAAAACTAACATAAACACAACAAACAATAATAATAATAAATATTACATCATCTGATTTAAGACAGAATAAATGTCACATGTCACAGACACTAGTAGAGGTTTTTAAGCTTTTTTAGGCTCTTTTAGGTAACTTAAATTTTCTACTCGGGTTATTAACACTATCTTTGGGTACCTATAAACTACCATAGTCTGTGTTCTTATCTTTACCATTACGATGGTTTTAGCTTTTAAAATTTTAAAAACTCAAATGAATGACACTGTTATCTGACCAGAATGAACTGCAACAGGCTGTTCTTGCGCTCTGTGCGGGTTGGTTTGATCTGTTCCCACTCCTCCTCTGACACCTTCTTGGACTTGTCAAGCTCAGCCTGAGTCCCAATGTCCAGTCCCATGACCAAACTCTGCATCAGACCCTCCAAGTGACAAGCGAGGCCATTCTACCAAAGATAATCCACTCAATATACCACACTAGTTCTCCAATTAAAACTAACTTAAGTGTCTGCAATTACTTTGATTTTATGATTTTAGCTGATAAAAACCGCTGTGGGCCTAATTTTACTATCACAAAATTGTTCACAGAAGATCTGTAAAACAGGAAGGTAAAATGTTTGTGAGATTTTTCTTTCATGAAGTCTTTAGTAATAACGATAGGAATAAATACAGGCTGCACTTTCCTGTGGGTATTTTTCTTGCTTTGTGATTAGCATGTTTTGAAAGTGTAACCTGTACACTTCTGATTGCCAAAATAAATTAATCAATCAAATTTCCTTTATTTAAAAAAAAAATGTTTGGTTTGGAGCATGAAATAGTGTTACCTGTATGCTTACAGAGCAAGAAACTAAATATCTTTGGTATTCAATTTGTAATGGATTCTTTTACTGTGACAAAATAAAATTGTTAGGTTGCACAATTGTTTCTAAATACTTACTTGGCATCTGCGGTGAGATGTTGAACTGTTGTACAGAAATGCAACATTCCCACCCTCCTGAAGATGTCCGGCAAACTCATGCAAGTGGTTGGTAGAGATCTTGTGAGGAATCACAAATAACCACTGACACGTTGGTTTCATTAAATTCAGTTGTTTGATCTGGAAACAATCTTATTTAATTCTCACAGATGAATAAATTACTTCATTAAATTCTTTCTAATGATTTATATCTCATGGTTTTATGCTGGATATATATTTATTAAACTGGATGTTTTATGGCTTAAATTGCTGTTTGACCCAGACATATTTTATATTTACACAGATGAAAAAAACCTTATTATTTGGAGGTCCACGCACCAATTCACATTCCCAAGTTGAAAAATCGGCCATCTCACTTAAATTGGTTATCACTGAACACTTATAATTATTATTATCAATTGAGATGGGGATGCCACCTATAGTTGCGCTTTCAACCCAAAGATGAGTGGAGGATGAGTGTAGAATGGTATGAGACATTACAAGACCTTCCCGACAGGAAACCACTCCCCACCACCACGCCGTGCCGAATGCTTCCGCATCATACTGTCCATAGCCGAACTGTCTATCTCTATCACTGGATGCTGTCAAAACGTATCATTTGTATGTTAAATTTAATCTATCTATCTATCTTTACTTATTTAATACGCAAGCAGGTTTTTTGTGACAATTACTCCTCCGAAACTACTGAACCGATTGACATGTTTTTGGTGTCATTGTAAAGAGTGTAACGTGAAGTTGTGCAGGAAACTTTCTTTTTAGGGAAATAATTAGAGAGTGAGGCCCTGGGGCCCTTTTAAGTTTTGTATTTCTCCATAAGGATAACATGGGAGATAATTTTTATTTACAGAAACATATGTTTGTTACTTGAAAATTGTCAAAGTCTACTACATAATAATTACTGTGTATTATGACTCTTAATGTATACCTACTACATTTCAATCAAGGATTGTGTACCTTAAAGTTGACCCATAATGGATCTTACTACTTTATTTTAATGCTGGGAATAGTAAAATTTAGTGGAGAATAAGTTACCATGATTTAGAAAAATTTACTATAATAATTTATGTATTTAAATCACAAATCTTTGACATTATTAATTCACTTGAAATTAAACAGCTGATCGACAAATCAAACAAATCATCTACTTCATGTGAATAATGTTATTACACAAACATAGTTTTTTTTAACCAATAACTTGATTCTTTTTTACTTGTGGGTGTATTTTGAGTTTGCAGTTATGAAAGCACCAAGCCAAGTAACTTTTATCTAATTTTCTTTATAAACTAACAGTATTAATGAATTACTACATGAACTTGACAAGTCAGGTAATTAATTATTGTCAGTATACCAAGGGGAAGAAGAGTGGGTCCTCGAAAACAGACGAAGGCGGAGACACCCATCTAGAAAATCCAACTGAGTTTTTTTTAATATAGAGGTCAGTGGATTGCCAAGACACAGATTAGACTAATAAAAGGGGGCAGTGGTTTTATTGATGAGTAGCCTAATATTAATACATAAAAAAGGCCTCATTAATGGCACAAGGCTTCATGTGATCAGAATGGTTAACAGCTTAATAGAAAGTAAAGTCTTAACTGGAACAAGTGATTGGGGACATATTTTGATTACGAGGATAAAAATTTACCCGTCTAAAACAAACTTACATTTTAAAATGGAAAGATGCTAATTTCTGTTACCTTTGGCATTTGCAGCGCTGTTCTTACCCAGACCAATTTCAGTCATGAGCAACTATATTATATGTTGTTTTAAGCAAGGCTACATCTTTTAATAGGATAAGCATATTCGTTACGGACAACTCTGACCAGGGTAATCTTCCTGAAGGTAACTTTAAGGCTAAAATCGTAGTATTCATGGAAGTGCTTTTGTGATAAAAATATTGTTTTTTTTTGTTTTTATTTTTAAAAGTGTGTTTTCTTCAAGCAGCATTTTTATGACCCTCAAAATAAGCTACATAGGCCTATTGGTCTGATATGATAAAATGTTTTGTTAAATGTGTTATACAAATCTTTAAAACATAACAACCCTATAACCTTGCTCGCTGCCTATAACATACTAGAACTTGAACACTTATTAATTTACTAAATATAATACACATACAGTTAGAAAATGGCTGGACTGCTTCCCTTCCAATGCTTCATTAGCCTATTACTGTATTTAATTTTCGACGTCGAGTCAATATATAATACGACGAATTTGTTTTCTAAATCCATATGTTATTTTGCGGGGCATTGAGCCGCACAGGTTCACTAGTACTTATTTAATACGCAAGCAGGTCTTTTGTGACAATTACTCCTCCGAAACTACTGAACCGATTGACATGTTTTTGGTGTCATTGAAAAGAGCGTAACGTGAAGTTGTGCAGGAAACTTTCTTTTTAGGGAAATAATAAGAGAGTGAGGCCCTGGGGCCCTTTAAAGTTTTGTATTTGTCCATAAGATTAACATTGGAAACAAAAATTGTTATAAAACTCCAGCTGTTGTGAGAAAAGTGAGAAGAAGAACATATGTTAATTGTAAACAGTCAATAGGTTTTCTAATTTAACAGTTTGCTACAAACACAAACATTTACTCACTTGGTTGAAATGAAATATTTACTATTTCAATTTGGGTTGGCGTAAATATTACAATGGAAAAAAGCGAGAGAGCCTGGATAAATTGATATACCGTACTAAAAAGAAAACTGAATTAACACTGTGCTGCATTTCTTAGTAATCGTTGAAATAGGCGATTTGCAAACTAAGGAAATTTAGGAAAGTCATAGAACACCACCAAGGAGAAGAAATATAAATATATTTAAAAAAAATGTATAATCGTTATTGTTATGGACAATCTAATGCGGCTATGAGTAAGGCTATTTGTAGAAAACACTAAAAAACAAGATCAGTTTTTGAAAAATGATAAGATATTTACAAGAAATGTTGATTATATCGATCTGGTATGTACCGTACATCTTGAGTATTTCCATAATCTTTGAGTCGAATCTTTTAAAGTCATCAGAAATCATGGCTGTTATTCACTTTAAAATAACGCCTGTAATACTTAGCAATTGCTAACACTGTGCTGCATTTCTTAGTAATTATTGAAAGAGCCGATTTGCAAACTATGGAAACATAGGAATGGAGGTTTACTAATCGAAAATATAAGCGCATTGCAGTAATGTATGCATATTTTATAAAATGAACAGGCTAACTATTTAATTGTTTGTTTTAAAAGTTTAATAGACTACTCTGTGTACTGTCTTTGAAGTTTGAGATGTGCATTCTATTTGTACTTAAATCATAATAAAATATGTCTATGTCTAAGGTAAACAACATATTTTTTTGTAGAGAAAGAAACTTTCTACAGTACATAGTAATGCAGCTTGAATCCTGTAAAAATGTAATTTATATAAGGAAGAGTTAATTTTACCTCACACCCCGCTGGACAAGCAGTTATACATTTTGCTGTTTCTTCCCAGCTTTAAAATTGTGTAAACATCAATACTTACTTACTACCTATAGGAAATAAACATGTTATGTGTAGTATGGGTCTCCTGAAGAAAATGACATTATTCACAATTCCAAGAAAAATTATGTTACAGTATGAGTAATAAATTAGCAGTTTAACTACTTTTAGTCAATAGACACAAGTAATGAGCCAGATAGATGGTCAATTGTACTGTTAACTTATCTGTGCTTACATGTAGGTACTTACAACATCTAATATAACACCAATCAGATCAAAGTTCAATGCCACCAGGAAATTCGAATTTTCTTCTATTTTTGGAACTGTGCTAAGTAGGTCCACAACATTTTTTCTTCTGAAAACAGTAAAGTAAACTAAAAATTGTGTTTATTAAAATAACCATTGGTAAAAAATGTATTATTCCAGAGGATGTGAAGTATAAAGACGAATTAAAGGTCAAAATTGTTAATGAACATAAAAAAATGTTTAACTACCGGTACTTAGAAACAAATAAGCAATGTCTAAAGATACAAGATACAATATTCTTTATTTGGTCAATTGAACAATAATACAGTTATAGACCACGTCAGATTGTTAAGTTAGGCTAAATGAAATATTGCATACAGTATCAGGTACATAGTTAATAGACATTTTTGGTTGACTAGATTTAAGTAGAAACATTGAAGCTGCAAATACTATACACAAAGGAAAGGAATAAAACATAAAGATTACAAACATAAGTATTCTATCATTGGTGTTGTATTTTTAAATACTCTACCTTTCCCATTCTGTTTCAGCTGGAGCTATTCTATATACCATTACCAACAATGACTTGAACTTAGTGTCTATGGTTTCAGTTGTAAAAGCATCCACCATTGATTTAATGAGTTCCCCATCTAAAACAGATCGAACATATTAAATTTTTTCTGTCTCAGTCAGTGCCGTGATCGGGTTGCAATAAATGTTGTAGGCCTACATGAAAATGGTTTGTTTGTACGTATCAAATGTATATACAGTTTTATGTTTAAATGTAAATTTCTACAATTTGACAAGTCCAATTCGGATATTATAATGTTTTAATGTTTCTGTGTACCACTTGAAAATGCCAACATGGCGAAACATGTAGTGGATTGAAAAAGACACTATTTATTTGAACTGCAAGACGAGGTATGTTTTAATTTAGATTATATTAAATTTATTAAAGATAGGTATTGTTTAGCTGAAATATACACATCTAGTTGGTTAAAATAAAACCAATATGCAACATGTCTCAAATAAAAAAAACACAATGTCCATAGCGTAGTCAAAAACTCTCAGCCAATTCAGTTTACTATTCATTCTGTTCTAATGATTTAAGTATTCATTTCACTCGGCTATCAATTAATGATGGATGCTCTCTAACAATACGGACCGCAGCAAACCAGCAGACTAAGCAAATGAAAATTTGAATTTCGACTGTAAAATATAATACGTAGTATCCTTAAACTTGTAAGATTTATTTCATATTTAAATAACATTAGATTTAAAAAATTCTTAGGTTTTCTGCTACAGGGAGTGAAAAAAGTGGTTTTTACAGAAAGTGTCAGTAGTATAGTATAGTACGAAATAAATAAATTTTCCAAATTTGATCAAAATATAAGCAAACTAGATATTAAGAGTATGTATTGGTATCCAACCCATGGTGTGGTCACAGATGATGGCTACAGACTTCCACTCCAGGTGGTGAGCAGTGCGAACGTCCAGTAACAGCTGAGGCAGCTCAGAGCCGAGAGACACAAGAGGCATGGTGACTGCTGAGGAGGACGGCAGTCTCGGACAACTAGCCTCTGGCACACAAGATAACTGATGTCAAATGTTTAGTAGTAACAGTAAAACCTCACTAACTCGACAGTCAACAGCTGATAGGTGCACGTCTGGCAGGCTTTGTCTTACTATCAAGCAATTTATTCAGAAAATGTTTTATTAAGAGGGTTCCGCCCACCGGCTGGTTACCGCGTGAACTTGGTCTTACAAAAAGAACCTCATGGCATTATTAAAGTGTTTATCGAGTTAAAATAAACTGTAAAATATTCACAAAGATCCAAACGAAACTTAGTAATTGTTTCTTTAAGTATGAATATACATAAATTAGTCTTTTTCACATGTGATTTTTACAATAATAGTTACAAATTAATTTTCCCCATCCATTGCAAGCTCTGATGTGTTAAGAGCACAAAAAGCACACAATCATTGGAAACAAATTAGTTTTTGAATGTTGATAGCTTGTACAATAGAGGCATGTTCAATCCTGAACTATATTTCAATCCATGTAATCCGCCATCTTGAATTGAAATTCAGGCTGCCGGGTAGACCCACTTAATAGTTGAATATTCAAAATTTTTGCGAAGATTGCTTACTTAATATGTATAAATACTCATATAAGTAATACATTTATAAATTTATGTCTGTTATTTATTCATTTATTAAAACGTATTAAAAATTGCAATGTTCTGTAAAACTTGACAACCCCAAACTTGACAAACTCTGGTTTCACAAATTGTGAGTTAGTGAGGTTTTACTGTAATGATTAAAACTTAGAAGGGAACATATTTCAACTAAACACAATTTTCTGCAGAGATTTGATAGTCCAGGCAACAGAGACATTGTAGTGGAAAAAAACATGTATAACAAATATTTGGTACAGTTGTAGGGAAAGGGTCCCTAAACAACATATTAAAGGTATGTGGTGGTGGAGCTAAGGGGGCTCTTAAGATCCCTTTTGTAGGGGTTTTTTAATTACTTAAAAAACCATCAAATTTTCATATACAATACTGAATGAGCAAATTAAAGAAGATTAATTTTCTAATCGAAAAGTCATATTATTTAAATCTTAAGAAAATTTCCAGCAATTTGACACTTTAATCATACTTTAATACTTTTTGATGAAATGGCGACCACACAAAGTAGGTATTTTAAGCCAAGTATGAATGGAGATGAATGTAGGATGAGTGGTGCATACGAATTGGTCCAAAATTAAGGTGTTGGCAAGATTACAAAACCCGTATTATTTGTAACATTTTCTTAAATTACAACTTTTTTGTGTACTCACCCCCATCTTAATTTTGGACCAATTTTTGATTAAAGTGTCAAATTGCTGGATGTTTTGTCAATATTTCAAGAATATTGGTTATATTGACCTTAGGTGGATAGGCTTTGCCACATTTAGCATTTATTTTTCATATAAATTTATATGTATTTCTTTTCTTATAGAAAGAGTATTTGAATGAGATATTTATTATATCTTGTAAATGGTTGAACCGAAATAGTTACATCATATACTACTTAGTTGCTACAGCAAAGAAACTCCAACTAAATACAGATAAGACTCAATTTATCCATTGCACTCCTATGATAAATGTTCCCGGGGAATTTTCTGGCCCTGTAAAGCTTTTAGTTTTCTGACTAGACTCTAAATTAACAATGGAATGATTATGTTCTGCAGGTCTGTACTAAGTTGTCAAGAGTGATTTTTCTGTGAAGGAAGCTAAAAAATATGTTGTTACTGAGAGATACTTGATTAATGTCTACCACACATTCTTTCATAATCTCCTCCTAATGGTATTTTATTATGAAGACACTCTCCAGCATGCTCCAAAATCCTCGTTCTACAAAAGAAAGCCCTTCATATTATTACGTCGGTTGATAATCTTGTCCACAGTAGGCCAATTCTCCAGCAACTAGGTATTTACAGTGTATGGCCAGTTCATTCTTGAGTTGCTTATTTCAGATCAAAGATACAATACAATACAATATTCTTTATTGTTCATTCGTTCAAGAATTACAATAGTGTCAATACAATAGTGAATTGTACATGTTAATTTCCATAATTTTCATAAAATTCTCTATTTTGTAGAAGGGTCTTGCGATTTGCCACTTCTTCAACTCCTGGTGTAGCTTGTTGCGAGTCAGGTCTCTCAGGTAGTCAGGTAGATGGTTCCTCAGTTTGCAGCCAGTGTAGGAAGGTTTTTTTCCCAAAGAGTTGTTCGGTGAACTGGTAGGGCAAATTTGGAGCCATGACAGGTGTTGTAGTGGTGCAGGTCTTGGTTTCTTGGGGGGTTTATTTCATCCACATACTTTATGGTTTCAAGTATGTAGAGAGACACCACTGTGAGGATTCCTAGGTTTGCGAATGCTAGTCTACAAGTCTGTGGTGGGACAAGGTTGGCGAAGGCTCTTATGGCTTTCTTTTGAAGAACAAGGATTCGATTCATATTTTTTGTTTAAGTTCCTCCCCACACTGTCAAGCCATATCTAATATGCGACTCTACCAGTGCGAAGTAAGCTGTTTTGGCCACAGAGAGTCCGCCTATGTAGTTTATTCTTCTGACGACATATATTCCGGCACTGATTTTTTTGCTTAGGTGGTTGGTGTGCTCTTTCCATTTTAGTTTGTTATCAAGGATAACACTGAGAAATTTTGTGTGGTTTTCTATTGTTACATCCTCTAATTGAGGGACTATGTCTTTTTTTACTGAAATTCAGGGTTGTAGTTTGTGTGGTGTTTATTGCTAAGTCATTGTTTTTTGAGTAGAGGATGGCTTTATTTAAGATCGATTTTGAATTAAGGTAAAGGCTTTGGGCTGTGTTGTCCTTGATCAAAATGGTTGTGTCATCTGCATACATGATTGCAACAGCATTTTCACTTTCAATTTGTTTGGGGAAGTCTTGCTGTGACTTCATTTGATGAGTTTTTCAGTTCCACGACTTGTGAACGTCCCGATAGGTAGCTTTTGAACCATTCTAGCGCTGAGTTTCTTATACCGAGTCTTTCGAGTTTCTTGCATATCAGGTCGTGGCCCAGGCAGTCAAAAGCCTTACTGTGGTCAAGATGGCAGAAATGTATTGTTAATTTTCTATCTGGTCTAGGATGAACTCAATTAGGGCTATTATAGCTGAGGATGTAGATTTATTCATCCGAAAGCCATGTTGGTTGTCAGTTAAGAGTTTGTTATGATTAAGATGTGCCATTAATCTAGCCAGAGCTATTTTTTCTATGATTTAAGAGAAACTGGAGATGAGAGAGATGGGTCTGTAGTTTTGAGCATTTTCAGTTGGTCCTTTTTTATGTTTGGGGTATATTTTACTGACTTTTATGGTGGATGGGAATTTGCCTTCTTTAAATGATTTATTTATAAGATAAACCAGAGGAGACTGGAGAGATGAGTGTTCTTGGGAGCAGTGCTTTATCATCTTAGAGGAAAACTCATCTATTCCACTTGATGTTTTGGATTTTAGAGAGTTTATTATCGTTTTAACTTCTTTATAGGATGTCGAAGTTAAGGTAAGGTGTATTGGACAGACTGGTTTCTCTCTATTCAGCACTGTTTCAGGGTCTATAACGATTGCTCTGTTTTGGTCAAGGGTATTTTCTGCTATATTTGAGAAGAATGTGTTAAAATGTTCGGCCATTTCTTTTGTGTCGTTTGTGAGTTTGCCATTTATTTCTAATTCTGTAAGGGTTTTCTCTTCACATATTCCTTTCCTTTCCTTGTTTATAACTTGCCATAGTGCTTTTTGTTTGCTGTCAGCTTGTTGTACGAAGCTAGCTGTTGAGGACATTTTTAGGTTTCTTAGTTTCATGTCGTACGGTATATCCTTTTTCTATTAATCATTTCTACTTTGTCTTCATTTATATTTGTTAACTCAAACTTTTGCAGAGCTTTCAAAAAGTTCTCTTTAAGGTATTTTACTTTAGGGTCGTAATACTTATGTTTTTTGTTTGTACTCATTTTAGTTTTCTTTAATGGGCATGTATAATCCAGTGCTGTTTAGAGAATATTATGAAATTTGTTGTAGGAGGATTCAAGATTGGGTGAAGAGTAAACATGTTCCCAGTTTTGTAGATGGAGGTGAGCCTTCAGTTTGTTTAACATAACATCACATGCTACGCAAAGCGGCTTGACATTCACTCATACTCAACTAGAAGAGCGAGAGACATTGACATCCCCCTTGTAGACTAATCAGAAACTCTACATAGCATTCCTGCATCAGCTATAAAATATTACATTAGCCTTCTGGAGGAGATTAGGCAACTGGGCAAATCCAAATTGAGAAAAGTAATTCATAGAAGACTAATCGATAGACTTGTCCCTGGACGAGTATGACGGCAAAATACAAATGTAAAAGTTCCGAAGAAACCTGACGCAAAATATCTGGAAATCCAGTCAAAGATGAAGACATTAAGTTAGTATCAACTACAAATGTTTACGTGTATGTGCAAAAAAAAAGTAATCTCCAAATAAAACAATACACATACTGTATATTTTTTAATAACTATAAAATATAAATGAATTTGTAATATTTGAAATTTTAACATAAGAAAACTTATGACAGTAGGAATATTTCAGAGAGCTAATTTTAAGCCCATAAAATTTCAGCCCATGTAGTTCTAATAATTAAGATTGATTCAAAATAATTGTCTAGCTAAGTGGAGGCGTACCCCTCCATGTTTGCAGCTAATTTTCCAAATACTAAGAAAAAAGTGGCAAGTTAGATAGTAAATTTAGTTATAGTAAATTAAGTTAGTAAATTTTGATGGCCAGTTAAACGTTTTTGAATTTTGCTTTGCATCACAGAATAGTATATGACAGAGCCATCATTCCTTCACGGCGTAAATTGGTTCTCTTTTGTCGATTTCATACAGAACAAAATCACGGTATCGCCAAGACCATGAAATATACTGACTGAGGTTGCCGCATTCGTGGAAGATGATCACAGTATTAAAGTGACTGCAAGATATGGTTTACATGTGTTGTAGATCACGTGAGATGATCATTGGTCTACACTATAAAAATATTACCAATTTAGTAGCCTATAGTATCTTTAGGCGGGCCAAAAGAATGCATCTGCAGGCTGGATATGGCCTGCAGGACTTAGGTTGGAGAGCTCTGCTCTAGATAAAGCAATTGCATACTATAACATATTAAAACTGTTATAATCATTTTAGTATACAAATTTAGAAACCAAGGTGCAACCACACTGACCTACGCTACCCCTGGCAATAAACTCATCTTATCGTTGAGTACCTGTGGCTGCAATGAACAACAGCCCATCATCATCAGTCTGTCTATATAGACTCCATGTATCTTCACAGGAAAGTACACTCACAAGAGCTACTGTGTCTGTTAGGCAGAAAAGCACAATTAGTCAGGTAGCAGTAGCCTACTAAACAATATACTACCCAGTACTCGAGACAAATAGCTGCACTTATGCTGCTTGGATAAAAAGTAATGTAATGTATAACTGCCTCAGTATAAGTAGCAAATAATAGTTAACTATCAACATTAAACCAATTAAACACATAAAATACATCAAAATGTAAATTCAAATCGCTCTTAGTAGGCTAACTGAAAACTAAATACCTATACAGTAGAGTACTGCAAACTCGGTACTCGATAAACCGGCACTCCGGATAACTCGACCATCATCTAGCTTAGAAAATTAGTGATTTTTTTAGTTAAATATGTATGTACAGTACCTAACATTTGTTTATTTCATAAGGTACCAAGGATTTGTTGTACTATATCTGATGACTTAATACTGACTTGTAATATAAATAAAAATAAAAATAAACGGTATCAGCATTCTGACACATACTTTCTCCCATAAGCTTGTCAACAACCTTTATCATGGGTAAACGGTGAGAGTAAATATGATATTTTATAGTTAAAAATCACAAAAGTTGCAATTACTTTTGAACCGTAATTGTTACAGCAATGGGGTGTTGTTGTATTTATAATTTTTTGGAATTATAAGGACCATAACATTAATTTTGATCAAAAACAGCTTTTATCCAAAAATCCGATTTGTTTTATTTTATGGGTTTTTATGGGAATATAACAGTTACAATAGCTTTTGAACCGTAATTTTTCGGAAATGGGATTTGTACCATTTTGTTCAAAATTTAAAGGACTACAACATACCAAAGTTTTAAGAAAATCGGGTCATTTTCGAGAAAATCAGATTTTTTGTTATTTTATGGGGTTTTATAGAAAAATCCCCATTAAAAATCAAAATATCAAAAAAATAAAAAAGTTCAAAATTTTAAGGACCATAACATAGGTACTAAGTTAAATCAAAACGAGCTGTTTTTCTAAAATCCTATTTTTTGTTATGTTATGGGGTTTTTATGGGAAAATAACATAATTTACCATAACTTTTAACCCTCCGAGTGTCCCTTGTTTTGGCCTTAATGTCTGCCTATTTTTTGCTCATTTGCAAGGTTTTATTAAAACGGATCTGAGAAGCTTGAAAACAATGTTAATTACCTATACTGTTCTATATACCATTTTGTTTGGAAAATCATGGGCTTCAATATTATACATAAAACATAAGGAACATTTGTTTCAAAAAAATTGTTTAGGTAAAAAAAAAAAATATTTAAAAAAAATAAAAAATAAGTTCGCGCTCAATGAAATTGTATAAATTATAGGCCTATAAATATTTGAAAATAGCCACTTTGTTCTAAATTTTATGAGGATTACAAATATATAATAATCTAAGGAAGTAGATTTGCAAATAAATAAGTTATGGGCAAAAAACAGATTTCAGTACATAGCGTTTAGCTAAGAATGCATATTGCATAGCCTAACTATAGCTAGGAATCTGGCTGATAATTTACATCAATATCACTACCTACTTCTTCAGGATCATCAACCAGCCCTTCAAAATCACTTAAATCTTCTTATAATGCACCACGTATATCACTACTTTTGATTTTTAACACTAAAACAATGATAAACGTAATAAAACACATCAGTCATCGGTCCGAGGTTAACCAAGCTCTTTACAAATACGCACGTCAGCTGTCTGCTACAATATTTTCAGAACTAAAATGAAAAGCGCTTAGAGACAGACCTCCGGAGAAAGCTCTGAATCTGTCAAATAAAACGATACCTAACTCGATCCAGTTCAATCCGATTTTGTCAGTCATAGAGCTTTTGCCGTAAACAGGGTTTGTGAGTCGCTGCAGCGACACAAAACACTACACAAAGTGTGTTATATGTCGCTGCAGCGACAAATAACACTCGGAGGGCTATACCCTCATTTTTACAGAAATGGGAGACGTTGACCATTTTGTTGAGAATTTAAAGGACTATAACATACTAACTTTTCAGAAAATCGTTCGGGTCATTTTTGTGAAAATCCGATTTTTCCGTTAGGGGAGAGCGGGGCTATACCGTACACATAAGGGAGACTCGTCAACCCCGGGGGGTGGGGCTATTCCGTACAGTAGAAGGGGCTATACCGTACAGTTCAAAAATCATTTGTTTAGGTTAGTAATATAATAGCACTGCAACAAATTATTGTACAAACACTTTTTATTACTATAAAAAGGTTGTAGTTAAGAAACAGTGAATTACAATTTAAACATTTTAGAAGAAATTACATTTCAAAATTCAACCTTCATGAAAAACATGAAGTTTATGAAAAATTTATAAAATTTCACCCCAAAATTAAAAGAAAGAAGAAACAGTCCACAAATGTAGTTCTCTGCAGACTCTGCAGCACTGCAAGCTGAATGGACCCACCCTGGACATGAGCAGCACCCTGTATCAGAGCTGTAGGGTTTAGCCCCAATCTGTACCTCGTGGGAATTTATTAACATAAACTCATATTCTGTCACTTAACCAATCATCGCTAATAACCAAAAGAGAGCTTAAGGGATGTAGTTTATTATGATCTCACAGTTAATAGAATACGATAAAAGCTACTTCACTAACTTTTTATTTAGTACTGGACGAAAATTAGAAACAAGTGAGTAGAAACATGTTTTTTTTAAATACTAACTTATTTTCCTCTTGTCAAGTTCTTAATGATTTATGATGAAAATAGTCAAGTTTCCTGGTTTGGAGATATTAATGTAGGCCTACCTATGGCATTGATTGAAGAACGACCATCGGGTGTAGAAGAATGGTGCAAGTTTAATTATGTGTCTATTATTCGTTATTGTTTTCCTCACACAACCTGATAAATATTGCACACAATATTGAACCATCACAATCACAATGTTGACATATTTGTTAACTAACAACATCAGGACGACGTCTTGACTCTAATTTGACAAGTCCAACCAAACCGAGACAGTGTGACCAACAAAACACAGCAACAAGCGACCATCTTGAAGGCATGCTTTTTATTAAATGTTTATCCAGAATCATTTCCACACTTCTAACTTGTTTTCAATTACAGTACAAAAGCAAATAAGCTGCTGTTTAGTAACTGATTCAATCATTTTTTACTATTACGATTGTGTTACTGTACATCATACAGTACTATCAATATGTCACACCATTCTTAAGAATGAACAACAAACTACAACAATCCCCCGATACTGTTACATTATCGTTACATTATACTGTTACATACTAAATCAACCATCATTGATACTAAATCAATCGATTAATAATTATGATACATGCGATTTCTTAAAATGAATGAGTATAAATGTTTACAACAGCTGACTTTTACTCCCTAGGGAGTAAAAGAGCTACCTTAGACCCACAACGCATGTATTAAAACGGCTGTTTTTGCTGCGGTATGACAAAAACACTTTTCACTTTTTTTTACTCTGAATTAAGACAAGCCTGAGCCCTTTCTCTACTGATTCAATTTAAACACAACAGAAATCACTTAGTTTTTTGTTGCGAGGGATTTTGTGTGTTTTGCTGTTTATTGGTGATCTGATGACAGCTAAAGACCCGTAATCTGCATAATCCGTAAGTACGAAACTTGGACATAAGGAGATAGCAGGTAAACTTTTTTTATCTGTATAGGTAGCCTTTTTATTCGTCAACAAAAATGTATTCTACAAATATTTTAACCCTTCCCGGACGGGTGATGGATATATCCGCCTAAGTCTTTGGCGATAAAGGACAGGTGGCGGATATATCCGCTTATGGTTTTAGCGAATTTTCCTATAGGGAAGTAGCTATTACCGTAGGTCTCATGGTAAGACCTAAGCCCGGGACCGATTTACTTTTTCATTTTGATGTCCCCAGAGGCCAAAAACACCATTCGTTCAAATTTTTATATATGTATATATATATATATTTATATATATCTGTGTGTGTGTGTCCGTAAACGTGATAACTTGAGTAATTTTTGTCCGATTTTGATAAAATTTGGTTTGAAGGTGTAAGGCGGGATAAACTTGAATGAGTTCGCGAACCAGCATGATCGGACTATGGGAACGGGGGTTTATGGGGTAAAAATAGGTTTTTTCTATTTTTGACTCTAAAAACACAAAATTTCACAATTTCTTTTTAAACCATTTTGTAGAGCTTAAAAAAACAAATAATTTAGTATATTGAAGCGTTATTATGCGCCTAATTGTTACGTAGAAAATTCAAAAAAAGTTATTCTTATGGAGAATAAGTCAACTGTTGTAGTTTGCTTGTTTATGAACATATTTTGATAGATTTTGGAAAATACTTTTATTTCTTACTAAACTATTATCATTTTATAAAAAAAAAATCTTTTTTACCCTCCTTGTTGCAGCAAACCTAAGTACTTGTTAAACTAATTCTATTTAAATAGGAAATAAATGTGCTATTTTTATGGAGGCATTTTAGTGTAAATCCAATCAGGTTAATGGAAATTCGCTTAGTCTGCAGGTTTGCTGCGGCAGGGGTATTTAATGTTCCGGACGGGAAGTGGATATAACCGCCTTCTCTTCAGACAGACTTTCAGGTGCTTGAGCAGTAACTAGATGTTTCGCGGTACCAAGGCGCCACTTTCCTGCTCTCCCCATGGCTGCGCTCTCTCTCGCACTCCCCCCTCTCACCCGCGCCTGCCCCTCTCCCACGTCTCCCGCGCACCAACCCATTTCTCCTACGCTCCCCCCTCAACTTTTCGCGCTCAACACTCAGTGCCTTTATTTTTTGTTTACATATTGTTCTTTATTTATTGCCTAACGCTGTCATGGTCATATCTTCAAAGACGGGTGGCGGATATATCCGCTGCTTTCCTACTCATCCGCGGACGGGAAGCGGATACATCCGCTTAGTTAAAAACAAGTAAAAGATTATTTTGACAGTATGAAGTGTTCCATTGTGTTTATTTTATGTATACTTGTAAAACAAAACACAAATAAGGAAAACTAATTTTTATTTTTTCCTATAATTTTTTCCCGTTCTATGTCACGATCTGCCCGTACGGGAAGGGTTTAGACGAAGTAAAATAAATATGTTGTTTGTGTTTGATAATAAAAATTTAGTTATAGCATAGAAATCAACTGAACTTAGTTGGACTTACCACTTCTATGATCATAGTCTCTAAAAGGTGAGAATCTAAAGGTGACCCTTCCTTTCCACGAGTATTCCTCTTGAATGAAGTTTATGATCTCTGCTAGAACTGCTTGGGTGTCCACATAAGGTTCTAGTTTGAACCGTGGTTCATATATAACACCTGTGCATGCACATTCAATTGGAGTTGATAAAATATTATCAAGTGATGATAATACTTAATGTGATGATAATACTAATGATGATTATATGGATTTTTTAAAATTTTTATTGCAATAGTATCCAAATTGTGAAAAGGTGTTTTTATAGTTATAATTTTGTTTTTATCATTGACTCATATTTTTGGTTGTATTTATATTACAGTATTACCAAATTAATAATAGTTAATTACTAACAGAGAGTCGAAGAGAAGTATTTATAGGATATAGTGAACCAAGTAAATTTATCAAAGTCTACCACCTGAAAAATATATACAATACCTTGAAATTCCATTAAGTTTGACATTTTTTTTTTCAATTAAAGGAAATATTTTCTAATCAACTGACAAAACAAGTAAGACTTACGAGTAGAAGCATACTGTAGATTTATAAGTAATTTTTCAGTTTTCAGTTAAGTCAGTGTTAAGTGGGGCCGAGTTATTTCCAACATGGACACTTTAAAGATATAAGGGTTGGACTCCTGATTGAATTAATCTAAAATAAATTCTTAATTTACTTGTATTGCTCGTAATGAATCTGTCCCAAATTTCATTGCAACCAATTAAGTAGTATCTGGTAAATATGAACTGACATTGTAGTAATCATCCCATACACTACTGTATTTATAAATAATTTGTGTAAGAATTTAAGTGTATAATAAAAGAATCTGGATATAATGTCACTAAATTATCAAGAAGAAAAAAAAACACAGGAATAAGTTTAAATTATAACCATCATAAATATTTTAAGTCCTTACTATTAGAAAGAAATATAATTGTATTGTACAACTTACTGACAAGATAGTCCAAAGTAACTTTTGATGAGGATAAGTCAGATTCTGAAATTAAGAATTGTATATTTAACTCGCACATTATCAATAGTAAGTAAATTAGGTGCATATTATTTTAATTCCATCAAATACGTTTGATTCTGTAGTCCTACGCTGTGATACAACACTGATGGGATTTTACTTTGTAAAGCACAGTAGAGAAGACACAATAGAGAGCAGTGTGTTGTGGCCGATACAGTGTAAGTAATAGATGAGCCCTGTCAGACAGGGAAACCTTGATCCCATATCCTAAAAGTCAACCAAAATCAGTTCCACGCACGATGAAATAGTAATCACAATTCCTCCAATAACTGAAAACCTATGAAAATAATTCCATCATTTTGCCATTATGTGTAGTAAAAAGGAATTGTTTCCCCGTTTCCGTTTTCCTATTGTTTTTACTGAAACGAAACACTAGATTATCTACTTCTACAAGTAGATTTCTGTGTAGTTCCTAGCTACCAAAACAAAAACGTAACATAAAATAATAATGTGAATTGTATATTTTTTATTTCAAGTCATACTTTAAAAAAAAAAAACTTAAGTTTTTTGTTATATTGAGTACTTCAACGAACACATTTGCATTATTAGTGGACCCAGATGCCATTTGTCATTGGGCTATGAATTAATGATGCCATCTAACAAAAAGCTCGATGTTAGATGGTAACAAGACCAGGGTTTGGACAATTCCCTTTCAAAACGTAAAAAATGCCACTGGCGTAAAAAGACACAAAATAAAAAAACTAAATAAAAAAATAAGCAAGAAGCATTTTTAACTGTCTATGTATAGACATCAATCTCAAAGGCTTGGACTTTTAAATAATAAGATTACAAAGAATATATTTTTTTGATTCTTCTGTAATTAAAGGAACGAGGTGTTAGCCCGTCCTACGTACGAGAGTAGTCGGTTAAAACTGGGTATAAATCAGAACAGCTAGCTTACACGTATAAAGACAAATTTTATAGCAGCCTACAGTAGAAAGAGTAATTATCAATTGAGAAAGTGTATAGGCCTAGTCAATGATATCACCTTCCAATTCCATCGCATACCTGCCTCTTCCATAATCAATATCAACACAATACAATTACTCATACTATACACAATTTCCAGTAGGTCTGAATAGAAACTCCCTAAAATAAAACGAAAACATCCAATAATATTCACAGTACACATAATTATAACGTTGGTGTCCTGACATCATTAAACGAATCGTCCACACATATCCTTTACATCAATTTCACTGCATCAATTGCTAAATAAATAAGTGTAAACAAAGAAAAGTCAAAAGAACAACATATAGTTTGTTTTGGTAAACAGCTGAGTCAAAAATAAAATAATATTCATTTGAACAAAAGAACTGGTCACATGTTGAAGGAATTTAAAACTTAAAACACGCTAGTTAAGCTAGTGACGTTATTAATTGTCTATGTTTATTATCCATTCCGTTATCAGTTTTAACCCTTAGAGTGCCAGGCGAGAAATAAAAGTAACGCTCAAAAAATGCCGATGATTTTTCCCGAAGGTCGCGCTAAAAATGCCGAGCGCGATCTGGCGATTTTTAGGTTAAAATTTCGTAAAAATCGAATTTTCGATATTTCGACCAACGAAAATCGATGTATCGCATCTAGTAACTTTCGACTCAATGTTAATATATGGGTTAAAAGAATCCGAGTATCCATTCGGTTGTTATGACAACTGTTCGATCATTACGAAACGTCCGGTCAGCCGGACGTTGGCACTTTTGGCTCGTTCTAAAAACGTCCGGTCGGCCGGACGTCGGCACTTTTGGCTCGTTTTAAAAACGTCCGGTTCCCCGGACGTTGGCACTCAGAGGGTTAATATCCTTAATAATTAAACCACCCTCATTGAATTAATGTACACCGTAGTTCAATTCCCCATATTTATTTATTTAAAATATAAAATATTCAGCGGCTCCAAACATAACCACAACTAAACACACGCCAAACAACTTTTTAGATTTCATAAAAGGATGGTTAGTCTAATTGCAGTATCCTAGGTCAATGATGACGCTGTGCTCAATCTATGTCATTCATATCTGTATATCTTTGGATAACCCGTCTGGGTTGTGGTGGTAATTTAAAATTGTATTCCTGAGGATTCTTGATCTCCTTCTTTATGACATCAATATTTCCGGGCCTAATCCAAACAAAGTTTAATCATTCAAAAACATTGATTGTAAACAAACCAAGATGAATAAAAACGTGTAAAAAATTGATTTTCCTACCCTTTTCTAAAAAAGTTGAGAAGTATAATAATTTACATATCTTTTTTTAAGACTCGTGTACAGAGCCTCGACTTGTATACATCGATGGTGTTACTTTTCTCGGTGGTCTACTAATCTTACTTGTTTCCTAAAAATCAATGACAAATCAGAGTAAATAAAATAACCTCATAGTTTTACAGAGCATTTTTATATTTAACCAGCTGTTAGTTAAAAGAAAATAATATTGCACTAAAACAAATCGAAGATTACAAAGATTTATTTAAAAAATCCTTTGAACATCCTAGTATTTTACCTATGTATATTTAAATAATCTGTCATCCTCTTATCGAAGGATTGAACGTATCAATGATTAGCATCACACATAGTATAAATAAGTCAACCCTTAGTATGTCTTTTAATTTTATCCAAATGCTGAATTTGTGTTACAAACGCTGAATGTTTACAGCTGTTATGTTAAACAAATTATATTACACCAAAAGCTAGTTTAGAATCTTAGCGTCGGACTTAATTTCTAAATAAGTGGGACCCTAAACTAAAATTATGGCTTCGACATTCCCTAGTTCTCAAAATTATCTTTCTTTCAACATAAAAATCATGAAAATCCGTCGAGTGGTTGAAATAAAAAAAAGGTGAAATAAAAAACCCCTGATTCGTTTTAATATTATAGATTGTCTATCCACACCACATCTACACTGGAAGTAGAAAGATTTTTCCTGAATGAAATCAATGATAACTATGTTAACTTTTGATTAGTTTTCTATTTTAGCATCATCTGGTCTTAATATAAAACTGTACTTTCTAGTTTATGATAGCTGAGAGCAACAAAATCCAACTTACTTTTAAATTATTCTAAAGGAATTCGTACTAAACATTAATAAAGCCTGAAGGCCGCTCACACTATTTTCCAAACCACAAATGTATCTATACATTTGGTTGACTTGACTTATACACAAATTGATAAACAAATTGTTTAATTTAAATGGCTTCGTTATTTATTAAAGACTAGTTCAGATTTCAAAAATCGACCAACCACAATGTATAAGATATTTTGAAGACTGGCCAAGAAAAACTCTTTTAAGGACATTTTAAATAATAACTACAGGAGTTCATTCAGACACATTATTTTTATTACAAATATGTTTTTTTTAATGTCATTGTAATAGAATAAAAATCTCTTGCACTAAGTCTTATAAACAATTTAAATTACAATTGTCAGTGAATATAGAAAGCAAAGTTTCAACAATCTATATACTTTGCACTAATGTGACAACATTAATTGATACTGGCCAACGAGGGTTGGGATTTTAGTAATAAATTAAATCACTTTTATCAAATGAAAACTTAAATAATTTTATAAAAAGAAAAAGGAAATCATGATACAATTGTTTCTTTGTTACAATGTTAACATTTTTTCCTAGAATACAAATTACTTTAAGTTGTCAAATTTTATTTTAAACAACAGACATTCTTAACTAAAAATCTTTACTCAAAACAAAGTTTCAAAAATATTTAATTTATGTCTCTTCTCCCTGCAGAATCAATTTTTAACTAACTTTTTTTAATTTTTTAACTAACTTATTTACTCTCATTTCATGATAACGATAACTTAATAAATTTGTACATAGTAAAAACTAAACTAAAACTAAGGGTTTATTAAAACTACACTGAAATGATTTTACAAGTCATAAACAAAAACATGTTAAAGCATTCACTGTTATTTTACATAAAAACCCGTCCCAATCCAACATCTGTATTCAAACAACAACATTTCAAAACTATTTAAGTTTTGTCTGTTCTTTCAACAGATAAAATGGCAGATAATGGTTCTTGGTAGAGAAAATCGTGTACAATATGTTTAATTTAACACTAATGTGTGAAATGTGTATGGATTAGGCTACAAGTAAGAAGTTGAGTCTCAATCTCCTTGATTTCAAACTTGTATTTTAACATGAAATAGGACATTACTGTTTAATTGTCGTTTACTTTGTTGAAATCACAATTGACTTGACTGACATACTTGTTGTGATCAGACCAATATTCAAATCAAAGGTTTATATTTCAAATGTTTATGACAATCAGCTAGAAAGCATGACTTTAACATCAATATATTATAGCTATTTGTTTACCTTGCGACAATTTATTTAGGTATACTTGTACAATTTTAATTTTAAACTCTACAAAGAACCACAAAAATATTATAATGTTGAGATTGTAGCACAACGGATTGAGTTATCAAATAATTAAATAACTTACGTCATCAATCCATGAATTGCTGTGGAGTACGCGTTTCAACCATCAGGTCATCCTCAGCTCCACTGTCACTAGGTTGAATCTGTTTCTATGTTGCTGCGATTTTGTAGCAACAACGTCGCACAGTGTTATAATCATAGTTTTTCCGTTATTTTAATGTTTTGTGTCGTGTATGTGTAATGAATGTAAAATGTGTTTGGCCTATTTATTCGATATATCGACGTTGTTGCTACAAAATCGAAGCAACATAGAAACAGATTCAACCTAGTGACAGTGGAGCTGAGGGTGACCTGATGGTTGAAACGCGTACTCCACAGCAATTCATGGATTGATGACGTAAGTTATTTAATCACAAAAATATTGACTTATTAATTTCTACCAATGACAATCAACCCCTTAAACTGTAGCAGTTTAGAACTTTAATATAATAAACCATATCTCTTAATGCCATTATAAAATGAATTGTCTTATATTAAATGTAGCCTAGACTATGCAACTAAATACTACCAGACAAAAACTGTAATTCTTGATATTTACACTTGGGTTTTATCTTTAAGTGTGATTGGAAACATACACAATGATTATTTATTACAAACAATTATTATCTAATTGATCTCACATTTAATTAATGGTTTAGGCTACTTAACAAATTAAAATCACCAGAGTAATACCTAATAGAGTATGGGAGGACACAGCTAACTCACCTGATGAAAGGTTGCAGACGAGTCAAAGAACACATAAAATGCACACACACACACACACACACACGTATTATGTGTGTGTGTTTATATCTTTTATGTGTTCTTTGACTCGTCTGCAACCTTTCATCAGGTGAGTTAGCTGTGTCCTCTCCATCCTATATTATTTATTTAGTCCAAGCAAAATGCTTTTTCCTTTTGCTAAAAACATAACCTCAGAGTAATACCTAGTGGGATTTAAAAAGTTAAATCCAATAAAATATTTTCAAGTTCATTGATACTCCAGCATTTCCATAATACTTTTAGGCAAACTTAATTTATAACCAAAGTCAATACTGGATTACAAGATACTGTGGTCAAATATTTTTTAGTGAACATTTGCTTTGGCCAAAATGAGTAAATTTATACCAATAATTGGGCTTGTGTGCAAAGCGCCATCTGTGCACTGATTCTGGGTACAAATTTAAACCTAGAGATTCAGTTTTTGTACACAAATACATGATTTAAGTCAGGTACAATGAACAATGAACATGCAATTGGTTGTAATAAATTATGATAAATATGACATTGATAACTAGCCTCTTAATCCTAGTCTACAACTGATATAAAATATGATAATGATTACTAGCCTCTTGGTCTTGGCCATACTATTTACAGAACCTATTTACAGAAGACAACTTGGATGCCTTAACCGTGAGTTGTATCATCCTCAACAAAGTCATATGCTTCTTCTCTTGTCACACATTCCACATGACTCACCTATCACAAAACTTTCATTAGTAATAAGAATGAAACAAACCTTAACAAATGCTACTTCTGCAGCACTTCAATATTGTTAGTTAGTAGCATCAATGACATAACTTAACACGGGCGTACAACATGGGATACTTGTAGCGGATAAAGCTCAAGAGATAGCCCTGTAACCTAATAGATAAATTAAAAAAAAAAAAAAAAAACTACGTGAGGGCTAGATGGAGTCATTAATGGAATTTTAGAATTTTGTCAAGACTCTACAATTACTTAAAACGGGCAAACAACCTGAAACATTCTTTACACAAGCGTACTACTTTATTACTACAGAAATACTTTTAGTACATGTATGGTAGCATTGGTGATAGGTGAAATAAATAGAAAATTTAATATTTTTGTACTTGACAGGTCCAGTTTACATAAAACATGACAAAAACTACTTACTTTAAGTGAATTTCACATAAGCTACAGTAGACTCCCTCTTATCCGGACAGCTTTTAACCGGACTACACTTGGCGGAAATGACATCTCTTTAACCGGACAATTTTTATCAGCACATCGGTTTAACTGGACTAGATCGGCAGGAAGTGGGCTACTGAAACGAAACGACTGTTCTCGTGGGAAAGATTTGAGACCAGTGATCACGTGTCTATATACAATGCTCTTCTAAATTTATGTCAAATACTGTATACAGTATACATTTAAACAGTCTGTTTTAACAAGTTTTTGGGGACGTCAGATTAACCGGAAAAACTGTTACCTAGTTACCTGTTACCTGTTACCTAGTAGTTTTGTACATTTTTACATTTTTATTGTTATTGTAATCTTCTATGTTTTATGTAAAATGTTTTTTCCATTGTATTTTAATTGACAAGACACAAGTTACTGCTATAAGCACCCAATGTAACGTTATTTGTGTCAATAAATTGATTTGATTTGATTTGATTTGGACTGGACTCGGTCCCGAGGAGTCCGGATAAGAGGGAGTCTACTGTATAACCGTAAGTATCTTGGTAAGACCTGGACTCGGGACCGATTTACTTTTTCGTTTTGAGGTCTCCAGAGACCAAAAACAACATCTGTTCAAAACCACATATATATTAGCGATGGTCGGATCCGGATATCGGATCCCCCGGATCCGAGCTACAACCGGCACCCGATCGGATCCAAAAAATTCCGGATCTTGGGTTGGATCCGGTTTTGATGGATCCAATATTTTCTGATTTTTTTACTAACACAAAGCTGTCTGAATCCATGTACAAGACAGATTTTCTACTAACACAAAGCTGTATGTATCCATGTACAAGACTATCTGTAACTGCGTACAAAAAGACTGTCTGTGTCTGTGTACAAGAAGACTAATGTCAATGTCACAGTACTGTATATTGCTGATGTCAATAAAGTCTATGGTTAGTCAATGTCACAGTACTGTGTATTACGACGTCAATAACCTCTATGGCTAGTCAATATCACAGTACTGTATATTACGACGTCAATAAACTCTATGGTTAGTCAATGGCACAGTACTGTATATTACGACGTCAATAACCTCTATGGTTAATCAATGTGATAGTACTGTATATTACGACATCAATAACCTCTATGGTTAGGCAATGTCACAGTACTGTATATTACGACGTCAATAACCTCTATGGTTAGTCAATGTCACAGTACTGTATATTACGACGTCAATAACCTCTATGGTTAGTCAATGGCACAGTACTGTATATTACGACGTCAATAACCTCTATGCTTAGTCAATGTCACAGTACTGTATATTACGACATCAATAACCTCTATGGTTAGTCAATGTCACAGTACTGTATATTACGACGTCAATAACCTCTATGGTTAGGCAATGTCACAGTACTGTATATTACGACGTCAATAACCTCTATGGCTAGTCAATGTCACAGTACTGTATATTACGACGTCAATAACCTCTATGGTTAGTCAATGGCACAGTACTGTATATTACGACGTCAATAACCTCTATGGTTAGTCAATGTCACAGTACTGTATATTACAACATCAATAACCTCTATGGTTAGGCATTACGAAGTCAATAACCTCTATGGTTAGTCAATGTCACAGTACTGTATATTACGACGTCAATAACCTCTATGGTTAGTTAATGTCACAGTACTGTACTGTATATTACGATGTCAATAACCTCTATGGTTAGCCAATATCACAGTACTGTATATTACGACATCAATAATCTCTATGGTGAGTCAATGTCACAGTACTGTATATTACGACGTCAATAATCTCTATGGTCAGTCAATGTCACATTACTGTATATTACGACGTCAATAATCTCTATGGTCAGGTAATGTCTCAGTACTGTATATAACGACGTCAATAACCTCTATGGTTAGGCAGTGTCACAGTATATGCCACATAATTCTATTTTTTTAAATTTTTATTCTCGAATCCAAATCTTTTCTTAAGATTCGGTGGATTCGAGTTCCGGATTCGACACATCCCTACCTTCGATCTTGAGTATGCTATATCGTGGTTTTTGCGTGAAGCATCCAATTTATTTATGCCTGGATCACCCCTTGCTTATCTCTTCCTTAAATTCGTTCCAGGTCCACAGTACTGATAGACGGGTATGTGAAATTCTACAGGTATAATACCCTGTGTCTGTGTACATGAAGATTTTCTGTGTACATACAGGGTGAATAAAAAGTCAAGACTCCACCATCTAATATGTTAGAACACAGTATAGTCTTCTTGTACACAGACACAGGGTATTTTACCTGTAGAACTTCACATACCTGGCTATCATTACTGTGGACCTGAAACGAATTTAAGGAAGAGATTAACAAGACAGTGGCGTAACAGAAGGGCCCGCAGGGACCGCAATGCGGGGGGGTCCAGGAGCTGAGGGGGCCAGCGAACCGGTGAGCGGGAAACAGTGAGCAGAGAGGCCCGTGAGAAGATTGGGGCCAAAAAATTTGAGTTCATTCTTATTTAAAAGTATTATCAGTGATTCAATAATTGTATTGAACAAGTAATAACATTGATGTTATTAATAATATGTTGTTATCAGTTATCGTTTAATTTCGTTAGGCCTCTTCAGTGATAGGGTAACAAATTTAATGTGTTATAACGTGGGTCTTTGATTATTATGCAATCTTACCTTCGTCACCGAAAAATATTTTACTTCTCGGTGATTTTGTACACTGCTTAAGTTGTCTGCAAACATTATGTTACTTTGGAGCCTGGAGTCATGAACATTGGCTGGGGCTTTTAATATTGTATTATTTTACATTTTAGTTCTGTCCTAATATTGATTGTATTTTGTTAAATACAATACACTGCTACTCTACTGACTGTGTTCGTTAGCCCATATCTTGTTTTACCTCACAATTAACCAATACTAAAGACATTTGTTGTAAGATAAACGCTTACAACATAATAAGACGCTTGAAATCCATACAAAGATAAAATACAAAATGCAATAGGCTATTTTAGCCTGTGATAAAAGTACGTCAATCTATCAATTAACCAGCTTTTAGTGTATGAGTTAATTATAACCAAAGATTAAACTAACCTAATAAATTGATACTTTCTCATCCTTCAATCATATTTGGGTAAAAATACGCACATAGTGGCGTCCCCATCTTAAATAATTGATTAATTGACTTTAAAACTTAACTTTGAAATGGCGACCATACCAATGTAGGCATTTTAAGCTAAGAATTAATGGAGATGAGTGTAGGATGAGTAGCCCAACCTTTTAGTTTTGAAAGGGACTAAGGCCGACATATTACTTAGACACAGATGTTAATTAATAGCCAATACAGCAAAAGACAACTAAGGGGCCTAAGGTGGTCAATAGGGGAATTCAAACCACATTTTTGCCATGTAATTAACAAATTAGTCTAATTATCAGGGTGTGAGATATCATGTGGGATAAATTAAATGTAAAATTTTTAACCTCCTTGATATAAACATTCTGACAGACGGATGGAAAATAAGGTTTTTTTATTTGATTTCAATTATTTCAAAACTATTTACAAACACTAATATTGATATAATGATGTAGTGACGTAACACTTTCATCAAACCACGACTGAAATACTTAACACACCCTTTTAAGGAACATAACCCATAGTCTAATACAGTCCAACCTCAGTATAACGAATCTGAAGGGACCGAACTGAATATTCGTTATATCAAGGATTTTGTTAAAACGAGGTTCGTTATATAGAGGTTAGGTTTGTAGGAATTTCGCTAAGTCGAGGTTCAGAACCAGCGTCGGTCAATATAGGTCGGGATTTGACCTCATTAAAATACAATTAAAGTAGCATAGGCTACGCTACAATACTTTACAGTACAGTGCTTACATTGTACAGTAGAACCTAAATTGTCCGGCAAAATAAAGGGGAGGGATCTTGAATATTGCGCAATCATGACAATGGTATTGACCTTGGTACAAGTTAAAAACTGTAAGTTTAAAATCACAACTTGTTCTAACCCTCCTAAAACCTAGCCAAAAACTGTATTGCATAGTTATAAACCATGTAAAGAACAAAACAAAACGGTAGAAAGTTTTGTAAGCTACTGCTCGTGATAGGCTGGTAGGCTACTTACAGTACAGTACTGATTTATCACAACAGAGAAATGTCAATAATAATCATTAACTATAGCATTGGTACTGCTAGTTGAAACAAATCGTATTGAAAACAATAAATTATTAGATAAGTCATTATAAAAGTTTATAATCACAGCCATGGGATAATAAAAACACTCGTAAAAGGAATGTTAAGATAACGATGTTGCTATACTTTCTCTTTGGTTTTGTTTTTATATTCTTTCTTAGTTTTCTCTTTATCCAAAAATTGTAAAATTCACCATAGTTATCCCATATCGCCCAATCACAGCTTACTAAACATTACGTCGTCATCAGTCCTCAGTGAATGAAATCAGTTCTCAGTTGCAACATAGCGCGCGCAGCGACAGCAGACAAAGATATAAAACGGAGCAGACGAGCAAACCTGGACAATCTGATATGTTCAGCGAATAAGAAAAATGAATCGACATAGTACTGTATTTCTTGAGCAATCATTGAAAGAACCGATTTGTTATCAATAGGAAAGTAATAGAACGCCACCAAGTAGAAGAATCGAGATTTTTTTAAAATTACTATCGTTATCATCCTATATAATGAAGAACACCTAAAATATGAAGATTCCCACAAACAATAAACAATAATGTTAGCCGAAGTGCCACTATTTGTAGGAAACGTGGACTTAACTACATGATGATTAGCAAAGTAAACCCCTCTAAGGCTGAATTGAACTGGTTCGGCAATGTCATTAAATAATATGTTTTCTTTAACACGTTCGCTACTGCAATAGTACGAAATTTTCCATTCACATGGACCAGCGACGCACATATGCGACGGCCGGTTTCCACCCATAGACTGCCGTCGCATATATGCGTCGGCTAGTCACATTAAAACAGACTGCCGACGCATATTTGCGTCGGGGTTCTAATGTTATTAAAATGCTTATATCTTTGTAGTGGTCTATTTGAAGGCACTGAATTCCCTGCAGTGGTCTACAGAGATGTCTGACGCACAACTGCGTCGCTTGGTCTGTGGATATGATGATTGGTGACGTCATATAATAGTTGGAAAAACTGGTATTTACTTCTCTGCATCACTGTGTGTATTTATGCAGTATGTATGCTGCATTATCCTGTGTAGCTTTTATATTTGTTCAGTTATAAACTGTTCTTGAATAATCTGTTTATTTTTTTACTTACTTTCACTTTAAAACACAAAAAATGAACTGTCGCATATATGCGACGTTTGGTCTATTTTAATAAAACTATGATAATTTTCACTATTGTCTTCGCTGTAGACCGGGCGTCGCAAATATGCGACATTACAAAAGGTTATAAAAAATACAAAAAAAAATAAGAATAATTTATTTACAAACACGATTGTAGCGTATTACAATGTAAATTATCACTGTTTTACAGGTTTTCGCCCGTGGTCCGTGTGTACTGTTATCCAAGTGACAGCCGGTCTATGTGTAAGATTCAAATGTATACCTCGGTCTGTGGCAATGACCGCGGCGTCGCATATATGCGACGCTCAGTAGCGAACGTGTTAAAGTCAAGTAATTTTACAATAATATGACTACATCCAAGAAACCGTAATAAAACTTTCATTGAAGGATACGTATTATTCACATTATTATTCACATTTAAGGGAAACCATCTGAACGACATTAGGCCTTCAAATTCAGCATTTTTTCAGGTAAATATAACTTACGTTATAACAGTAACTAGCCAAATTAATGCCAATTGAAGCAAATAAAATCGTAACAGAGAGATTATGCAGAAAATCAGGCAGTTCTTAAGTAATGTAAACAAAATGTTATCGTTTTATATTATAAAAATTACTGAAATTTGTAAACGTACTGGCGACAATGGGTAGTGCTATGTAGACTACATTATCATTGATGAAGATCAACATGGTCAACCTAATGCGGCTATAAGTAGGAAACATTTGTAGAATCATTGACGATATACCACGAATACACTAAAACCCAGATCAGCTTTTGAAAAATGATAAAATATTTACAAGAAATGTTCATTATATGGAACTGTTATGTACGTAATCTATAAGTTGAGTCTTTTAAACTCATTGGAAATTATGACTTTGATTCGTTTTTAAATAAGTTTTTTTTTTTAATAACTACTTTACTTCTTTGCAATTGCTCGATTTCGAGCAACATGTACACTAGTTTCAACACTATAGCTTAAACCGTTAAGGAGTTATGAATTGTTTTGTAAAAAGCACATACAGACAGACGCCAAACCGTTTAAGATAGGATACGTGTTGTGTTGCATTTTTTTTCTTGTTTAGACCGCCCAAATAATCTGGTAAAGTTGGTCAGGGTGTCTACTACATTCTGGATAAAAAATTCATGGACAATTCCTGTACATTTAAGGACACTTTGTCGTAACCGTTGTCGCACCGATTACCGAATATATTTTCCTGATTTGTCAAACTGTATTAATCTTGTTCTTCACTGTAATTGTACCAGAGAGAAAAGTAAGTAATAATAGACAAGAGTTAAATTTCAAAATAGAAATTTATTTAAATTAGCAAACATTTACTTCGGGTAAAGCTTTAGTGTAACAGAGAAACCCAATCATCGTCTACCGCAATAGCGACAAAATCCTGAATATCTCGATCGGTCATGGAAACATTATCATATCATATCCGATATATGTGGATTAGTTAGGCATGATTCGCCCTAGCACAACGTTAAGTTCTCGACTATTTTTTAAACAAATCCTTAATACATATATTGTACCTCGGTTCTCGGTACAAAATCGGTATGGTAAGCGGCTACCAGTAAGCACAGAGGAAGATTATTGTCTTTTCATTTGCAAAGTTATTGGGATCAATTACATTTTCTTAGTATATTCTACAGCTCTTTCAAAGAATAAAAATACCCATGCCTAGACCTAATTATTTAGGGGGGGGCCTATATCAACTGAGTGACAAACAATGAGGTTATAATAGCGGCAAAGTCACCATCATCATTCTAGTTCATAAGATTTAAATTGCTTAAAGCATATAACACAATAAATAAATATAGGAAACAAATACATTGAAACCTGAACAGCCAACAATATAACAATATAAGACAAAGATACAGAAAATGCAATGACATGATTTGAGACCAAGTAGGCCTGCGTTACAATTAATGCAAACAACAATGCTTGTGGTTTTGTCGATTGAAAGTAATATCCATAAAAAAATGTTTTAACTTACAAAATAATACTGTAGATTAGTTACAAGTTTAATATGAAACCATAAACAGTTTTATGACAGTAGGCAATGGCCAGCGGCAAATTGAATGTTCAAGAAGATAAAAGTACAAGTAAGAAGTGAAATTTAACAGTCATTATAATAAAACTATTATTTCCATGATTAAATAGGTTTGGGATCTCATAATAACTACCCAAGTAATAAATAATGAAAGTTGTAAAGGAATAAAAGTGATAAAACTTTTATGACCTAAGCTACTTTCACAATGGTTCTTGGAAGTACTTGATTTGACACTTGATTGTGGTGATAAAATATTAATGGGTTTGAGCTTCTAATGGTTTTTTATTGCACAATTATCCTAGTAATAAATTTATAATGTAAGCTAAACAAACATCTGATAAACCTTATATGTGCTCCTAACCAACTAGCGATCGATAAAATTATTGCCCATAAAAATTTAAGGACATAGTCTGGCATTTAAGGACAATTCCCGTACATTTCATGGCCAGTAAAAAATTAAGTACAATTCCCGGTTTTCCCGGATTTCCCGGTTGGTAGACACCCTGTTGGTCCTAATCGAAGCTGGACACCCTGTATAACCAGATGTCTGAGATCGAAATAATTACTAAACCCCCCCCCTTCCTAGAACCTCATCTGTTAAACAAAAGTTAACATATACAAGTCAATAATATTTGTACATCTCAGTATGCAGTACAACACTCGTGGACTCTGCTGAACATTCAACAAGGAAGAAATGAAAGAAAAATCCAAAGTACAGTAGACTCCCTCTTATCCGGACACCTTTTAACCGGACATCGGTTTAACCGGACTACCTTCGGCGGAAATGACAACTCTTTAACCGGACAATTTTTATCAGCACATTGGTTTAACCGGACTAGATCGGCAGGAAGTGGGCAGTACTGAAACAACTGTTCTCGTGGGAAAGATTTGAGTCCATCAGTGATCACGTGTCTAAATACAATGCTCTCCTAAATTTAAGTCGAATATCGCAGTAAACAGTCCGTTTTAACGAGTTTTTGGGGACGTCGGTTTAACCGGAAAACCCGTTATCCGGACTGGCCTCGGTCCCGAGGAGTCCGGATAAGAGGGAGTCTACTGTATACAAGAAGTAAAATCCATTCAATAGTCAATTAATAAAAGCTTTCAATATAACAAACTAATAGGCTATCTAATATCTACTACAATCTGCCAGGAAAATGTGCTCATCAAACAGCCTTACAGCTGTTATGACTTCTGCTTGCGCACTAGCCTCTTTAGCTACTGCACATATTTTTTTTTGGTTATGCACAAATATGAAATCTGTATATAAAATATGTATATGAAATGAAATATAATCTGTATCTTTTGTTAGTTTAAAATTCTCATATTTACAACTCTGTTGACTTACTTTATTCCTAAACTTGACACCATAAAACTTGTTGGCATGTTGTAGCAGTTCCGGTCTGAATGTGGTGGTGATGAACTGTGCTTCTTTGGACATTTCGTGGATCATATCAGCAACTGCCTTCCTGTGCTGGGCATCCAGGGCCTGGATATTGAAAAAACAAGTTACAACTAAAAAATCTACCTATAGAAAAGAAACTAGTTGTTCTGTTAATCTTGGGTATTTATGAATACAATTTACAACTATGCGCTTCAACTGGCCTATCCCGTAAAAAAATGATTTTTTTAATCCAGATATTTAATAAAAAAGCATTGCTTTGACTGGACTTGTTTTTCCAGAAAAAAAACACAATGAACACTGTTTATATTTGATTCAGATTAAGGTAAAATCAGTAATCATTGACTTGTTGAAAAGAGTCCATTCACTCTCTCTTCCATTAGATGAATTATATTTTACCTGCCATATCTACATAAAATTTTAATTAAGAAGGTTAATTTAAGTTAAGTGACATTTATGTTTCACCAAATTATCTTCAGTCCTCATCTAACTTTTTAGCGAATTTCCCTATTTTCTTTTTCTTGAAACTCTGCAAGTATATAAGAGGTACCAACAATTGAAAATATGTTATACAACAAAAATGCCAATGAAGATTACTAACAAATTGCAATTATTAGAGGCAAGTCTCAGAATCCTGACCAGATGATGAAGAATGTGAACTGATAAAATTGTGATCCATGGGTTTAATCCAGGGGTGGTTGGTTAAAGAAGAAATATACTGTATCATTATGACTCTTCTAATTGATGTATCACAGTTATAGCTAAATGCTTCCATTTTAACAATTTATTATAAACTAGATAATCAATAGACAATAAAAACCTAAATAAAGATGAATTTATTTAAAGCCTTATTTTTAGCGAATTTCCTTATAGGGAAGTAGCTATTACCGTAGGTCTCATGGTAACACCTAGGCCCGGGACCGATTTACTTTTTCATTTTGATGTCCCCAGGGGCCAAAAACACCATTGGTTCAAATTCTTATATATATATATGTATCCATCCGGACGATAACTTGAGTAACTTTAGTCCGATTTTGATGAAATTTGGTTTGAAGGTGTAAGGCAGGATAAATTTGAATGAGTTCGCGAACCAGCATGATCGGACCATGGGAGCGGGGTTTAACAGGGGGTTTTATGGGGTAAAAATTGGCTTTTCTCATTTTTGACACTCAAAACAAAACATTTCCCAATTTCTCCATAGACCTTCTTAAAGAGCTTAAAAACAAATAATTAAGTGTATCAAAGTGTTTTTTAACGGTTATTGGTTATGGAGAAAACTCAAAAAAATTTAAATTACAAATTCCCACGTTATTTCTTATGGAGAATAATGTAAAATTTTGTAGTTTGCTAGTTTATGGATAAATTTTGATCAAACTTGGCAAATTTATTGATTTTATACTAAGCTATAATTATTTTACTGAAAAACACACTTTTTTAGTTTCCTTGTAGCAGCAAACCTAGGTACTCGTTAAACATAAATGTTATAAATGGATTAATTGAAAATCAATTAAGGCAAATGGAAATTTGCTTAGACGGCAGGTTTGCTGCGGCGGGGGTATTTTACTTTATTGTTGAAATAAAATTAGTCTGACAAAAATGTTGTCATTAGGTTTATAAACAGATGTATCAAACAAAGTAAAAATAAAATCCTTCTAATACTAGAGGATACTTCTAGAGGATAATACTTCTAACATGCTGCTCCTCAGCGTTAAAATAAATATCATATTCGAGAGATAATCAAAATTAAATTATGATTTTTGAGTGATATAGTATTACAGTACCTTTTATCTCAAATGAATAAAACCATCAAAAGCTCAAATTAAAGCCTAGAATTTACTGATTATTTTTGAGTCCAAACATATAAAAAACATAAACAATATGGGAGCTATTGATTATTATCATAGAAAAACCTTTAAAAAACAAGTTTTATGTTGGTTGTTCACCTTGCTTTTGCTTGAAACTTATCCGATTTGATTAAATAATAGCTTAAATGAAAGCTGGTATTTCACTGAAGGTTCTCAGACCAAAATATATAGGATTATATAATAATTACTGGTGAAATACATCTTAAATTGAAGTCAGAATTTGAAAAAAAAAATCAAATTTAAGTTTTTGGTTGAGTAAACCAGGGTGTCTAGTTTATTTCCATTTTAAAATTCAAGACTAATTCCAGACTTTTCAAGACTAATTACAAATTTTTCAAGACTAGTTTTTTCAACATTTAGTGACGTGTAAAATGTACACTAAATGTGCATTTAGTGTTTTAAAATGTACGATTCTCGATTCGTGATACCGAAACCAATTTTTATAGTTTAACCAAATTTTCTAAATTTGGTTGTACTACACCAACCCCTGTCTTTATTCCATAAAGATTAAGATAATGGGGTGTTTTTTCAAGTAAAGAAAACAATGCAGCAATAAAAAATTCTAAAAAGGCAATTTTTTTTATCATGAAAATCTTTTGCGGCCGTGTAGACATACATCATCATTGACTGCCACGGTCAGGGAAACATCATCGTCCTCATCCGGGATCTTGGCAATATAATGAACATTTCCCACGCCCATGTAGACGCCATCAAAACCATTTTGGTTGTAGGGATGGACGAGATTGGATTTTTAGTTCGAGACGAGACGAGACGAGATTTTTTATTTCTCATAAAATTTCGAGACGAGATCGAGACGGGATTTCCCTTCTCATACACAACGGGAAATGCATGTTCAAAATTTTTACCTGATTTTGTAACATTGTTAGATGACTGTTTAAATACAAAAATAATGATAATAGGCAAGAATATTTACAATCTTTTATTAAAAAACATCAGCATAACATTTTTTTATTAATCACGCCTAACTTATTAAAAATGCCTACGATTAGGAAACATAGTGATATCAGTTAGGATAGAGTTAAACTTATCCTAAAATAAAATAAATCATAAAATAAAAGCAATATTAATTTTTATAAAATAGTTAGGTACTTGTTTTGACTTTTTATAGTAATAAAACATTCCTCACACTTCTTACACTTAACAAAACTTCTCAAATGTTATTAAAGTAATATTATTAAAATAATTAAAGTAATATTTACATTTAAAGAATTAATTAAATAAGAATGCCTTCGCAAAGGAAACGCGACTACAACACGCTCCTGTATTGCGGGTATTGCATTGTCTTTCTGCAGGCGTTTTTAATTTTTTTTTTTTTTTTTTTATTCTTGTCTCGATAAAAATCTCGGCCAAAAAGAAATCTCGTCTCGTGTAACAAGATTTAAAATTTCCCGAAATTTTCCCGAAATTTCGAGACTTGAGCATCCCTAATATATAGTATATACGTGATCGTCGTCTTGCGTGATCGCTGCAAAATCGTGAAATTTCCCGACTGATATTAAAATTTATAAGTATAAAAGAGGATGTTTGTATATATATATATGTTTGGCAGTGATAAACTCAGACACCGCTGAACCGATTGCCACAAAACTTGGTACATACGTGTAGAATTTCATGGAATAGGTTCATACACCATCAATTTCGTGATCCGTCCAATCGGCTCCACCCCAGTGGCTCTGGAGTTTCCCATGTTAACCTTATGAGAAATTGAATTAATGAATCTTAACAGCTGTTTCAATTAAACAAGTTGGTTCTGTTCTATGATGTTCAATAGCATTAACGTTACAAGGATTACCAACAGGGTGCAGCTCTATTATTTCTTTTACATTTATGACAACAGCTAATTTGCAACCAAAAGGTGAGTGAGCATAGCGAACGAACTTCAACCTGGAGGCGAGTTAGCGTAGTGAACGAGCTAACCTGAAGGCAAGTGAGCGCAGCGAACGAGCTCCAACCTAAAGGTGAGTGAGCGTAGCGAACGAAATTCAACCAAGACGTGATTGAGCCGAATAGAAAGACCAAAAATATTGTCTACCCACTAGCATTAATATAAGAGCAATAATAAAGAATCGGTTATCCTTTGTACTATATGTGTTTCATTAGTTGTCGTACGTATTTTAATTTAGTTATAAGCACTTCATATACAATAAGACAATTAAACGTTACGGTACTAATATTATAAATAGTCAAAGGCAAGACAACGTCTGCCGGGTTCAGCTAGTAAAGACTAAATCCTGACTTTTCAAGACTATTTTGAAATTCAATATTACTTACCGTTTTTCCGACTACTAGACACCCTGAATTCAGTAAATAAATATATGCCGATGCTTGATGTGAAATCTGTGCATACATAACTTCAATTTGTGAACTCAATCATGAAAATTGGTCGGGTAGAAGAGCCAAACGAACTCGTAAAAGAAAAAAACCTATAACTCCCATAAGAGTACATGGGGAGCAAATTTTGTTTACTTATAAGCCGAGTGGGGCTGTAGATAAATATTTGCCGATGCTTGATGTGAAGTCTGTGCATGCATAACTTCAATTTGAGAACTCAATCATGAAAATCAGTCGGGTAGAAGAGCCAAACGAACTCGGAAAAGAAAAAAACCTAATTTAACTCCCATAAGGAATACATAGGGAGCAAACTTCGTTTACTTATAAGCCGAGTGGGACTGTAGATAAATATATGTCGATGCTTGATGTGAAATCTGTGCGTGCATATCTTCAATTTAAGACCTCAATCATGAAAGTCGGAAGGGTAGAAGAGCCAAACTAACTCGGAAAAGAAAAACCAAATTTTTTAATATATCATACTTATAAAATTATAAATGTGAAAGTTTCTGGGTGTTTGTTTGAAGTTCAATCACGCATTAATTACTGGTCGGATTGGGTTGAAATCTGGTATGATGATAGCTCACATTTCCGATTAACATATAGACATATTCTTATCTCAAAAATCCTTTCGAGCTCCGCCCCAGAGGCTCTAGAATTTCCCATCTTAACCGTATGAGTACCGATTCATATTTAAAAGGAATTAAAGAAATTTTACAGCTGTATCAACTACAAAAGTTGGTTCTATGAATTCAATCGCATTAAAAGGTTATAAGGTTTATTAAAAGGGTGCAGCACTATTAATTATAAATGTTTGTGGGTAACTTTTCAAGTTCCATCAAGTGAAAACTACTTAACCGATTAAGCTGACATTTTGCAGAGAAGTACTTTATAGTCTTGAGAAACACATGGGCATATTTTAGTTGACCCTATTGAACACCCAGGGTTGTTCAAAGTTTCCATGTATTCTAATTAGTATTCATATTTATTTTTAAATGGATAAAAGAATTTTGCCAGCTGTTTCAAATAAACAAATTTGTTTCTATGATATCGATATTTTAACATTAAAAAGTTAAAAAAATGGTTCACCAACAGGGTGCAGCACTATTAATTTTTTGCATTTATGACTACAGCTAATTAAAAATACGCTTAGGCAGCAAAAAATAGCTGTGATACACAATGCGAATCGTCAAAGTAGTATTGTTAAGAGTTAGGCATATATGTTTTTAATTTAATAAATAATTTGTGATAGTGATTACTTACCTTTTTTTATTGTTTAGGTGCAGTGGTAGAACATTATAGCATATCGTAAATTTAGCAAACATTTATATAACACAAAATGTTATTCAATAAAAATTTACCTGATCTATTTCATCAAAGAGATAAAAAGGAGCTGGGTCACACTTCTGAATGGCAAATATAAGAGCCAGAGCAACAAGTGATTTCTGTCCTCCAGACAGTTGGTTCATCTCCCTCATCTCTCCTCGGCCGTTGAATGAGACTCTGATCATCACACCAGCAAATTGGTCCGAGTCCATCTCCTGTGTCATATAAGTTTAAGTTATATTATAAATTAATTAAAGGTGTGCAAAACTTAGACTTTTGATCTAGTCTTTGGATTAAAGGTCAAGCCACAAGTTTTTTTTAGACTGAGCTTTAATATTGTTTTGTACAAATGTGTTGTAATATCTTAGAATAGTATTTTATTAGTCATCATTCTTCTTTTCAAAATGCATTTTATTGTTCTGATGTAGAATTAACAAAAAGAGAGTTGAACTTGGTTCCTAATACTTGGTGATCTGGGGGTAAACTTTTCCATTGGTCTTTTAACTAAAGACACTTTGATCTCTTAAACATATACAAACGACGATATTCAGTTGCAATCGTTGGCTGATATAAGCAACTCAATCTGAAGGTCAAAAGCTAACAATGCATATATCTGTCAAAACATGAAAACGTCATTTAGGTACAGTATTTTAAAGTTTGTTTGGCTTTTTTTTTTTTTTTTTTTTTTTTTGACAGTTACCTTAGGCCATTAATCAATACTATTGTTGCAATAACCTTATTTTTATTTTTGTGGTAAATTTCTAAAAGGTGGGTTGGCATTACTGATCTAGTAACATCTGTTGTTTACAAAACCAGCCAGCTGAGTATTTCTCATGTTATTGTTTCGCATGCACAGTCGGTATACAAGTTCTTGAGTGGTAAATGTATAAGATAAGTTTAGTATAATATATTCAGTGCATTAGAATGTGTTGTTTATTGAAAATGCCGTTTAGATTGAATGATCCAAATTCAATTTAATTCAAATTTCCAAATCCAAATTTTTAGATCCAAATTTTGAAGAAGGCATGCTTAGGCCTAATAGAATCACAGAATCGGAGTATTTCTGAAAGAAACGACGCTGTTTAGCTTTCTGACACCTCTGTTTTGTTTTTAGGAAAAAGCATTTAGCTTGGATTAAATAAATATATAGGATGGAGAGGACACAGCTAACTCACCTGATGAAAGGTTGCAGATGAGTCAAAGAACACATAAAAACACACACATAATAAAATAATACTCTGGACTCGAGAGCCTGGACTCAAACTCCGCCGGGTTAGCGTCGTGTTTAAATGTTTATTTATTTTCGTGTAAATATGACGCTCTTCGTATGAAGAAAGAAAACTGTCCTTGTGCAGCCTGATGATGGTGTCACACAGACACCGAAACTAGTTGTGCTAACAACAAAATTGGATTGTTTTATAGCAGGCATTTAAACCTTTTCTAATATTATTTGGCAATCCGGAGGCTAACAACTACAATGATGTAAATATTACTTAAATTATTTTATCATTTGAGAAGTTTTGTTAAGTGTAAGCAGTGTGAGGCATGTTTTACTATTATAAACAAAGCCAAAACAAGAAACTATTTTATACAAATTAATATTGCTTTTATTTTAGGATTTATTTTATTTTAGGATAAGTTTAACTCTATCCTAACTGATATCACCATGTTTCCTAATCATAAGCATTTTTAATAAGTTAGGCGTAATTAATATACATTTTTTTATGCTGATGTTTTTTAATAAAAGATTTTAAATATTCTTGTCTATCTATATGGCATAAATATTGCGTCTATCTATATACGCAAGCAGTTTTCTTTTCACAGTCATAACTCAATAACCGCTGGACGGATTTTAACGTTTGATGTATCAAATTAAAGGTATTTTTACGTAGATGTGCAAATACGTCTCAAAATATTAAGAAAGTACTAGACCGCCGAGGTGCTGCATACAACCTCGAACAAATGGAAAGTTGAATGTTTATATTGTAGTGGATTACATTTTAAGCAAGTATGACTGGTGGAGACAGTTACATTTTTAACTCTTTGTTGACCTTTTTCTCATACAGAAATGGTTCGTTCACCTCATTTGTGGAATTCACCATTCTTTCAGGAACCCATTGGAAACTCACAATCTGGAAACAGGGCTGCGAGACCTAGACCCGGAGATTATTTGGATAAAGTTCGTCAATTAAATTCCGCCTTTGCCATGGTCAGCTCTGAAACCCATTTAGATGAGAGTATTACGAACGGGATCTAGAATTCCAAGATCATGACATGTTTTCAGGGTGTGGGGGGGGGGGACAGTTAATCTTTGCGGCGACTTTCGACAAACACTGCAAGTTCTTCCACATTCATCGCAGACCACAATTGTAGAAAACTGTGTAAAATCATTCACGCAGTGGTCAAGCATAAAGACATTCAAATTAACAACAATTATTTTTTTTTTATAACACCATTTAGTGTTTAACACCATTTTCTCAAGCTGACAGAATTGGAGGAAACAGATCACCACTAGCACCGATGAAACAGAAATTTATATTCTGAACTACAATAGGTAGCCTACCGATACCGATACTGGAATAATGTACAATACAATTTCATATTGATATTTACTAAAGCACAAATAAATATTGACCAGTATATATTTTAATCAAACTTTTCATGATTATGTTAGTGTCAGCAGTTATATTTATTTTGGTGTTTGTTTTTTATAAAAATGTATGTTTTTAGGCTTTAAGATTATTAGTTACATATATTCATGTTATAAAGGCAGATATAAATTTCTTTGAGTTTGATTGCATAGCAAACATTTTAATATTATCTGTATTTTTTTGGAGCCTTGACCAGGTAACTAAAAAGGTTTTGCATTTAGATTTCATGATTCGGGATTTGACTTTATAAGTTTCGGTTTCGGTTTCTGGTTTTGACCTGGTGGATGGCTTGGTGGATTTGAGACCTACAGACGAGACAACCCTATAAGTTTTTTCTTCTTTTTTTCTGTGCTAATACATTGAGTAGCATCATTTAGTATGAGGCTAGCTCAACATATTTAAGCTATTATTTTGTATCACAGACTTACATGAGAACCAGAACTTTCAAGCCCGTCAGCTGACTTCATGACTAGTTGGGCATGTCCAGCCGGTACTAGCTTAGCGAACACTTCACTGAAGTATGTGGATACTTGTTTGAATGTGAACTGGATGGCTTCACACTTGCGCTGCTCTAATACCTGCATTAACTCTTTGATCTTCTCATCTCTGACAAACATATAAAACATTAGGACAACAGTAGACTGGCCAGTGGTCACTAAAAGAGAATGCACTGGAAGGTCATTGGTATGAGGATTATAATTAAAATGTGATTTCCAGCCAAATAATCTGTAATCCTACTAGTATGGAATAATGGAATAGTAAAGATTAATGTTTAGATAGTCTTTACGACACAAGCATTAGAAACTTCATGTGTTTTTATAACGTTTGTAAAACTTTATTACCAATACTCTTTTCTGTTACTTTTTCATTAAATAGGTACTACTAGTAGCATTCTTACCGTAAGTGCTGTTTCAGGTACAAATAGAAATAGTACATAATTTAGCAAAACTGAATTTACTAAAACAGTGTATTTATAACATTTAAATCATAATAAAAAAAATTAAATTATCTATAAAATTATTATTTTTATGAGTGAGGGATAATCAATAACAAGTCTTCCACACATTTTATTTTTTAAATTAAACCATGAATCCTTTTGCTGACACTGCTCTGCAGTTAAATGATATTTTTAGGACAAAGACAAAAAGTTTAGTACATCTTATACAGTAGAACCTACAAAGTTCGACACTTTGTGGACCTAAGGGGTGTCGAACTATCGAAATGTCGAACTATAGGGAGTAAATGGAGTTTAATATACAGGAAATTAAAAACACAAGTTTCATGTAGAAATCACTTAAATTTATTAAATACAGTACTAAAAAGCCCAACAATTATTGCACTGATAATTACTGTAGTTCAGTCTTAACTCAACAATAATGACAAATTAATGTTCAAGTCAATTTAAAGAACATCAAAATTATACATCACAATACTGTAGTAACTAATGAATTTCACTTAACAAAACATTTTTTATCTTTGATTGTCTTTCACTCGGATTTATCTGCTGCGCAGCTTCGTCACGTAGTCTCTTAAGGCAAAGAATATCCATTGCAGATGCTCCCTGCTCCTGTAGGTACTGGAAGGCTCCCTAGATGAACTTCACACCTTCAGTATGTGTTAATTTTGGTTGTGGGTCGTCGACCTCGCCCTCCAACTCTTCTTCATCACTCACATCCTTTTGTTTGAGAGGAGCAACAATTTCCTAGTGTGATGTAGGCTCTACTTCCTGATCTTCATTCATCCAATCTTCAACGTCACCGTCTGAAGCTCCTTCGCAGCCTGGAATTTTCTCTATCAATGTCACAAGTTCGTTGTCAGTGGGATCTTCTTTTTTGAACTCATTTCCTTCATGGTCCAAGAGTTTTCTCCATGAACGCACTAGAGTCAAAGGATTGAGCTCTTTCCATGACTTAGATATCCATCCGATAACATCCAGCATATCAATTCTTTTTAATTTTTCAACCAAGTCGAGTACCTCGTCCATTCCTTGAATAAGGCAAGAGAGAAGTTTCTTACTGTACAACTTTTTAAGAGTCGCTAAAACGCCTTGAATGATCCATTGGTTGGCACAGAGAGGTCAGGTTAGGTGGCAGAAACATCGCTTTTATTCCTTCATCCTGAATTACCTCTACACTTGGGGGGGTCGTTGCGTTGTCAAGAATTAGAATTGCCTTTCTTGGAAGATTCTTGGATTTTAAATGTTTCTCAACGTCTCGTACGAACTGCTTAAATGACTCATTAAAAATATACTCAGACATCCATGCATTGGATTGATGCCTGTACCAAACAGGGAGATCAAAACTGTCACCTTTCATTTTTAGGTTTTTGAAGGCTCTAGGCTTTTTTGCTTTACCTATAAGAGCCAATTTTAGTTTGTGGGTTCCAGTTGCGTTGCTGCAAGCTAAAATGGTTACTCTTTCTTTACTTTTTTTGTAACCAGCAGCAGCTTTTTCTGTTTTGAGTACAAGGCTTTTAGTTGGTAGCATTCTAAAATGTAGGCCTGTTTCATCGCAATTATATATTTGCTCCCCAGTCAGACCCTCTTCTTCAATCAAAGCTTGAAATTTGACTTTAAATTCACATTCGCTATTTGGGTTTGCTGACAACCTTTCCCCACAAACGCTAAGTTGTTTGACACCATACCTGTGTTTCCACCTGTCTAACCAGCTGCTGCTTGCAGTCAAATCAGGCTCTCCTTCCCCTTTGAATTCATTGTAAAACTGCATTGCTTTTTCCTGAAGAAGTGGTCCTGTCATCGGCGTTCCTTTATCCCGTTGAATCCTAAACCACTGAATCAGCGCTTCACCTAAGTTTTCATACTTTTCCTTTCCACAATCAATTCCGTACAAAGTCTTTTCAAACACCACGACTCGATTTCAGTCCTTGTCTTCTTCCATCCAATCACTGTCAACCGACCAACATTTAATTCACTCGCCACTTTGTTCACACTTTCTCCGTTATCGATTCGTTTGAGTGGGTCTAACTTCATGTCCATCAAAACAAAACCCCTTTTCTTTTCTTTTTGTCCGACATCTTCAAACACACAAAACAAAACAGTGCAATTAAACTAAACTAAAAAAAACAAACTTAATAAACTACGTCTTTTCAAAGAATTCAAACTGATAAGGTTCACGAAATAATTGCGTGTACAATAATAACCGGTTGCGACTCCAGCAAACTGATTTGACATTGACATTGACACTACAGTGTGCGGTGGAGGCGGAATTGGGGGGGGGGGGGTCCCGGTCATCGACCGGCGTACGCGCCAAAACAAAATATCGATCGCTAATGTTGTTAGACGGGTAACCTCAGCCTGTGTCGAACTACACGGAGTGTCGAACTATCGAAGGTTTACTGTGTTAAACAAATAAAATAAATGAATAAAAAGGCTAGGTTGAAAGTAGTTATGCAGCATTTTAAATTACTCTTTTTCATTAGCAAATCAAATCGTTCACCTTAGGTTAGGGAAAAAATGTATGAGTTTCTGGTGGAAACATCTGCCAACTCAACATTTAAATTGGTTGTTACCAGCTGATAAGTTGCGGTCCAAGAATTACAATTTTAATTCTTACGTTACTAAACGACCATCCGATTGTGATGAAACTTTAGGGAAGTAAATAAGTACCATACAAAATTAACAGTTTTATTAACCACAATGACATTGAGTAATATTTTATGGTTTTAGGGTTCCATTTCTCAGTTTCCTTTATTAAAAGGAAATTAGTTGTCAAAGCCAATCACGAATTTCCTTTCCATCAGAAATGATAGATGACACAACAACTTTTGTTTGGTTTTCAAAAAATCTCAATTATAGGCAACGTTAAACCTGGTTTTAATATAGTACCTCTCGGGCTACACCCCTTAGACGTCCAAAGTTTTGATGTGAGTTTTTCATAAGTAAATATTATATACATTACATTGCAGTTAACTGGCTAAGAAGTAAACCAACTGCGTGTATTGGAGGCATGTAATCTGGCTTGGAGATATAGCGCGATCGTCTATATTAAAATTAACGAAAATCAGCTGTGTATGGCTTCCGATGCTATTCTTATGGGAAACATTTGACATTATATCTAATTTTGTGTTAAAATTTTGGAAATTCCACAATTTTTCAGTCGTCACGGAAAAGAGACATATAATTTGAGTCCTCATCCGTCACTTTATGACTTACCAGTCACCCACAATTTTGACGCAAAGAATCCCCTTATGTAATTAAATATATAGATACTTGAATTAGAAAATAGTTCATTCCTAACCAGCTAGTAACCATTAGTACCACACAGACACAGAACTACAATTACACTTACCCTCTATCAAGTTCTTCTTTCCTTTTCATTAATTTCTCTTTCTGGTCTGAGAAACTCATGAATTGATCTAAAGCCTTTTTGTTGACATGGCTGTACTTCTTAAGATGACTGTTTGCTTTTTCCAACTCTTTAAACAGCTATATAAACATAAATACAATAATCATGGCCATATCAATGAATAAACCTATATGTTATAAAATCTAAAATATTAAAGCGGTAGTGAACAAACAGACATAAAAATATAATGATCTTTTCAATATCATTCAATTCTGACGGATCCCAGTGCAATAACTTTTTGCATCCCATGCATCTACACCCGGAAATCTTTTACTGATCGTTTTATAGAAAATGGAATGTAAGCTATTAAAAAATTAATTGTAATTAAGAGCAAATGCAGTCTTTCATTACATATACTTTTTAACTTTATCAGTGATGTAGTGGGAAGAGAACACGTAGGTACGGCTCTCTGCTTTTCCAAACAACTTATACACTATATTGGTAACAGTATTTTTCCTCGACTTTAGCGAGCGTTCCTAAACAGAATTTACGACTACACTACTGAACTTTATGTAAATTAGAATGCATATTTCCACATGATGAAGTAGTTTGATTGGTTTATTATGAGCATTTTTGTTTATGAAACACCTAAACTTAAATAGCTAACTCAGACAAATGGAAAACCCACATTTTTGGAGGTGTAGGCCATGTACTTGTTGACCATTTCAGGTTGAGGCATTGAACCCAGCTCAGCAATCTTTGTTGTACATTCATCAATTTTCTGTCGCAAAATTTGCTGTTTTGCAGCAACTTTTGTTAAGTCTTTTGAATCTGCATCTAGTTTTTCTTGTGCTTCTTTTTCTCTTATTCGAAATCTTTCTAGTTCCTCTTGCTCAGCTTTTTGCTGAAAACCAATTTAATTGTTTTATTAAAATATAAGGACATTTCAAAATAAGGAGCTTTTCTCATAATTGGCCTAGAACAACTTAAGTTTGAGAATTTTATCATTTGTCACTATGATGTTAGATAAAAATAAATTCTTTGAAATCTCGTCTTGTACTGTTTTTAGAAAAGTTTTAGCATACTTTAAAAGTCATGTTTAAACAAAATAACAACATTTGTTATATAAGTAGTGAAAAATGTATACAATATATTATTTTGGTGATACACTAATGTATGTAGTAGAACCTCGATTATCAGGTGTAATGGGGGGAGTGAGACCACGGATGACTGAAAACCATGGTTAACCCGGGAGGACTCACAAGCTGGTCTAAAAGACTGGGTTGGTATTGTTGGTAATAATTTTAGTAAAACTTGTATTTAACGGGCCTCGGCAGTATTCTCCGCCACTTTACCTCTCACATATCTTTGTAGGAACAACATGAATCATTTACCACACTCGCCCTTTTCCTAGATTTAGTGTATTGTATGTTCACGTAAAGGACTGGGCAGTTTGACCGTGTGTGAGTGACAGAGTTAGTGGGATGCCGGTTTGTTCGACCGTGAGTGAGGGACCCCGGAAGTCAAATTGTAGTTTTTAATAAACTTGATTTAGTTTTTATTTTTAATATTTTTGGACTGTGTTTTACTTTAAAATATCATAAATACTATATCATAAATAACAATAATTTGAATTTGAAAAAAGTATGGTCTGTTAGTTTATGTCTCTAGATGAAATTTGCTGCAAATCCAAAGAGAAAATTGTAGGCTAGTAAATGTGAACGTGAATGTTAAACGTGTTGAATAATTTTCTACTTAATTAATTATATTCTATTCTATTGTAATTTTATGGTTATTTGTATCATATCCAAGTTTTGCTTTTATATCTAAAGCCATTTTTTACATAATAGTGTGCGGTAACTTTTATAGTATTTTTTTAGATCAGTTCTTAAAATATTTCTTGTTATTACTATTCATGGTACTGGGAAGAACTAGTCTAGTGGTAGAGCGCTTGGTTCGGTGCCCGAGGTCCCGGGTTCAAATCCTGTCAATCACTAATGGATTTTTATCCATGTGATAATGCCGCAACCCTCAACGACCTTGAAGTAATGTGTAAAACATTAAGGAGCTAGAACTAGCATCCTGAAGGGGCATATTATATAATATATCAAGAAAAACTATTCATGTTATTTCTACCAGTACCAGAAAACTGATATATTGTTACAAATCAAACAAGAACACAATAATTTCCTATCATACTATAGTTTATTGTAATTTTATGGTAATTTACCTGTTCCAAGTTTTTATTTTAAGTTTAAAGCCTTTTTATACTCAAAAGTTTTCAGTAACTTTTATAAATATTTTTTTGTAAAAAGTTTCTTTAGTACTCCATTTTATAACAATTTTGTGTGTGATGAATTAAAATTTTTTCTACACATAACACAAACACCAGTAAAATATTTTATTGAATGTTCTTATGAAAGTGAGTGAGCGTAGCGAACGAACTTCAACCAGGATGTGATTGAGCCATGCGAACTAGCTCACTTATGAAGTTAAACGGGGCAAAGCCCGCGGGTTCAACCAGGACGTGATTGAGCCATGCGAACGAGCTCACTTATGAAGTTAAACGGGGCAAAGCCCGCGGGTACAGCTAGTATATATATTAGGGGTCTGCGGTACAGAAAATTTAAGGTCGGTACGGTACAATATCTTGTACCTCGGTTCTCGGTAAAAAATCGGTACGGTACGCGGCTACCCGTATTTTTGCGGTTTTCTTCTCAGAACTGTATTTAAACCATTATTTTTAACTTTAATACATTGACATTACTATGAAAATGGATAGTATCCTACATTCATGGTTTTCTAACAACAATTACTGTACCACACATTATTGAAACAAAACCTTTAACTACTACGAGGATTGTGTCAAGAAAAATCACAGTTAAGATAAAGGGATGTTGCTCCGGACTGTGACCTGTTCTGTGGCACAATTTCTCATAGAAGATGTGCTACGGAAATCTTCACTCCTTGAACCTGTACGAGTGTAAACTAGGCCTACTTCCAGACACAGATTTTCACCAGCATTTGTTCATCTTGTCTCTGATGTATGTAAAATTTGTAAAACTGATATTTATGTTTGTTCCTGCATTTTTGTCAATGTTGATATTTATTGTAAAATAACTTCACACTCTTCTTTGATCTCACTCATGCACTACTTGTTGTCATCCAACTTTCTATTTATAAATTGTAAATATTTGTATTGTTAATATTTTTGTTACTATTGATATTGTTTCTACTATTGTTATTGTTCACTACTTGTACAACTTTTACTATTTTGTTTCCTGTAATTTCAAGTTGTGAATGTTTTTTTTTCATTGTAAAGTGGCTATGCCGTTGAGAAATAAAAATAAAAAATAAAATAACATAAAAAAATAAAGGCTTTACCTATTTTACTCTGAGATACTTTGAATAGCCATGATAAAGTGGTTTAAAATAGGATAAGAGTTTTTAGGAATAAACATGTTTGAAACATTTATTGACAAGATAATTTCACACAACTGGTAAATTATTTCCAACCAACACAATGTCTAGTTGTTTTTTTAATTTTTAAAAACATATAAAAGCATTCAGTACGAAGACAGTGTAGTTTTGCCAGCTGTTCACAGCAGACGACAATGAAAAACTGGAGGTTATGATGAAGTAATGGCAAAGAGCATATTTTTTTTATTAGCTTCAAAACTAGTTATAAGATAGATACAACTCTTGCAAAGTTTTTTTCTGAAACTAAAATTTGGATTATCACATAGTAAGATTATTGTCTTTTCATTTACAAAGTTAACATCCACAATATCAATCATATCAATCATTAGTTTATCTCAGACTCAATCCAATTTTCTTAGTATATTTTAAAGCTCTTCCAAAGAATCAAAAGACCCAGGCCTAGACCTAATTATTTAGGAGGGCCTATATATAAATTGATTAGGTTACAATGAGGGTAGCAAATCACTATCTAGTTCATAAGATTTAGATTGCATAAAGTACCTTCAACACAATAAAAAATACAGGAAACTAAAAAACATTTAAGCCTTAAACAGCCACATCTAACAATATAAGACAAGATACAGAACATGCAATTACATAATTTGAGACCGAGTAGGCTTGCATAACGAAAAAAATATGCAAACAACAACAACTATGCTTGTGGTTTCGTCAATAGAAAGATAAAATATCTATAACAAATATTTTAACTTATAACATAAGATTGTAGATTAGTTACAAGCTAATATGTAGCCATAAACAGTTTTATGGCAGTTTAGGCAAATTGAATATTCACAAAAATACTGACTGAGTTAGAGATAACATTTAACAGTCATCATACAACTATTATTTTTATGATAAAACAGAATTGGGGAAAGTCAAAGAAATAAAAGTGATAAAACTCAACAGTTCTTGGAAGTACTTGAATACAACAATTATTGTCGTGATAAAATGTTAATGGATTTGGGACTGCTAATGGGTTTTTTATTGCATCATCACCCTAGTAATAAATTATGAAGATCGTAAACAAACATCCGATAGGACTTTTATGTGCTCGGAACCAACTGCTGACTACGATAGTAAGCTGAAAGTAATTTATTATTATAATAAGCTGTACCGAACCGAATTTGTACCGTGTAAAATGCTGTACCGAACCGATGACGGTAATTAAGCTTGTACCGTACCGTACCGACTTTTTCGGTGCACCGCAGACCCCATATATATGTATATATAAGTGATGGGTTGGTACTTTACGTCAAATGTTGGTTCCGGCAATTGGTTAGACAATGGTGAAACGTTATTAAAAGTGGCACAAGATTATAACTTGGGAATAACAACGGTAGGAGACTGGAAAAGGAATCATATTGACATTGAAAAAGGTGTTCTCAGCGAGTCACAGCAACTGCTTTGGAAACTCGCAAGGCGATGAATAAGTGTGATTAGGTTATGATAAGGTAACACACCTTATGAAAAGGTAAACGAAGCTCTGTATATGTGGTTCACTCAACATAGAGATGAAGTGGTACCGATATCAGGACCAATTTTACAACAAAAAGCATTGACATTTTGAAATGAACTTAACGAAGGTGAACCTGATTTCACAGCTAGTGTAGGTTGGCTTCATAGATGGAAAAAAAGACATGGAATTCTGCAGCTGAATATCTGTGGCGGAAAGCTTTCCGTGAACTGTGAAGACGTTCAATCGTTTAGGGCTAGGCTACATGCAATATTATAAGGAAGGCCTATCAGGCGACCAGATATTCAACTGTGATGAGACTGGTCTCAATTACAAATGTCTACCGACAAAAACACTTGCATCAAAGGCCGAAGCGGCAGCGCCCGGTTATAAACGGAGCAAAGAAAGAGTAACAATTTTGCATGCATTAATGCCACGGCAAATATGAAAATGAAACTAGCTATGATAGGCAAGTCGAAAAACCCTTTGGTATCACATAAGGACAGACGGAAAGAGGTTCTCCTTAATTTGTATAAACAGAGATTGATTGGATCTTTAAATTATTATTTTTATTTTTCTGCAGGTTATGAAACAAATGTTAATACAATGATTAAAGTAAATATATCACAACTCACTCTCTTAACTGCTTCCTGGACTTTTTTCTCCATGGCTTTGAAGTCCTTGTTAACCTGTTCAATTCTTTTCTCAATGCCAGCCAACTCTGACTTGCTATTATCCAACGTTCGCTTCCGTTCTTCTACAGAAATTTCTTGCAAAGCCTGACAACCAAAAACAATTTATCCTGAAATTGATGGTATAGCAACAAGTTTAAAAGTCTGATACTAAATATTGTGAACTTTTGGACACCAGGGAGGATAGGGTTGTTTAAGGAAAGAGTTTAAAAATATAGAAGTAAATAAAAGAGATTAAACGCCAAACAGTAATACAAAGACAAGACATGGGGTCGATTTACTCATTTCTTCTTATCTTAGTACATTAAAGTCATAAATGCTAAACAGTCATTGAATTCAAATGTAGCTTATCACAGTATGTTTAAAACAGGTGTAGCGTCATACTTAACTTTTGAGATGAATTGAAATCATCTTAATCACTGACCTGAATAAGTTCATCTCTACGCCGAATAAGGTTGTTGGTAAGCAAGTTTTCGAGTTTGTTTTTCTCAGCCTCAAGTTTCATTCTTGTGGCAAACGCAGATTTGTTCTCTTGAGTCAGACGTCGAATGTCATCATTTAGTTTGTCCATTTCTAGTTGGTCAACAACTGATAATTGTGCCAGTAGATCCTAAAACAGCATTATACTTAGATGTAGGCCTACAATATTTTATAACATGTATTTTCACGTTATAAAGAAAACCACTAATTGGCATGAATGGTTATTGTTAGGTTACTGGTTAAAACGTTCGCTTCGGTTGTCCGGTGCCCGGCCACAGCCGGTGGCAGGAGCAGCCAATGCGCTGCGTGGATGAGTGCGCGAAAATGTTTAAATTTAGTTTTATCCAATAGGAGAGGCATATTATAGCATCTACTGCGTTTCAGTCGTTCTAGACGTAGTTTTACAAGAACTTAACAGATAGCAGCACTAAACAGCAGGCCCTCAGTATTATTAATTACAAATGATCAATTATTTAAGATGGTGATGCCACTTATGCGCATATTTTTAATCCCAAATAATATGAGTGAAGGATTAGTGACGCGATCTTGTAGTCTCGTTAGTGACTAAAGCCGACATGTTCCTTATTGTTTTAATAAAGACTGCAAATAAAACATATGTTTTATTTAGGATATTATTATGAGATGTAAACAATTATTGGTTATTGTTTTTGACTTCTTACAAAAGACATGTTTAAATAAAGTCTTATTTAATATAGTTCTTTCCTGATAATATTATTGTCACGACAACTATTGACGGTCGTGATACATGGCGCAGCGTGATGTAAACCTACAGATCCAACAGGAAATTGAAGAGAACAGACTTCTAACAAATCAAATCCATGTCAAGCCTCCAGACAATTTTGACTTCAACCCCTATGATTGGAGTGCAAGAAAGAAACACTTTGAAAGGTACAGGTCAGTCAGCAATCTACATAAAGCACCTGGGAAAAGGCAAGTTGATATTCTTTGCTACTGTACGGGGAATAAGGCTGAGGAAATATTTGATTAATTTAATCTAAGCCCTCATGAGTTAGAAAATTATGACTTGATTTTGGGAAAATTCAAAAACCATTTCGTTCCCAAAACAAACATAATTTATCAGCGTGCTAAATTTCTTAGACGAAAACAAGGATCTTCAGAGTCTGCTGAAAACTTCATCACAGACTTACATACTCTTGCAAAATGATGCAACTGGGGAGATTTAAAGGATAAAATGATTCTCATGCAACTTATCGTTGGAATGAATTATCAAAACCTTATTGATCGCTTACAGTTACAAAGCTCACTAAAATCATAAACTGCAGTTGATGCTCTTTGCAGTTCAGAGGCATTTCTTCCGTTGATCAAGTAAAATTAACGCCACTTCCAAAAAGCCATTTTGTAAGAAAACTGTTTTTAATCCTGGAAAATCCAATCCTTGGTTTCCTCTATGTAAATGGTGTGGAAATACGCTGTCCCATTGCTGAGGCTTGTGTCCTGCCAAAAATGTTCGGTGTAACTACTACTGTAAAGCTAACGGTCACTTCGCTAAATTTTATTCAAAGCAAAAGGTTAAATGCAGTTCTAAACCCCGAATCTTGGGAAATTGAATCAGATTTAATGATGCTGACATTATCAAGTTTAAAATCGATACCGGAGCAGACGTTTCAGAGTTGCAAGCTAAAACAAAAAAGTTCCATAGCAACATACCTGTAAAAGACTCTCAGGTCGGGATGGGACTGAGCTAGCTATACGCGGGATGGTAAATGTAAGGTTGGACTATAAGAACAAGTCTTGTTTTGAGCGTTTTTATGTAGCGGAAAAATGTAAAACACCCCTCCTAGGTAAACCAGCCATTGAAAAACTTAACCTTCTACAAGTTGTCCAAAGTGTGTATTCGACTTCAACCAACTGGTACGAAAAATATCCAGCTCTTTTCAGTGCTTTAGGTAAAATTAAGGAACCTTATGAAATTGAGTTAAAATGGGAGCAAAGCCATTCTCAATTACAGTGCCTGGACAAATACCTCTACCATTATGGTCAAAAACCAAGGAAGAGATCGAAAGAATGGTAAATATGGAGGTAATAACTCCAGTAGGTCATGCTACACCTTGGTGTTCCCCTATGGCCGTCGTACCAAAGATAGACAGCGGTAACGTTTGGATATGTGTTGATCTTTTGAAACTAAACCAAAGTGTTTGGCGCCAGTTACATCCAATTCCAGGGATAGAATACACAATAGCACAGATCAAAGGAGCTACTGTGTTTTCTAAGCTAGACACCAATCACGGGTTTTGGCAAATACCTTTGGAAGAAACATCACAAGATCTCTTTGCTATTTTGACACATTGGTCACGATTTAAGTTCAAGGTCCTCCCCTTTGGCATTACATCAGCTCCGGATGATATCGTGAATATGCGTGATTCAATTATTTTGATATCACGGACAATTACTCAATATCAAACATTAAAAAATGACAAAATAAATGTTAACAAAAACCATCTTCTTTATTTCATTCAACAAAACAACACACTAAAACTATTATTTGTTTTTAACCAAAACAATTGAAAAACATATCATTGTCAAGCACAATTTTGCGGTTAGGTTCCGTCCATAATACTTCACTACAGTAATTATTATCATTATTCTATTCCATTTCACTAAATCCAAGCCAAAAACCTCACACTACACTAAATTTGGAACAGTCCCTTCCACCGATGAAATAGTCATATCTGAAAACGAACTATACGGGATTGAAGTATAAAACTGGCACAATAAGCGGCAATTGGACAAGGCGTTCCCCATGTGATACTGAGCTCACGCTGAAGTAAAGATGTTGTAATGGGAGGAGGACAACATTTCCCGTCCCTTGCCAGTGGTGCCGGTACGGCAGGATGAGCATTCCCACCCCTCGCACTCAACGTGTTAAATGACTTATTTCTTAGGCTTTTTAGCCAGTTTTAATTTAGTTATAATTATTGACAATGTGTTACCTGGTGGAGTTCAGACTCCAGCCCAGACCTAGTGGTCTGCATAGCCTCCAGGTTAGAGGAACATTGAGCCAGTGATCTCTCCTTGGGTGTGCGGTACCTCTCTATACCAGACAACTCCTCCTTCATCAGCCTTATGTCAGCTTTCAGTTTGTCAAAGTTTGCCCTGTGGGATACGACAACACACTGCATAAATCATTTTAATAACCAAGGTTGTTTTCATAAACCAAAACCGACACATTAAAAATATATTCTTTAAATGTGTTAATCAACCTAAATTTAAAATCTCAAATTATTTGTTATATTGAAATTTAAAAAATCTCTTTTATATGTCTCTAAATAGCCTAAAGAGGGCACCCGGACCCCCTGATGTAACTCCTCCCCATAGGGTCATCCTAGTTATGCCTAAGCGAATACTCTACTATCGGGTCAGTCAGTTCTTCACTTCAGGCCCCTACCAGTTTCACTCTAGTTCCAGTCACCAGACCAGACCACTGGAACCAGTCAGTACGTCACCAGTCACCTCTTACCTTCGTATCTACGGTCGGTCTTAGAGCGAAAGAAAAAGTTAACAAAATGGAGTACCCGAACGGGCTTTTTGGAGGGTGTGATCTGGGTCACTCGTTCACTTGGATGACCTGTTCGAATCAAACAGGTTTTGACCAAACAACCCACCTCTACTTCAAATGTGTGTAGAGTCCTTTTAATTAGCCCCCAAATGTTTTTAGACAGGACTTGTGAATTTTACAATGCATAATTTTGCTGTCTTTTGAATTCAAATAATAGTACCACTTTCATCACCGAGCCTTTATTATTTACAGTATGTATATATTCCGATCAATCATTCAAGGATTTAAGATATTCACACAAAAGAATACCCAAGCAGTCACACTCACATGTAATCCTCATATCACTCTTAAACTCTACACTAAACTCGCCAAGTCGAGCAGCTGTATACTTAGACAACTTTTTCCCACTAAATAATTATCATCTTAATATTATAACACATTAAATTATAATTTGAGAAAACGTATTGGTGGAAATTAGGGTTATAATTAATTACATTTATAGACAATAAGTAGACAAAACTGAGAGGGTTTGCTCCGTTTAAAATTTTTTAAACAATATCCTAAAGATTTTAATATAAAAAAAATACAATGTAAAGACAAATCTTAATATATAAAAGAAAGTTGTGTTAGTTACAGCGTTTACAAACTTTTTGTTTCCCTTTCAAAAACCCTTAAGTTAAGCGTCCTATGGCCCTTTGCAGTTTACATGTTAATCTTATGGAAGAATGTATTATTTTGTTTACCATGCCATGTTTGTAATTTCTTGATTAAATTAAATTAAGGAAACAGCTGTTGTAATGATAACCTAATTTTTAAAAACAAATCTATGCATAACAAATGAGAGCTATCAAATAGGTTTCTATTCCATTTGTTTTTTACAAATATTTGTTGTAAAATGTAACTGAAGGCAAGTGAGCGCAGCGAACGAGCTCTAACCCAAAGGTGAGTGAGCGTAGCGAACAAACTTCAATCAGGAGGCGAGTTAGCGTGGCGAACGAGCTAACCTGAAGGCAGTGGGCGCATCGAACGAACTCCAACCTAAAGGTGAGTGAATGTAGCGAACGAACTTCAACCAGGACGTGATTGAGCCATGCGAACGAGCTCATCTTGAAAATGAACGAGCATTTGACATAAAACCACATTAGGACAGGACGACGTCTGTCGGGCCAGCTAGTTTTCAAATTAAATTACAAGAAAAAACTCAATAAACCACAAGTTGTCAACCAAAGTCAGTCACAACAGCATGCTCAGATGAACTTACTTGGCTTTGCTGTTCTTGGTTTCTGTGCGTTGCATTTCAGATACAACTTGGTTGATCTTGTCTTCAGTCTCCTTGAGCTGAGTCCTCAACTCAGCAAGTTTATCCTCAGAATCCTTAATCTGGGCCATTAGTTCTGTTCTTTGTTTCTGGATTTCCAGTTTTGACCTCATATTCTTAAAATACCCACCAGTGAGTGTTCCTTTGGATGACACCTGTGAATTTTTAAAATTTATTTACATCCTTTCTTAAGAATGGTTAATAACAATCTAAGAACAAATTTATCTTTTTTACATCCTCATGTGTATGATGATGTTTTTTTCAATGGCAGGAGACATTTTAAATTCTCCACCATCGCAGGAGATTTTCTCAATTTTGCCCTAATCACGGGATACAATGATAGTGTCTTTGGATGGCAGGCGATAATCACAATAGTGCTAAATTATAGTTATAGTTAGATTTTTAAAAATGCACACTAGGCCTATAATGACGATTACTAAAACTAATACAGTACTGCTTTTCTACTGGCTGTGGTAAAGACATGTGTTAAAACACTAAATAGTTGTAATCAGTGATAAATAAATAAACAAATAAATAATAACTAATTTCATTTGTTTAAAAAAAAAATTATCATTAGTGTAGATTTTGTTAGTTATTAGAGGGTAGTGATTTATACTGTATAATTAAAACCAAAAACGAACATCGATCAAACCAAAACCAAAACAATAAAATTGCAACCGGCTCATCACTAGTGACAATCGAATGAACAGCATAAATTGAGTAACTTAAGGGAGGGCTAAATAATATATTTTACTCCATTTAACTATAAAGCATTGCTATATGACCAACAGTGTGCTGATCTTACCTGATCACCATCAATGGTGATACAGTCAAGACCGTACTCCTTGCTCATGTCTGTGGCAATCTCAAGGTTCCTGCAAATCAGAGTCTTTCCAAAGATATACCTCATGGCCTTGTCGAACATGGGTTCATAGTTCAGTTTGCTAACCATAGCAATTGCATCCTGCAACAAATATAATATTTTGTAAACTATACAACCATTTTAATATTAACAGTTATGTTAATAGTTTACACAGTGATATACACCCTCCATTCAATTAGTATCAGGACCGGTTAACTGTTGCCTGAATTGTGTGTGTTAACAGTTTACAGTTTGTATATTTAAGATAATTATTTTTGCAAAACAATTTCATTTATTATCCACCGCAAGTAAATATAACACACGCTTTCAAATTAACCTTTCTAGACACAATTTAGAATTCTACACCAAAAAACATTCATATAAGGATTAATATGTCTTTAAATAAAAATTACCAATTTAAAATAAAATAAAAAAAAACTGTTTCAAAAGCTTACTAAAAGACTTATTGACAAGAAACCCATTTTATTCTATCAATGAATTTTTAGAATGTAATCTCTTAATGTTGATTTGAATTCCAGGTACCTAGTTTTAATCTGATGTAAGCTAAAGATTTTCTGATTTCTAAATCTTTAAAATTTAAAACCTTTGTAATGAATGATCATAATTATTTAGTTTATAATTTTTGTTTAAGTTAGTTTAATAACACTATTCAAGACGTATTATCAAAACTTTCTGAATAATGAATATTTGATTGATTGATAGACTCAACAGAGCGGTGGAGAGGGGTCCTACCGGTCGGGCTCGATGGATTGGTCCCACATCATTCAGGAGCACTTTGGTTTAGTCGCCTGCGGGCATTCGTTGAGACAGGAGGTCAAGTTATGCACAGAGTGTTTTTTAATCATGCCTTTGCGCCATCATGGAGCGTACCATCGAGCAACCCTACACTGTAAAGTTGTGTTTTAATCACAAAAATCTACGTCAGAGACCCTTTCCCTCATAAACAGGCTAATGGGGATGATGCTAGGGGTGGGCGAGTACTCGACCTTCGAGTAATTACTCGAGTTTTTTCAAATACTCGACCTCGAGTCGAGTAGTTATAAATAGTGCCACTTCACGATTTTCTACACCCATATTTAATAAATAATATTTTGTTTTTTGTTGATGCCTTATTTAATCCCCATTCCTACAAAAAACAACTATCTAACCTCATATAGGTTATACCAGCGTAAACCAAATGTTCAACAAACAACCATCGTCATTCGGCAGAGCTAGCAAGAGAACTACTTAAGACTTTCACTTTCCTACAACAGTCAACAATACGTCTCGATAACGATACAGTAAATTGAAATAAAGCATTGAATGAATCTATCGAATTGCAATAGTCGATAGTCAACAAGGGAGTCTCGTGACTAGTATAACAATGGCAGACGATTCTTGAAGATATTACAAAGTATAGTATCAGATTTAGTTTGAACTGCCATAACAATATTTTATACCAAAATATAGAAATAACAAAATATTTTATACCAAAATATAGAAATACAACAAATAAAAATAACCTATTGTAGCATAATATTTTTTCACATTAATCGGTATTGGTGTTTAGTTTTACAAACCGATAAGTTACTGCAAGGAACATCGATGCATCTGAATGACGCAATCTCATTGGGTCTTGGCAGAAAGAAAAGATCAGTTCCACTTTAAACTCAGTGTTGCCAGATGGACGATAATTTTTTTACTTTTACAACTGTGGTATTGGCGTAAACAAACTATAAGTATAATTTATTTTCTAATGAGTTTACATAAACATGATTAAAATTAGTCAAACTATTAGTTTTTTTCACAAAATAAAAGCTATAGCATAGCAATTTTATGATAATTTTACCGACATTCACCATAATGGTGTAATGATAAATATGGCAACGTCAGCCCTGCAAAACAGCTGTTTGATGGGAAAACAAAGCAGAAGCAGAATGAGCAGACTGACTAGAGAGAGAGAGAGAGAGAGAGAGAGAGAGAGAGAGAGAGAGAGAGAGAGAGAGAGTGGGAGAGAGAGAGAGAGAGAGAGAGCAGATATGGTGACAGCTGGCGTAACAACAAAACAATGGATTGGAGTATTGGAGTGAAGTTATGTCAATGTCAGTTTTGAATGTTTTTACTTTGAAGTGAATTTGTAACTTAAAATAAAATTGATTTTGTTAGTGGAAGTTTTATAGAAAGTAAAATAAACATATTATGTTTGTGATTTTGATTGTGAAATTTTCAATCTGGTGGCAGAAACATGACAACTACAGTTTGAATTGTAACTTAACCTAGAAAATGTGAGTTTATAATGAAAGGCCAAATAGGCTATACCGGGCTACAGTGAAATGTGTTTTAATTTTAAATTAAGTGTTTAATGTGGGATTTTATTTCGAGATAATAGGCCTACTATGTTTTTGTTTGATATTTTCAGTCTGTCAGAGACGAGTGACTTGATCATTTTCATGAATGTTCTCCAAGTGATTGTTTTAAAATACCTGATTGCATATTGATGTTTTTAACTTGTGATACAATATGTAGTTTGATATTAGTTTTCTGTTTTATAAATAAATTTATTTTTATAAATTCTGTTTCTTATTTGAATTGAAATTATTCTTAAAGTTACCTTATTAAGATAGTTAGTAAGGTTGGTAATCATGTTAGTGAGGAGGAATTGAAGGCAAGAAAAAATAAAACACACAATAACAAGTGATGTGTAGGCCTAAATAATTTAATGCTGCAGCCAACAAGTAGTCTAGGCCAAATTTTTTATTAGGCCTAAGGTAGGAGGTACTAATAATTAGTAACCATATAACTTTAAAAATTTGGTATAAGTACTTAAACTACCTATTTAGGCCTAGGCAGGGTTTAAGCTAGCTAGGATGAAATTTGTTTCAGCAAAATGCTGCAAACTCTCTGCAAAGACAAAAACTAAGTTAACTGTAGAAAAAATATTATTCAATAACTTAAGCATTTAAAACAAAAAATTCCAGTAGGCTAATATTACATTTGTTTGAACATTACATCTTTCAATTTTATTTGTAGAAAATTCGCCATAGGCCTAGCCTGCAAAACAATTTCATGATGGGTAGCCTCTGGACCATACAGCAACAATAATAATGGTTTAATTTACCTCTGTCAATATGGTCCTTGCGTAGTTTGTCACTACTGCATCTTCAGGTGAAGGTCACAAAAAGTTAAAACATTTTCCTCACGTGAAGGTCGTCAATTTAACACACTGAAAAAACACATAACACACGAACGGTACGAAAAATCATTTATGAACTTGGCCAATACATTAAAGACGTTACACACGGGGTCCGGCGCCGGTAGAAGGCAAGTCATGACTGACGTGTGTTGTAGTTGGTAGCCCCTCCATCCTCACTTCTCTTATCAGAACCTTTTCTTTGGTCTTGTTGTTGTTGTAAATAAAGTTAGAAATACTAATAATAATCCGATCCCTAGAAATAAGTATCTGTCGAGGTTCAAGCCTCTGAAACAGGTTGCTGCCAGTATCAGAGACAAACTACAGCAGAATAGCGCTGTTATCACGAAGGCAGATAAGGGCAACTGTATTGTCATCCTTGACAGACAGAAGTACGCAAACAAAGTAATATGTCCAAGTATAAGGATTTCATTGAGAACAACAACATCGATCTCCTGTTACAGGATCCCACAGCATCTTATTCTAAGGATATAAATAAAATGATTTCATCCTGTACCAACCTTTTGTCTAAAGAGGAAATCATGCAAAACAAAATGACAAAACCGCAAGCTCCAATTCTACGTGGGTTACCAAAGATACATAAACAAAACGTCCCAATAAGGCCCTTAGTTAATTATAGACCGTCACCGGCATATAAAATTGCACAGAAATTAGATAAGATTATTAGGAAGGAAACCAAGTTAGAAAATGACCATAGTGTAAAGAATACAATTGATTTGGTATATAAAATATCTAACATTGAACTAAAGGGATCCTATATACTCGCTTCATTTGATGTTGTAAATTTATTTACTAACGTACCAATCGACGAAACGTTAGATATATTGAAAGATAATTTAAATACACACTCTACGATCTAACGAGGCTAAAAACGAACTAATAAACTTAACAAGACGTGTTTTAAAACAGAATTATTTTATGTTTGATAACAAATATTACAAACAAAACGAGGGACTGACAATGGGGTCGCCTCTTTCCAGTGTTCTGTCAGAACTGTTTTTGAATAAAATTGAAAACAAGTTTCTATTCTCTGATTTAAATCGCTATAAGAGCAAAATCATCCATTACAGCAGATACGTAGACGATTAATTGTATTCCAGGGTAATGAAAGGCAGATTAAGCTACTCAGCACATACTTTAATACTTTTCACAAGAAGTTGACATTCACAGTTGAAATTGAGAAAAATAAGACATTAAATTTCCTGGACGTTACCATCACAAGAGCAAACAACAGGTTTGATTTTAAAATTTACCGGAAACCTACAACCACTGACCAGACAATTCATTCAACTTCGCATCATCCCCATAATTATAAATTATCTGTTTACAATAGCTACGTCCATAGACTGCTTTCCATACCACTAAGCCCAGAAAATTACAACAATGAAATGGACATATTAAAATACATCGCAGTATCTAACGGATATGAGAGTGCCCTGATCGACAAACTGATTAGGAAACAAAGAAACAAGAAAAAGGATAATCAGATACATACAAAAGAACCCAAAAATATGTTAGTGCAGAATATGGCATTGTACTTAATAATGTTCTCAAAAAAGAATTAGCAAAAAACAATATCACAGTTGCTTACAAAACCACAAACAAACTGTCCAGTAATTTAAAAGAAAGACAAACTGACAATAGCGACAAATTAAACAACACTGGAGTGTATAAAATAACATGTAATGATTGCCCCAGTTTTTATATTGGGCAAACATCACGCTCTTTTGCAACTAGATTTAAGGAACATTTACCAAGAAGGAACTCCAAATCAGCTTTTGCCAACCATATCATTGATTCAAACCATAGTTATACAAACAAATTTAGAAGTAATGCATACTTGTCATAAAAGTAAATATATGGACACCATCGAAGAATTTGAGATTTACCGAGCAGCTAAAGTACATCCAAACCATATTTTAAACGAACAACTCTCATTCCAGTCTAACATTATTTATAATACCGCCATTCACATCCTGGAACAAGACCAAAGAAAAGGTTCTGCTGATAAGAAAAGTGAAGATGGAGGGGCTACCGACTACAACACACGTCAGTCATGACTTGCCTTCTACCGGCGCCGGACCCCGTGTGTAACGTCTTTAATGTATTGGCCAAGTTCATAAATGTTTTTCGTACCGTTCGTGTGTTATGTGTTTTTTCGGTGTGTTAAATTGACGACCTTCACATGAGGAAAAATGTTTCAACTTTTTGTGACCTTCACCTGAAGATGTGCTCCACGAGCACGAAACTGCAGTAGTGACAAACTACGCAAGGACCATATTGACAGAGGTAAATTAAACCATTATTATTGCAAAACAATGTAAACTTAGCATTTTTAAGTTGTGAATAGCAAGATTCTAAAAATACTACCGCAGCTTAAACCCTGGGCCTAGGCCTACTTAACGCGCAACTACTCGACTCAACTCGATACTTGAGTTCTTACTCAAATACTCGACTCGAATTGAAAAATCACTACTCGCTCACCCCTAGATGATGCCTTAGGCCGTACAAGAGTTTTTGAGTGGCACAAAATGTTTAAAGAAGGCTGGGAACTCGCCGAAGACGAGTACCGTGTTGGACCCCAATGACCGCTCGATCAGGTGGCCAAAGTGATAGAAGTTTTGGACTCTGACAGACATTTAACTTTCGCCCACATCAGTGATAAGACCGGCCTTTCAGTGGGAACCATCCATACTATCGTAACGTAGGATTTGGCAATGATAAAAGTGTGCACGAAGATTGTGCCGAAAGTCCTGAGCTAGGAACAAAACTGTCACTTGAGGAAATTTTCCGAGAAATTTTGGACTGCATCCAGGAAGATCCAAATTTTCTGGACAATGTTATTACCGGCGATGAAACCTGGGTGTTCCAGTATGGCCCAGAAACAAAAAGTTCAAGTTCAGGGTGGCACACGGGTGAGTTCTCGCGTCCAAAGAATGCTTGGATGTTCAAATCAAAAATCGAGGCAGATCAAACGGCGACGACAGGGGCTCCAAACAGCTTTCCGGATTCCGACTTTTGCGGGCTTTGACAAGAGTGGCAGACATGCTGAACTAAGTGTATCGAAGCAAGAGGAATGTTTTTGAAGAGTAATTGTAATGATACTTGAAATGAATTTTGATTTTTCCAACCAGTCCCAATGAGTTTTGAATATTTAAAATGAAAAAAAAAACTATGGATAGATGGTGTATTAGCGCATTCTTGACTCATTTATTAAACTAGAAATTTATTTGTGTTTAATGTTTCTTAATAAAAGTAAAACCAAAGTAGATAATTTAAGGCAATGTTTGTTGTGTACTTACACTGCTGTCAGGATAGCGCTGGTCTTTGACATGTAGTCTGTTGCGGGGCATGAAGGTCACTTCACCAGGTAAGTTCTGTCTGTTGATCTCCTTCAGAATCTGGGTACCAACACTATCAGACTCCACGATGTGGTAAAACAATCTAAAACAACCCATTACAATCATCATCTCTTTTGGTCCTCTCAATTATTTTTTGAACAAATAAATTTTTTTATTAAATTTTGTATGAAGAGTAAACTGTTTAACTGTTTACACATGTTACCTATTGCCAGCAGTGACCTCCACAGCCGTGTGGATGCTTTTCTCACAGTCAAAGTTCTCAATAATCTGTCCGTAGTAAGCATCAGCCAGGTCTGCATAGGTCCCTCCTCGCTGTCTGAAAGTTTCCAGCACTTTCCGTACACTGTCTCTCCCATTCAGGATAGGCTAAACAAACAGTCCTGGTCAAACTACAAGGATCTCTGAGCCTCTACCAACAGTCTAAATCTAAATCCATATTTGTGATGTAAATTAATGAAAATACTCATCATCAACAAGATAGTGGAAATTTTGAGCTGTGATGATAATTGTTATCCACTTGGGAAAACAATCATCGAGCAAAGGTTTAGCTTAAGATAATTTAGTTATGTATGTAGATACTTGAAAAAAACTTAAAATATTTGTTCTTGTTGATGAGGCTGGGGTATCAATTAATATTTTTTTTGTTTTATTAAATTTGATTGGGTTATAGATAAATGCTGGTCAAACGTTTCTCTCAACAGAATATGTCAAATGTTCGCTAGGTTACTTTCAGCCGGACAGCGAAATTGTACGAGCTACTGTTGTACAAGCCTACTAGAAATTATAAACCTATTGAAATACAATACAGTATTAAATTATGGTAATTAACATGTTCAAACCATTTTCAGTTATCACAGTAAAACATAACTGAATGTTGTATTTGAAATGAATCACAATGAATAACATACATATTTGAACACAATAGCACTTGTAAATAAAAATAAGATCTAGTATTTAAGGTCTAATAAAATATTTACAAGACACAAACTATGTTGAATTAATTTCTTTAAAAATAATTTTTACGGTAACAGTTTTTCTGTTTTTGAACAAAGAAATTTTTTTTTTACTACTTTCATGTATTGTAACACAATTTTGTTTGCTATTGGAGCATTTTATTGTATTGCAAACGGGGTAAGAGGGGAGGGTCTATGACCTTGAGTTGGTCCCGGGCCTAGCTGGTGACAGGGATGGTTAGTTTACATCCTACTGCCCTTCCTTCCGAGAAAAAGACACTGTAGTTTCAAAATCGTTGACTTACAGTTTAAAAACATTGACTTGTGTTGGTAATTAAGACCGGCTGTCTACAGTTAACGATCCACATTTTTATTGGAACGTGTCCCGGTTAATCCGATTACGCTTATTTGGGAGTTGATGTACCCTTTAAGGTTTTTAAGTGTTTCTTAGTTGTTATATTTTAGTGATAGTTAAATAATAAATTGTTGTAATAAGTTATAAAGGTAATGTGACAATGTTTAGTTATTTAATAAACACAATTACAAACTATTTAGTAGGGATGGGCCGATTCCGATTCTCGATACCTTGATACCTTCGATACCAGTGGTATCGAAGAATTGCCGATACTCGATACTTCGCTTCATTGTACTCGATACCTATTCTGAAAAGTGAGGTTAATTAAACTAAACTCAACTGACATTGAAGGTTGTAAAGAGTGGCACATCATAGTTTATTTGGAATACTCTGAAGTCAGCTAATATAATTAATTCCAAGTTCATTATCTCACATTTGTAATAGTTTTATAATCCAAAATAGATTGCCTTTGCATTTCACAATGAGTAGCAATGACGGTATGACGAGCTGTGTTCAGTTGACAACAGTGAAAACTAACAGAACTCTAGTTGCTGCCATGTTGTCAGATCAAACGATGTGGCAATGTTGCCAGATTCAAGATTCAAGATTCAAAGAGTCTTTATTCACACAGTACAAATTTTCGTACATGAATAGTGTCTATTGTTACTTACTACCTAAATTAGCAATAATAAACATTTAAACAAAATACTATAGGCTACATTATTTTAAATTGAAATTACTATAATCTTCTATTTTGTAAGGTGCAAGGTCAAGTAAGAATGCCTTCAGATTTTTCATAAATTAGGATTTGTCTTTTTCTTTTTTTAAAAAGCTAGGAAGTTTTCTAAAAAAATCGTTTCCAATATAAGAAGGTTTATTTTTAAAAAGTTCAAGTCTTGGTTTTTCTTTAGCTAAATAATTTTTACCCCTTGTATTATAATTATGCACAGGCAATTCTTGAGTCTCAGCAATATTTAAAAAATATTTAATTGTTTCAAAAATATATAAGGCGTGAACTGTAAAAATGCCCATCCCTTTAAAATAAGATTTGACGGACTGGTTGTATTTTAATTTATGTATTATCCTGATAGCTTTTTTTTGTATTTTCAAAATCTTTTTTAAATTCTTTTTCTTTGTCCCACCATAAATATTAATTCCATAGTTAATATGTGATTCAATATGAGCATGATATATCATTTTAAGTACTGATCCTTCACAGAGATATGACATTGTTCTTAGGACGAATATACCAGAATTTAGTTTTTTTATTAAATACTCGACATGTTTATTCCAGCTTAAATCCTCATCTATTATCAAACCCAATAGTTTTGAGGTTTTAACTTGAGCAATGGAATTTGTATCTATATCTAACTTAATACTTTGATCATTTTTGTCTCTTTTTGTTTTGAAAAGAATGAAATTAGTTTTACTAGTATTAAGTACTAAATTATGGTCTTTTAAAAACTGATTCAGACTTTTTAATTCTGATTTAGCAGACATTTCTAAATCAGTTAGGGATTTCCCAGTTGTGTTAAGATTAATATCATCTGCATATATACTTATCTTACTACCTGGGTCTTTTAGAGAATTTGGAAGATTTTTAAGGTAACATATGAATAAAAGAGGACCAAGAATCGATCCCTGTGGGACACCAGATGATATCTTTGATAAATTAGATCTTGTTTTTTGGATGATGTTATTTTTTGACAAAGTTGATATTTCCACAAATTGGTAACGTTCCTCTAAGTATGATTTAAACCATTTGAGAGTGACTCCTTTAATACCCAAATTATCAAGTTTAGCTATTAATTGATGGTGGTCTACATTATCAAATGCATGAGAGAGAATTTCAAATCGAATTCGAATTTTTTCTAATCGAATACTTTCCCTCGAATAGTGAACATTTACTAACCCTCAAATAATGAAAACTTGAAATCAATGTCAAGTCAATTCTCAATAACTTAATTACTAAAACTGTTGGTATAATTTTTTCAGAATAAGTGTAGATTGTAAATGTATCTTTTGTTTATTTAATTTAGGCCTAGTTCAATTCAATAGGTAACTGAACTTAGCTAATAAGTAAAGGTACAAACCTGAACCAAGTTTTATTAGTCAAAATTATAAAGCACTACCAATAACAAATTTTCAACACATTCAACCAATCGGTTAGTGATAATCATTATAACCACATAAAAACGCACATTGTTTTCTTTTACTAAGTAGGGATTTAGGCCTACAACTTACTGTCAGCCCTAAGTTTATGTTTTAGAACAGAAACTTTAAAAAGGTATGCCTAAAATAAAACTTGTTGTCATAACTTAACATAAGTTACGCCTAGCCTAATCTCATGACTTGAGCTTAGGCTACTGGACAACTAGGTTTGAAGGTACAAGAACCATGGCCCTATTTTTAACCATTTACAGTACCTTGTTTAAATCTTCGATTGAAATAATAAAACCCCTTTTAGCCTAAATATAGGCTAACTTAAACTTAGGCATTTTTAGAATGAGTTTATTAAGTTACATAGGAAATGTATAATTATTAACTTTTAACCTACTTTTAAGGACTTTTTACACGTGTTGCATTCTGCAACAGAGCCCTTTTTGACGAAAAAAATCCAAAATTAAACTCTTTTACTTATTTTTGAATTCTTGTGATGATGTTGAAGGCACATTTAGGCCTAAATCGGCTTCCTCATCTGAATCCATCTTGTGTCATTCAACCAAACTTAAATGATGCCTAGGCCTACAACTTTTAGGCAATATCCAACTGTATAAAAGCAACTGTTGTCAAAATATACAAACATTTTTACTAAGTTTAGGAATTGAGAAAATAATAATAATTGAGAAATTGTTGTCTGCTAGAGAAGCAGACTTCCATAGCAAGTGCGAATTACGTTTTACTCTGGGATCACGGCAAATCTATCTAGCAGATAACATTTGTATATATCATATTTCACATTTATAAAGGTGACTATGCGCGTTTTGGTACCATGAATAAGAGAACTCAGTATAATTTGTTCCGGTATCTTATTCGCCATCACTTTTTCAGTTTTACTTCACTCGAAATAGACACATCATTGTCGTATGCTAGATTTATGTAGGTCTACCGTGATCCCAGAACAAAACGTAACTTGAACCTGATCGCCATCGCCAAGAACAATGAAGGCGGATGAATGCTAACGTAGTGTTTTGCAGCACATAATGAGTTTAATAATGTTGAAAAATACTAAAATAAGATATCTAAGTGAGTTTTAATTAAATATTGTATTGCATTTTTATTTAATCTAAAGCAGCTTAACAGTTTTTATTTATTTTCAAACCAAGTTAGAACGGAACTATTTTACCGACCTTGTTTATGGCGCTAATGGCGGAGGATATTATTTCATCGGAAACTCACGACACGATTACACAATAGTTGAAAATGAAACGTTGTCACTATATAGTCCATAGAAACTGATTACTATTCATATTTTAGCCCGATGGTAATTTTTTATTAATTACTTGAAACACTTTTTTGGCCAACTTGATTTGTTTTATGTTTTCCAAAGCTCCAACTAATTATTTGACGATGCGAAGTATTTGAAAAGGTCCGAACTATTCGACCACCGTCGAACTATTCAAGAAATCGAATACTCGCAGATAGAACGAATCAAATCGAATAATAGTTTTACTATTCGATTCGATTCGAAATTTCGAATATTCGCACACCCCTAATTTGAATTCCTTATTTAAATCCGAATCGATTGGTGCAAGTCCCACGTATGTATGTTTTTTTTTTTTTTTGAAGTTATAGGACTTTGAAATTTTGTTTCAAAAAGGGTCATTTTGGGAAAAACTGATTTGAAAATTACAAATACGCATAAAAACGGGGTTTTTTGTATTTAAGAAACGATTTTGGTATCAAAAGAAAGCTTAATGCCCTCTTTGGAAGCAATAAAAATTTTTGTCTTAACTCACGGTAGTTTTAATTTAAATAATTGTTTTATTGAAGCATGTCGTAAAAATCACATTTCAGAAAAGGGACCTCTTGTCGGTCCTATGTTATTTCTCCATAAGATAAGAAAAGGTACCTCTTGTCGGGACTGCAAAATTGATGAGATATTTTGTTCTCCGTGAACTGAAATTAGTTGTTGTTCTCTAAATTTCCACTAGAATACAGGACAATTCATTTTTTGGACTAAAATCTGTTTAAAAAGTGAATACAGTAGAACCTCTTCAATCCGAACCCCCGTAATCCGAACGTCCACTAATCCGAACCCCTCATTGTTGTACTCTATACACAGTACAGCAGTTCTTTATTGTATACTGTATTTAATTTACAGTACTGTTTATTCACCATGTTTACTACTGTATTAAATAAACACTGTATTTTACTTTATAAAACATTTTTTTCACTTTTCCCAAAATGATGTTGATCAATTTTAGCCATATTTTAGCTATTATGTAAAAAAAACAATATGTTCTGTAATCCGAACTATTCAATTGTCCGAACTACCCCTGGTCTCAATTAGTTCGGATTAAAGAGGTTCTACTGTATTAAAAATGGGACCTCTTGTCGTTATGGCGAAATAACATTCAGCGACAAGAGGTACCTTTTCTCAGACCGTGCAGAGGCTAACAAAATGATTTATTTAGACCTTTTGCATCTTCAATTCTATATTTTAACCGATACTGTCATGTTCTATGTTAAATGAGGTATAACAATCGAAAAAAAAACCCAAAATTCAATATTTTCAACCTTAATTACTGATATTGGCCGTACTGAAAATTTTGCATCTCCGACAAGAGGTCCCTTTTTGCTTTCCACATCAAAAGTATAATACACATGAGGTGTATATAGTCAATTGTACTAGTGTAACTTGCATTTTCTAACTCCACATTGTGGCATAGCTTATAATTTTTTGTGAAAGTGTGGCATAGCTTATAACTGATTATAAGCTATGGAACAAATTCACGATTATAAGTGAATCATGACCCCACGAACTGTTCAGCTAATTCAGGGCTTCATGGTGACTATTGTAGAAAGCCATTTAGCGATGTATTTTTATCGTTATTTTATGTTGTTTCTCTCTGACTGAACTGAAACAGCTGTCATGAGTTTGCAAATGGCAAATGAATTGTTTAACCAGTTTTGGTTTTTTTGTTGTTTGATTTCTGTGCATAGTGAGTAAGTGAGTTGTTCTGTTCAATTCAATTCAATTCAATTCAAAATGGATTATGATCTCCGACTCCGTTCTAGTGATGTGACGAACTCCATGACTTTTTTATATGATTCTTTAAGTAATTTAAGTGATATTGGTGACAATATTGAAGATGACTTTGAGTTTATAACTCATGCAATATGGAACATTCATTGTAGGCCTAGATGTACGAATTATGAATTCTTATGAAAAAAAAACTCTGCAAACATTTTAGGCCTACCTAATTTGGTGATTGTGCTCAATTTAATTTAATAAAATATGTTAAAATTCATGTCTTCTTGAAATAGCCCTATCTTGTTTTCCTTATTGGCTAACCTAGTCTATGTAACCTTAATCAATACAATGCAGTTATCTTATTGAATAAAGATTAAATAAAGTTATATCAAAGTTCATAAGTTATATGTGTTATTAAATGAATTTTTAACAGGTATCGGTATCGAATGCGGAATCGAGAATCGAAACCAAAGTTGTAGAATCGGAATCGACCAATTCAGGAATCGGCCCATCTCTTATTTACCAAGATGTGTCATGATTTTATTTTATTTTATACAAAATCCTTTAAAACAACTGTCCAACAACTTCTCTAAAAACTAACTTTATTTTCTATCAGTTAGTTTTTAACTAACTAATAACTTCTATCAGTTTTTTTTTGTTTTTTTTTTGTTTTTAACTAACTAACTATTAAATGCTATCAGTTACTTTTTACGTGACAAACTAATAACTTCTAACTACAGTAGACTCCCTCTTACCCGGACACCTTTTAACTGGACATCGGTATAACCGGACTACACTCGGCAGAAATTACATCTCTTTCACCGGAAAACTTGTATTAGCACATCGGTTTAACCGGACTATATCAGTAGGAAGTGGGTGGTACTGAACCACTGTTCTCGTGGGAAAGATTTGAGACCAGTGATCACGTGTCTAAATACAATGCTCTCCTAAATTTAAGTCAAATACTGTATACAGTATGCATTTAAACGTTCCGTTTTAACGAGTTTTAGGGGACGTCGGTTTAACCGGAAAAACCGAGAGTCCCGAGGAGTCCTGATAAGAGGGAGTTTACTGTAGTAAGAATTTTTGACTAACTTTCCCAACTATGCTGGTTAATCACTCACTTTTCCTGCCATACTCCTGAGAGCCTGGTCAGCCTTGGCTAATTCTTCTTTCAGAGAAGTTAGAGTGTGCTGAAGTTGATTTTCTTTCCGCCACAATTCACTGAAAACCGTTCAAAATTTTAATGTATTCAACTGGACACTATTAATCAAAACCAAACCACATAATTTATAATACTTATCTCTTACTACACATCCAGAGGATGGTAACAATAATCGTCAGGCATTCAAGTACATTGTCCTAGCTAATTTTTTGTTCATTGAATCTTAGGCCAGGGACACACTTGGGAGCTGCCGTCAGTTGAATATCAAAACATAATGTCCCGACAAAAACTATTTTTCCGGAGCCGGCGACGATAAATAGAGTGCAATGAACTCTGGATCAGTCATGTTAGCGGATTTTACATAGAGGGATTAAGCGAATACTGTAGGTCACATGGTAAGATCTGGACCTGGGACCAATTTACTTTTTCGTTTTGAGGTCTCCAGAAGCCAAAAACACCAATTGTTCAAATCCATATGCATAATATATATATGTATCCGTTAGCACGATAACTTGAGTAAAAATGAAATGATCCAATTTAGATGAAATTGAAATTTGGTAAAAACATGTAAACCTAAATTTATTCGAAGAAGTTCACGAACCAGCCTGATCGTACCACGGGAACGGGTGGGTCGGGGGAGGTGTTAGGGGAGTATTAAGGGATAAAAGTGGGTTTTTCCCATTTTTGACCTTTAAAACATAAATTTTAGAAATTTATTTTTAAACCATTTTGTAGGGCTTACAAAAAGAAATAATTTTGTGTATATTGAAGATATGTTGTATGCTTATCACAACTATGCTTTTATCACACAATAGTTTGTATGCTTATCGGTTACAGAGAAAATGTTAAAAATTGTAAATTTAAAATTCCCATGTTATTCTTATAGAGAAAATGAAAACTGTTGTAGTTTACACATGTTTATGGATATATGTTGATCAAATTTGGCAAATGTATTTATTTCATCCAATGCTATTAACGTTTGGTCAAAACTTGTTACCCTTCCCCCTATGAGCAAACCTAAGCACTTGTTAAATCTAATGTTATTTAAATTGAGAATAAATTATATGTCTTATTTATGGAAATATTTTAGTAAAAATATAATCAGACAAGTTGAAATTCACTTATTCTGTGGGTTTACTGCGGCAGGGATATTTTTGAAATGATGATGTCAACACCGAATAAAATGGCCGCACTATTTTTGCTTCAACACAGGAGAATGAGGAAACGCCGCCATTTAAGATTTGGGTTCATCCCATTCTACAAAGGCAGTTTCATGGAGTATTTTATGCTTTAATGTAGCTCAGAAATGACTAAAAAAGTTTTTTAAATTATTTTCTTATGTCCGTGACTACATTCAAAGACCTTTTATTCAAGATAAAAGATAAAATACAGGGACAAGACTTATTACAGAGACTTATACAGAGACTTGACTACCCTTTGGTATATCTACTGCCTCTGAGGAGTTCCAAAGAAGAATTCATGAAAATCTTGAAGGGTTGGATGGCATTGTTGCAATTGCTGATGATGTGATGGTTTTTGGTAAAGGAGACACAATTGAAGATGCTAAATTCAATCATGACAAGAACCTTCAAGCATTACTGGAAAGAGCTCGACAGCGAGGATTAAAATTCAACAAAGACAAATGCAAAATTGGAGCCGACAAAGTTACATACTTGGGCCATCTAATAACAACAGAGGGAGTTAAGCCTGATCCCAAGAAAATATAAGCGATCAGTAAACTCAAACCACCCACTTCTAAAGACGAAGTCAGGAGATTTTTGGGATACATAACGTACCTGTCAAAATTCTTACCCAAACTCTCAGAGATAACGGCACCAATTAGAGATTTACTTATGGATGACTGCGAATGGGTCTCACAACTACTAAGTATTGCCTTAAAAGAGTTTTCTAAAGAGTGGAAATTTGAAGTAGTAACCTCGTCACCTTATAATCATCAGTCAAACGGAAAAGCCGAATCCTATGTGAAAGTGGCAAAAAAACTAATTAAAAAGTTAAAGAAAACAAAGAAGATTTGAGTGTTGCATTGTTGGAGTTGAGGAATTCACCTATTAAAGGAATTGGAGCCAGCCCAGCTCAATTACTGATGGCTAGAACAACAAAAACACTACTACCAGTGTTGGAAGAAAGTCTTAAGCCAAAGATAAAAACAGAGATAGAAGACAAGATAAAACTGAAACAATTGAAATACAAGAGGCAATATGACAAAGGTACATGCAATCTGGAGCCTCTAGAAGTGGGCAGTCATGTCCTTATTCAAAAACGACCTGACATCAAATCAGAGATTTGGACTAAGGGATCAATTGTATCAAAAGAAGGACTACGTTCATACATTATAGCAGCAGATGAAAGATTATACAGACGTAACCGCCGATTCGTTCAAATCTTCAAAAGCCCTTGAAGAACCTCTGAAGAAGCGAGATGTTGTATATGTTGAATTTAATATTAGTTGAATTTGTAGCAGCTGATTATTACTATTGTTTATGTTTGTGGTTGCTATGTTGTGAATAATTCTAAAAGTCAATACATATTAGTTTTTACTGAAGTCTTTACAATTATTATTTCTTAAAAAGTTAACATAAAGAATATCCAGATGTTTCGCTGGAGCATTTTCCTGCCGGACTTGAGCAGTGTGTCATTCCCATGCTTTCCTGTGTATTTCAACTTTCGCCGGATCCGGCGATTTTGTGTCCCTGGCTTTAGTGAAGCAGCAAGGGGAACCAATTGGAGTAACCGCTACCACAGTAATAGTGTGGATATAATAAAATAGGAGTTCTGGCCCAATGAGAGACTCATTTGATTGGGTCATAGTGTTAAACTTAAACACAAAGGTAAACCAAAAACCATTTGGAATGAGTTATGCCAAGTTATTTTTTAGCTTGTCTTTATGTTTTTTTTATTATTTGAGAAGTAATCCTTAACAAGTGTCTTTTTATCCTGAAGTGTATTTAAGTAAAAATCATCTAGAAATCAATTCAAAGTAATGATAAAATCTTTATTAGCCTACTCTCTTCGTAATCGTATTATTTAAGGTTCGCACCAATAATGATATACTCCTTTTTTAAATACCTACTTCGTATGGTCGCCATTTCATTGAAAAGTATTAAAGGGAAATCTTACTTGCGAGTACTCTGGTATTGGTCCTTATTTTTCTTATGTTCGTAATGTTGCTTGTTGTAATCATCAATAGCTCCTCTTTGTCTTTCCAATTCTGCAGTTTGCTCCTGAAAAATAGCAGTACTTTGAAATAAAAAAATATTTAAATAGCTTGGTTATAAATGTTGACATTTAAAAAAATATATACAACTGGAGATACCATAGATTAGTACCCACATACAAAATTTAATCCAAATCGGCCAAGAGGTACACACACACACAGAGAAACCACTTCGAAAACCACTTTTTTGGGTTCTGGGGAACCCAAAATGGATATTTCCACCCAAAACTCAAACTCAATTTTTTTATGAAAACAAAATTTTCTCCATAAGCTATGTATATACAGGAGGAAAAAGTAAAAATGAGTAACCAGCTAATAAGAAAGGAAATAGAAACACAACCAACTCACCTTAATAAAGCGTCCCAGTAGGTTAATAGAACACATACAAATTTTATTTTATGTATTCTATTAACCTCCTGAGACTCTTTATTCCTGGTGAGTTAGTTGTATATCATCCCTTTCTCCTTAACAAATTCTAAAGCCTAGTGTTGCTTTTTCCCCCTTCAAAAATAACCAGCTAGTACGCAATAATGGATGAAGAACATAACAAACTTCTTATCATTAGTTCATAGTAATTTTGAGACAGCTGAGATGATAATACAATGTCCAAACATTTGGCAATGAAAGTATTATATTTGTTGCAAATAGTTTAGTGCAAAATTGAAATTTACCTCGATTTTCTTTTCCAAAAGGACTTGTTTTTCAGCATCCTTCTTCAATTCCTCAGCCAGTTTGTCACGGTGTTCACTTTTATCCTTAATCTGTTTATTGAGTGATCTGTAATCATAATAATGAAAAACAATTGCACATTTGCATTGAAAGGGTTATCAAAACTCAACTATATCCTAAAAAAGAAGTTACCTATAGAGCAGGGTGTCCAAAACCTGTTAAACTGCTCCGTAATTCCCATATTTTCCAGCTGGTACTTTAAGACTTCCCACCTGATATTTATTGCAGCTTAACTTATGCGAAACTTAAGTAAGGAAAAAATAGAGCTTTTATTTTTAAGTTAATAGACCTACTTGTGTAAAACACAAATACAATGACTGTATTGAAATCCACTTTTAGATTATCATCACACCAAGAAAGGATAACATTAAGAACATGAAAATGAAATGGGGCCACTGTCATTGTGCCATGACAAGTTTTATTGTGCCAAAGGGGTCGACTTTAACAATTGTAAAACAGGGTGTCCACCAGGCTAACCAGAAATAATTCATGAGTAAAAACAAAAATCCAGGTAGTTCAGGTCGTACTTTTCATACTAAAATTTCCAACGTGTTTTGCGCAAAATCCCGCAATGCTGTTTTTGCGCTAACACAGCTCGCTATTTTAGCTATTTGAAATAGCATTCTCAGTAAGGAAAAAAAAATTATGATTGCTGTAATATTGCCTGACACAAGTATTCAATTTTTTTTATATATTACTGATTAAATAATCCAAAAATTAAAAACTAATCCTTAAACCTGGAATTTATTAATAACATCCTAAAAATAGTGATATGTCAATACCAAAATTTATCGAATCTCTCTACAGACACCTGAAAAATAGATTCTTAATCCTGATAATTTCAATTTTACAAAATTTTCTGAAGGATTACTACACCAACTCCTGGCTTTATGTACTTTCATGTAGTATTATTTTTGGAGTTATGGGTTGTTTTCCAAGTGGCCTACAGAAATAATAATGCAGAAATTACAAAAATTGCACGTAGCTAATTTGTGTTTTAAGCCCTTCTAAACACATTAAATAAATACCATGTTAAAAATAAATGGAAATATTAAAAAAAATATTAAAAAAACTTTCTAGATGTGTGCCATTTTGAAATTATTGGTCAAGCCAAACTCTAATTTATATTGTAATCATCAAACACAGTTGTAGAGACACCATCATCGTTTTCTGCGATAACTGAAAAATCCTGAATATCTCACTCAGTAACAGAACAACAGAAGCATCACCACTGTCTTCCGTGGTCCGGAAAAAATCCTGATATTGTTCAGCGGCAACGGAAACATTATACTCGTCTCCCGCGATCACAGTAAAGTTATCATCATCTTCCTCGATCGTAGCTAATTCAAATAATTTCCCGCCGTCATGATCGTCAAGCAATATTTTTGGACATCATCATCGTTTCCCGCAGTCACAGAAACGTCATCGTTCGCATGCACGATCACGGAAACGCCATCATCGTCTCCCGCGGTCATGAAAACGTCATCGTCGTATCCCGCGGTCATGAAAACATCATCGTCGTCTACCGCGGTCGAGGATACGTCATCATCGTTTCCCACGGTCACGGAAACGGCATCGTACGCATGCACGATCGCGGCAAACTCACTAACATGCCCCGCGGCTGTTTGGACATCATCATCGTCTCACGCGGTCACGGAAACGTCATCGTTGTCACACGCGGTCACGAAAACGTCATCGTCATCTCACGCGGTCACGGAAACGTCATCGTCGTCTTCCGCGGTCACGGATACATCATCGCCGTCATGCGCGATCGCGGCAAAAAATTCACGGTTAAATACAAAATTCACGCATAATTCCCGGTTTTTTCCTGGTTCAAAAAAATCACGCATAATTCCCGGTTTTCCTGGTCGGTGGACACCCTGTAAAAGAGGGCACACAAGGACATGACCTTGACAAGCAGGGGTGAGGGATGTAGTAAGGGGAAGAAAGACAGTGCTAATGCAATTTTAAACTATTGGCATGAATTTACCTTTATGCATCTGATGTATACTTTTTGTCAGAGGTACATGGTAAAATGTAGTGGAGCGTCAAAGTCAAATCTCAAATAGGCATTTGTTGTTTCTCAATACTATTGATTCTTCAACATTGGTATCGGTATTGAGAATGAATCATCAAAAGTTGATACCAAGACATTAGACATTAGACATTAGACATTATTTATTTGCACATAACATTCTTTTAGATGTGATAACATATAGAACAGGTGCATTGTCAAAATTGAGCCTAGACTAGAAAAATACAAAGTACAAAGTAACAGGAAAAAATACCTAGCCAAATAATGTTAATACAGTACAGTAGTTAAGCAAATTAAAAATTAACTCAAGGGATGGTTATAAAATTCTTCTATTTTATAAAACGCACGTTCAAGGAGTCCATTTTTCAATGTTTCTTGAAACTTGTTTGAACTCATTATTTTATAATATACCGGTAGTTTATTATACATTTTTAAACCTGCATACAAAGGACTTTTTTCAAATAAGGTCAAACGGTAATTTGGTAATCTGAAAATTGTTTCGTTTCTTGTACTATAGTTGTGTGTGAATTTGAATGAATCCGGGAGGTTATTTTTTATATTGTGTATGTAGTTTAATAATTCAAATATGTATAGTCCTGTGAGTGTTTGGATTTTTAAATTTTGAAAATGTAATTTACAAGGACTTCTGGGGTGGGAATTAGTCATAATTCGGATGATTCTTTTCTGAAGTCTGAAAATAGTTTTTGCATCAGTTGCCTGTCCCCACAAAATCACACCATACCTCAAGATGGATTCTACATAGGCATGATAAACCATTTTAAGTACTTCAATGGTGACACATTCTCTCAAGTGGACAAAGACAGATGATGCAGATCTAATTTTTTTCTTTATAGCATCTAGATGCACCTTCCAATTAATATTTTCATCTAGATGAATGCCTAGGAATTTATTTGTATGGACTAAATTGGAAAAACTATTTAATTCTCTTTCATTTCTGGCTGAAAATTTTATAATTTGGGTTTTATCCACATTTAGTTTAAGGCCATTTATTTTAAACCAATTTTCCATTTCTTTCATAACTTCTGTGAGAGATGTAAGAAGCTCTTCTCTACTATTTTCTTTAATGATTGCAGTAGTATCGTCAGCAAACAGAATCAAATCTCTATTAATAGCTTTAGGGAGGTCATTTATGTAGATTAAAAAGAAAAGGGGACCTAAAATGGAGCCTTGAGGCACCCCAAGCTTTATACATTTCCAATGTGAGAAATGCCTAGTTCCTTCATCAGAAATTACAGTTCTCTGTTTCCGATCTGAAAGGTATGATCTAATTAGGGAAAGACAACTTCCTGAAATTCCATAGTCATGTAGTTTTTGAAGCAAAAGCGAATGATCAACACAATCAAAGGCCTTGGATAGATCACAGAAGACACCAGCTGCATTCCTTGACCCATCCAAAGCCTCCGATACCTCATTAATAAAGTGTACAAGAGCTGTATTTGTTCCAAGGTTTTTCCTGAAACCAAATTGATTTTGATAAAACAGATTATTATGTTCAAAGAAACAAACTAATTGGTTATTTATAACTTTTTCAAAGACTTTAGAAAAATTGCTTAAAACTGATATTGGACGGTAATTGTTGATATCTGACCTAGAGCCTTTTTTGAAAATAACCAATAACCAACACATCTGAAAAGATTGTGCGATCGAGAAATTCACGCTTTTTCCGTGATCGCGGATGACAACAATAATGTTTTTGTGGCTGCGGTAGATAGAAGATGATGTTACATGCTCGGGAGATAATCAGAATTTTACCTCAATCACGGAAAACTATAATATTTACACAACCGCAAATGTTCAAAATTCAAATTCTTTACTAGCTTATACAACATCTTTTGTAGTAAAATGGACATAAATAAGAGTTTTGTTCATATTTTTTATAGTAAAAGTAATTAGTACCTAATTACAATTCAAAAATTCAAAAAGTAATAGTGACACAAGTCATTCCTTCTGAAAATTTTTAAAACCAAGCTTAAAACGACATGATGAAATACCAATCTGGTCTGTGTAAGGCAGTGTTTCCCAACCGGTGTGCCGCGGCACACTGGTGTGCCGGTAGGCCTTTGTAGGTGTGCCACGAAATTTTAAGTAGTTAAAAAATTTTTGATCTCATAATAGACGTGTTTTAAGTGCAGTTGCGCGTTCATGACAGCACGTTCCTTTGCGTAGAATTACTTGTCAGTGTTGAATTGAAAAGTCTGCGTCTGTTTGAAGGAAATTATAAAAAAAGTACTTCTCATCCCTTGATATTTACTCGATGGACTGGGTAAGAAATCCTTTAATTGAAACTGCTCACAAGACTGCAGTGTTTACCACTGATGAAGAAAGTGAGCTGATCGACTTGAAAATTGATCGTGGTTTAAAGCTACAGTACTCAAAATTAGTTGAAGATGCAGAAGCAGAATCAAAACTGAAGGAAACCAAAGTGAATATTGATATTTAATCTTTTTGGATTCCTTTGCTAAAGGAGTATCCGTTGATTTCAAAGAAGGCCATGAAAGCAATACAGTATTGCCGTTTTCTACTTCCTACATTTGTGAAGCTGCATTCTCATCAATGAACGCAATCAAGACCAAAACCCGTTCTCAAGACGATATGAGAGTCTGCTTGTCAACCATTCGTCCAAGAAAGAAATTTTTAATGAACAAACGTCAAGCACAAGTTTCCCACTAGAACTGAAACAGGGTTTATTAAATATTTCTCACTCATTATTGGTAAATTCGTACAACATTTTAATCAAGCTCAATGTTTTATTGTTATTTAAAACTTTCCATTTAATAAACACTAAATAATGTACATGTGTTGGATAAAAAATGTGAGTTTTATATTTTTTACCTTTGTAAACCCACCTTTATATTAAATACATATATATTATATATATTTACTAGTAAAAAACTGGTTTTACCGAGTAGGCCTAAGATTTAATTGAAAAAGGGGTTTTTATGACTTACTAAATGTAATTTTAACCAACAATATTTTTGCAGAAAAGTGTGCCGTGACTAAAAACGTGTACTAGTTAGTGTGCCTTGAACAGAAAAAGGTTGGGAAACACTGGTGTAAGGAGATGATGTAGGCAACTATTCTGAATATGATTTGACTAAAAAAAAATAGCAGCTGGCATCCCCATAGTTAACGTTTTTATTTTAATACTTGTTTGTAAGATCTTCATTTACCTTTGATATGGTATTTATTAGTGATGTGTCGATACCAAAATTTATTGCTACTCGATACCGATACCTGAAAACTCGACTGATAATTCTCGATAACAATACAGTTTTTTTACCAAAGTTTTACCAAATTTTCTGAATGAATTAATTTTTACTACACCAACCCATGTCTTTCTGTCTTTTCAATTACAAATAATTTAGTATATCAAAGTGTTTTTGTACTTATTGGTTACGTAGATAATTCAAAAAATTATTAATTTAAAATTCCCATGTCATTCTTATGAAGAATATTGTAAAATGTTGTAGTTTGTTTGTTTATTGATATATTTTGAACAAACTTGGCAAATTTATCTTATATTAAGATCTTAATATTTTACTAAAAACACACTTTTAGTTTCTCTGTAGAAGCAAACCTAGGTACTCGTTAAACCTAAATGTTAATTGAAAATCAATTTAGGCAAATGGAAATTCACTTCGTCGACAGGTTTGCTGGGGCGGGGGTATTTTTAACTAAATCCATTTTTGTCTAAAACAACCACTATTTTTATAATTTTTGTTTATTTTATCCTTTCAAACCTCCTTAGTTTTAAGGTACCTATTTGTATATTAACAATGTTGCCTGATTTATAGCATTGAATGAATGGATGAATGAATGAATTATTTCTTTATTCCAACAAATTACGGTATTTACAAAATATGTACACAAATATTTAAAGGAAGAACAAAAACATAAGTGAATTTAAAAGAATAAAATTAAATAAACCTTTACATTACATCTATGGTAAAAAAAAAAAAACGTACATGTTATTGGGAATAAGCCGACATGGGCAGCGAGCCTGTGCGTCGACTGCAGTTGCTTCCAAACATACATTATTTATCAATGCAATAAATAAATAAATGACAGGAGAAATGATGAGTGAAAAAATGATGTGATGGAGTTACAAGAAAAAAAATTAAAATTGTGAAATGAATGGCTACGTGAAAAAATATTAGGTGGCATAACTAAGTTTAAATAAAAATAAATGAAATGTAATAGTGACAGGAATTCTACGGCTTTGAAAGTGTGTCTAGAGGAGAGAAATGGGCGGCGGATAGCGAGTCAGGGTACAATGGCCAGGTCGCATGTCGTGTCAGGAGCGTCTGTGTCTGTAATCAGCTGTGATGATAAGCTCAGCCTCGTCCCCGCCTAGACCAAGTAACCACTCATTGACACGGCGTTTGAATATGTTTAAAGTGGGGGAGTCAAAGAGATTAACACTTTGAAAAAGTTTTGTAAGTTGCGAAATAGAACATGTGCAATATAAAATGAGTTGGTCGATGAAAAGGATTTGTACAGATGTAGTGATGTAATTCCAATTCGGGTAGAATATCTAGTATTATGTGTATGGGAAATCATAGAGAAAATGTTGCTATAATTTTTAAAAATATGACTTAGAACATTTTTTATGAAAAGTTGTCTGATCGTTAAAACTGACACATCCTTAAAGAGAGTGTCAGATGGGTAACGCCTGCACTTCCCAAAACCAATTTTTAATATTAACTTTTGTGTTATGTTTAATGGCTCTAAAATACTTTTATAACAACCCCCCCAGCTTATTATTCCGAAAGATAAAAGTGATTGAACAAAAGCATAGTACATTAATTTCATTTCACTTTCATTTAGAATCTGATTCAGCTGACCAATAGCATAGATATATTTTCTAATTTTACTGTTTAAATATTGAATATGACTAGACCACTTAAGACGGTAATCAAAGACCACTCCTAAATATTTGAATGAATCTACTTTTTCAATAGATTCGCATGTACAGTTGGCGTCGAGGTAATCACCACAGGTGTGAATGACGAGATTTTCTAGATTATAATCAGATTTTAAACTTAAAGAAATTGGCATAAACTTAGTTTTTGATGAATTTAAAGAGAGTATATTCTGGTTTAACCATAAATTGGTTTCCATTAGGTCGTGCAAAGCTTTGTTGCGGGCCTCAAGCCAAGTTTTTCCGCTGTTCAAAATTAAAGTGTCATCCGCAAATAAGAAAAGCTTACCAAAAATATTAAGTTTTGAAATATTATTTATACAGGGTGGCGCAGATGGATCGGGTGGTTTTAAAATACTTGTCAAACGGTCAATTTTAAAGGTATTGGATTGAAATAAAGTGCAAAACGTGTAGTTACAATGGAAGTTTATTGACAAAAAATTAGTTAAGTTAGTTTTTAAAAATTACATCCATCAAATGCCTTCCTTCTCGAGCGACGCATTCTTGGAGTCGGTCCTTGAGGTTCCGCATTGCTCGCTCAAGCACATCACCAGGATTTGATGTGATTTCGTTGTGAATTGCAGCCTTCAACTCCTGAAGCAAGGGTCTACATGAACAAACCCCGGACCATTCAGGAGTTGAAGGCTGATAATCAAAACGAAATCACATCAAATCCTGGTGATGTGCTTGAGCGAGCAATGCGGAACCTCAAGGACCGACTCCAAGAATGCGTCGCTCGAGAAGGAAGGCATTTGATGGATGTAATTTTTAAAAACTAACTTAACTAATTTTTTGTCAATAAACTTCCATTGTAACTACACGTTTTGCACTTTATTTCAATCCAATACCTTTAAAATTGACAGTTTGACAAGTATTTTAAAACCACCCGATCCATTTGCGCCACCCTGTATATATTAAAAATAAAACAGGTCCAAGTGTACTGCCTTGAACTACACCATAGTTAACGTGTTCAATATTACTGTTGGTGTTAAGTATTGATACAAGTTGAGATCTTTGAGACAGATAACTTTTAAACCATTGAAGTGTGTTACCCCTTACGCCAACTGCTTCTAATTTGGAAAAAAGCTTAGATCGATCAACTGAATCAAATGCCTTTTTAAGATCTAAAAATATTAATATTGGATGTTCATTATCTGAAATTGCCGAATTTAAGTCCCTATTAATGTCAAAAAGTGCATCTGAAATGTTTTTGTCCAAGCGAAACCCATACTGACAATCACTCAAAATTTTGTTTGTTTGAAGAAATATAACTAATTGATCTTTTACTATTCTCTCAATTAACTTAGCAAATACACTCAAGAGAGATATTGGTCTGTAATTATTCATATCGGCAAACTCATTGGATTTATAAAGAGGAAAAACTTTAGCAAGTTTCAAACATTCCGGAAATGTACCTGATGAAATGCTTAAATTTACTATATGTAAGAGTGGTTGTTTAAACAAATGGAAATTGGCTTTCAGGACTTCGGCTGAGATACCATCGCAGCCAGGTGCTGACCCACCGCGTAGGCTGTAAATGTATTGTTGCAGTTCGGGTTCAGTGATTGTGTGAAGTGTAAATGTACAATCATGGGCAAAGTCATTGTCATTTACAACTGGGTCCCCACTTGAATCGATGGAGATTGCTAAATTAGAGCCTACAGAGGAGAAAAAATTGTTGAAATCATTGGCAACTCTTAGACATTGTGCTGGAGATATCTGGTCTGCTGGAACAAACTTATCAATAGGAAAGGAATCTTTTTTACATTTTCTACCAGATATTTCATTGATTATGCCCCAAAACATTTTAGGGTTGTTGCCGGTCAAGTTTAGTTTATTTCTATAATAGTTTCTTTTTGTCAGCTTCAATGAAACACTTAAACTATTTTTAATTTCTCGGTATCGAGTAATAAGTTTGTTATTAAAAGGCTGCTTTTTGACTTGCTTACTTAATTTGTCTCTTACTCTTATTTGATGTATTAGGTCTGACGTTATCCACGGTTTTAACTTTTTGAAACGTGATTTCTTGTTAAAAGATCAGGTATTAAAAAGGCAATAAAAGATCATTGCTATATTTATAAACATTATGTGACAATAAAGATTTATTTATACAGTAAACTACGACCACTCGCTCTTTTCTTCAACCGTCAGTGCCGTTGCAGTGTGAATTTAAAAATATAAATTTACCATGCTCCACTCTGTGGGTCATGCATGTTGTCTTTTTCTAAAGGAGCAGTGCTCAATTGATGAGTCGTTTTAGACACTAAAAGTCATGAAAGATTAGTAATAATATTTGCAAAGTTCTTATTGTTTTAATAACCTTTATACTTACTTAAGCTCTTTCTCAATCCATTTATCACGATCAGCCTTTGATGTAAACTGACTTCCTCTTCCTTGCTTTGCATACAGTTCTTTCCTCTTTTGTTCTTTCAGGGCAAGCCTGAAAATATGGAAAACAATTTAATTTGTAAGAAAATACCATCAAGTTTTTTTGTTTGTAAGAAAATCATGTAGGTATGTAATTGAATGTAAGGACTTGGATAGTAAGTTAATTACAATAGTATTAGTAAATTATTCTTAGTGTAACATAGTTACAAACTGAAAAACGTTTGACTCAAGTTCAACTCAATAAAAAATTTCAGACTCGCCTGAATTCTTCAATTTTGATTTAATTTATAGCTTCTAGGCTACCGTAATTTTATTTTTCAGAAATTCCTATTAAAGGATGGGTACCAAAAGTCTTGAAGGCAAATATCAAATCCTGAACAGGTTAGATATAATTGTCGAAAGTAGTGATGGTCGGATCCGGATATCGGACTACCGGATCCGAGCTAGTACCGGCACCGGATCGGATCCAAAAAATTCCGGATCTTGGGCTGGATCCGGTTTTGATGGATCCGATTTTTTCCGATTTCCCCCGATTTTTTTACCAACACAAAGCTGTCTGTATCCATGTAAAAGACCGATTTTTCCCGATTTTACACCATACAGGTTATTGACGTCGTAATATACAGTACTGTGACATTGCCCAACTAATATCATCAACTAATAGTTTCATTTTAAGATTTGAAAAAGTTGTAGTGTCCCCAAAAAATGAGGGATTATGGGCTCAACTGGAGATTACTCTATATATAAGATATATTAACCTTTAAACATTACCAATTTAATTTTAAACAGTATGATTTAAATTGGCATTCTGTTAATTACGTTTTTTTAACAAGCCCTTATGACAGTGTGTATCTGGATCCGGATCCGAATTTTTCAAGATCCGGATCTGGATCCGGTACCGACATTTTCTTGGATCCGCCCATCACTAGTCGAAAGTATTCATTTGTTTGAAGTCAGACAAGAATTACCTTGTACTATTGTCACTCAGTGACCGTTTATGTTTAATTACAATTTCTATTTGAATTTAATTTCAATAGTAACAAATATCTTATGCTAATGTGATTACATAAAATTAAAATTGGCTTTATAAAATGTATAACTAACTGAACATTTAATCATTAATGATGACATTAATGTTCATAGAAGTAGTTAAATTACAAAGTACACAGTTCTATGGTGGATTGGCCTCCGGATGGTTAAATTTAATCCTTTATAAATAAACAGTTATACCCAATCATAGTTTTTCTTGGAATAATTTTCCCAACAATTAGCCTCGTCAAAACATCTTCTCATAAACACGTGGTCAACAGTGTCTATTGACATAGCAAGCAAAAAAGTGAAGATCATAAATTCAGCCACTATGCAAAAATATATTAATTAAAGGAAAGTTACAGTAAGAAATAAATGGATAAAACCTATTCAATTTAAATTTAATATGAAACCAACTGTAAGTGGTGACCTTCTTAAGTGGAGACTTTGGCAGTAGAGAAGAGCCAGCTTTTTAGAACCAGTAGCTTTCAACTACAATTTGCAGTAGTAGTTAGTTGTAGTGAATATTAATAAAAAAAAATAAACTTACCCTCCTTTAGTTTAGATACAAAAATTTATGAGTCAAATACTCACTCTCGAGTGCAGTCCTCTTCCTTTTTCTTTTGTGCTTCATAAAGAGGTTTTAATTTTTCCAACTCGCCCTCCTTTTGCGAGATTGTTTCAGTCAATTTTCGAAGCTCATTTTCAGCTCGATCCTAAAAAAATATATAGGAAACAATGTTTAAGCAATATAAAAACCAAGGGGGTACATGTAGGCCTTTTAAAATATTAACATTAACAAACAGTCATTCAGGTAGATTTAAAATGTATTTATCTCAATATCAACATGAAATTGTTGCAATTTGCATCTATCGATAGCATTAATTTCAATTTCCTGTCCCTGCAAAGAACAACATCTATTGGAAGGGAATTTTTAATGGTTGTTGTGGGAAAATAAAACTCTTCAGAACTTTCTACAACTTAGTTATATTTTACACTTTAAAAAACAGGACAACAAAACAAACCTTCTCTAAACATTAATTCAACTCAACACCCATTAGTCACCATGACAACCGAAATATCCAAAATCGTAAACATAAAGGACACTAGTCAGCTGATGCTAGTTCACAGCTACACGCCCCCGTGGTGTCAACACCACCACACGCCCTCGAGGTGCCGACACAACTTACACTTTCATTTTTACTTTCAACTACTTTTCGCACATCTGCTATGTGATGAGGCCTGCCATTTACTTCAACACTTCTGGGTGAAAACTGTCCAGTAACCACTCCTTCCTTCCATCTCGAAGTACAGGATGGGTTTGGCGGCTTGACATACACACGTTCACCTACTGTAAAATGTGACCCTTCATACACTTCACCTTTTACAGGTTCACCTTTACATCGCCATTGGTACGAAAAAATCTGGGAACTCGGCGATGAATCGCCACCTAATCCTTCTTTAGGTGTCAAATTGTACCAATAGACCATTTCTTGGATACTCCCTTTAGTTCTTGCGGCCATACGCTTGATTGTTCTGTGGTTTCGCTCAACTATCCCGTTTCCACTTGGCCGGTTGACACACCTAAACACGACTTTAATACCCCATTTATCACAGAGCTGAGTAATCTCTTCGCATCGAAATGTTGCACTATTGTCCATCAAAATCTCAAGTGGTGGCCCTCGATCAGTAAACAATTCCAACAACACTTTAGAAATCTGATCTTTCGTCTCTTTTGGGATTCGGCGCCAAATGCAGAACCTACTTGGACCACAGTCCACAATGGTCATGAACTTGCTTTGACCATAGTGTGTTACGTCAATGGCAAGCCTATACCAATTGTTCTGGCAATCCAAATACCCAGGCTCCCATTTGATGCTGGATGGATCAATTGACAGACACTCTTTACAACTTTTCACAACTTCTTCAACAACTTTTGTGGTAAAGTTAATGTCTGGGTGACACCGTCTGGCGGTGAATAAAGTACGGTTAACACCAAAATGATGCAAGTCATGAACCTGTTTCACCAATGTCTTTTGGTCCACACTCTCATTCTCACACACAAGTGCAATGCTAGTCTCTTCGTTTCTTGCTAACCATTTTTTTGGCACTCTTGTAAGAAGATCTGCTTTATTGAACTGTGACTTAATGAGTTCTATTTGTACATTGAGACCGCATTCCAAAATAATGTCTTTAAATAGGCTTAATCGTCTTCTAACCAAAACTTCACTTAACCCATGTGTTTTGATAGGACGGTCCCCCGTCAGTATAGATGACACCCAAGCATGAACTGTCGCTGAATCCGTGATTAATACGATCTTCTTTATTCGGCATGTCTGGAAACGGTACAAGATTTTCGGATTTGGTAAAGTTGTATGATGGCGAAGGAGACTTCTCGGAATGGCCGAAATAGCTTGTGGGAAAATAAAACTCTTCAGAACTTTCTACAACTTAGTTATATTTTACACTTTAAAAAACAGGACAACAAAACGAACCTTCTCTAAACATTAATTCAACTCAACACCCATTAGTCACCATGACAACCGAAATATCCAAAATCGTAAACATAAAGGACACTAGTCAGCTGATGCTAGTTCACAGCTACAGTTGTTACCAAACTTAAACTCGCTTTCAAGGGTAAACAAATTATAATTAACTAATCAATCTCTAATTTCTATGAATACTTAAATGATTACTTGAAACTCCGGTCGTACTGCTTTTGCGCACTAATCCGGACCGTCCAAAAGGGAAAGGGAAGTGGGGGAAAGGGTCACTTAATCCCGATCTCGTTTACGCTTTCATTGGGCCAGGTAGCTAACGTGATGGTATTCCCCGCTAGACATCTATTTGTTAACAAACCCTGGATAAATATTTGCAAATATGCCAATCGCCTGCGCCTACATTTATTTCTACCCTGCAGAGCATACACACGATTGGCAGAGACTGGAAACCTATTAACGTTAACATTCCAAAAGTGACACCTTCTTCAAAACTACTTGTATAGTGCGTATTTGGCAAGTTTGACAGTTATCAGCTAGAAGGGATGGAGAGAGTGACAAGGACTAAAGGGAAGGAGATGCTGGTGCACCTGAGCTTTAAATACAGGTATAAAAATATTTTTTTTTTTTATATAAATTCACTGTTTGGCTCCAATAGATCAGTCTAGAATATAAAAAATTCATGGCTTTATAGTAAAAATATAATATTTGAATGCTTACATATTTAATTACTGGTTAAAAACAGAAAACCCCTTCAATCTTCTTCAATTAATTTTCTTAGCAATACATCATAAAATCGTTTACATACGAATATCCAATATGTGCGTTCATTATTGCAATATTGTATGTTTAAATATACTTTCATGTGAATGTCTGTGTAATTGTGTTAATTGATTAAAATGTTATTAACTAGTTTTATGAATAATTTTATAGGTCAAGAAGTTTGTTGACTGAATATTACCGAGGTTTACGTCGACGAACAAAATGCGACTTCCCCTCCAGCTGTATGGGCATGGGCGACTGCAAGCCTCTGGAGGACAACAAACGCGTGTGAGGGGTTTCACTCCAAATTTAAAGCTGTTTGTGCATTGCCTCACCCAAACATTTTCAAATTTGTCAAATGTTTGAAATCAATTCAAATAGACTTGTGTATGTAATCATGAATAGTGCAAACCCCACCACCTGACATCGCAGCCGTGACAAAAAACAAACAAAAAATTTTCCAGTTAGGAGAGAATAAAATTGGGCGTATGGACTTTATCAAATGTGTGGGGTATAGAGCTATAGTACGGCCGCTTAGAAAGCGACCTTTTCTAGCATTGGTTTAGCATTAGTGTGCAGGTCGTTTTCTAAGCGGCCGAACTATAGTATTGAAAAATAAGATGTAAATATAGGGTAAGGTATTAATGTTTATAGTTCTTGTTTTGTTTGTAAATAATTAATTCAATTACATGTATAATATTGAAACTACTATATATATAATATACTCTTTTTCAAGTTGACTTTTGTTAATTATAAATATGTTTACATATCTATGGGGTTAACCAAATATACTGAGTATAATGTTTAATGTTTTAATAAGCCCATAATAGAATATTTAGAGAACAGCCATAGAAAATATTAAGATTAATATAGTACTTAGGTGTGACATCGTATAATGAGTGGGTACTACGATAACGTAGATGGTTAGTTCACAATCGAGTGTGATATTCAATAAGAAAGCATCTGCAAGTCACAACTCTGACCCATTCAACTCTGCATGTTAGATGACTCAAACTACTTATACGACAGAGCAGGAATTACAAACAGCATTGAGTACTGTTGAGTGCAATTTAATATTTGCCACATGTCTGTTTTTAATGTTATACTTCAATGATGAATACCAGATGGTTAAATTGTTAAATGTGTTGTTAAAAACAAAAATAGTCTAGCCTATGTCTTCTGAGTTGGTTCAATTAAAAGTGTTGAGTTTTATAATTCAGTTTGCCCTTTTTATTTTAATGAGCTAGGTGTTTTAATTTAGTGTCCAGGGAAACCACATATTTACAAGTACAAAAGGATATATTTTACAAAAGGTGCCGCCAAAAAGCGCAAACAAGATTTGCCTGATGGGATACCTGTGGGCCCCTCTGGGCTTGATGCGCAAACGAGAAAACATTTCTACCTGACAGAAGCTTAGTGCACATAAGAGATCCGCCCGAAACTCCTTTACTCATAACACTTCAAAGTAATGTGAAATTGAATACAACTTTACCTTTGATCTATCATCACCCATGACTTCATCCGAGAGATCTTTAATGGTTAGTTCCAATTTAGTCTTGTCTTTGAAAAGTTGTTGCTGTTCAACATTGAGAGTTTCTTTTTCTTCTTTTGCTATCTGAACTTCTTTCTTTGCCTCCTTCAACTTGCGAGCAATATTCTTAGCGGCTTCCTGGGCTGACTTAAGCTCACTTGTTAGTTTCTTCTGATCTTCATCAAAGTTACTCAGTTTTTCTTCAAGCTAAATAGAAAAATATACCATATTTTACTGAAATAATTAATGCAAATAATGACAGAAAGGTATATTATTCTTGGAACAACTTAACAGACCACTTGAAAGAAGAATCAACAGGAAAATCTGAAAATAGCTGTGGGGTATATACAAAGCCAAATCACATAGTGGCTGAACTAAGGAAACAAATTAGAGGGTTAAAAATCATAATAGAAAATCTGAAACTAAAAAAGCACACTTAAAATATGCCTAGTAGAATACAAACACAGTAAACTTCAATTTTAAACCAATATGATGGTTGAGATATTTATTACAGATGGAGATAGAAAATTAAGATTGGGAAGAATAAAGAGGTACTGTATTGAGCTAAAAAAAGAAAAGAAATAAGAAGACGTGAAATATAAACAGAATAAAGTTGTCCAATGCAATCTATAAAATAAAAATACTACAAATAAATAAATAAGGATAATCAATGGGATAAACAGCAATAGGTAATAAATGGTTGTTGACTAAGCATGACTAGCACAAGTGCCATTGAGAGTATTTTAACCTAACAAATATAGTTATTTAAAGGGCTTATATTTGTTACTTTTAACAACAATTATAACTTTGTTTATATATATACCTCATCAAGTTTTCTTTTTGTATCTTTTAGCTCCCTGTCATGTATGCAATACTCCAATGAACGTCTCATTTTATCCCATTTCTGGTATTCTTTCAACTCTTCTTTTTCTTCTTCAAGTGTCTTAAGGCGTTCTTCAATAGTGCGTAAAAATTCTTGGATCTTGTCAATTTTCCCTTCGGTTTCTATAAAATAAATTGATAACATTTATCAATTTCATACTTAAACACCTGGACATTCAGAAACCACCTTATGCCCCAGGGCATGAAATAATTAACTCAAGTTTGGCCTACTTAATGTTTTTGGGGTATTTACTGCAACAGTAGACAAGAACTCTGATTGATTAGAATTTTGTATGTTTCAGATGTCCAATCTTTAAGAATGTTCATCAGTGCATAGCCTATAGACCCATAAAATACCCCCGCCGCAGCAAACCTGCAGACTAAGCAAATTTCCATTAGCCTGAATTGATTTTAAATTAAATCTATTTAAATAACATAAGGTTTTATGACAGTTAGTTGTGGTTCTAGGACCATGTCAAAGGGGGGGGGGCTAACGGGGTTGTACCAAACCAGGAGGGGGGTTTGGGGGTCCTCCCCCGGAAAATTAGCAATTTTTTAAGCAGTTTGGCGACTTTTTAAAGCCACTTTCAATGTCTATAACTGTGTCTAAAAACCTGCCTTTGCATTTATATTTTGAAATTTATGATTAAATTTATATTTTAAAGGTCCAAGGGGGGTGGGCTTTAGCCCCAATAGCCCCCCTCCCTTGGAACCGCCACTATTTAACAAGTACCTAGGTTTGCTGCTACAGGGAGGCTAATAAAGTGTGATTTTAGTAAAATATTAGTAGCTTAGTATCAAATCAAGAATCAAGAGAATCAAGAATCAAGATTTGTCATTGACCTTTCTTTGTACAAAGGAATAGACATAGTCAAAACACATACAAAACATTCCAAATTAACAAATAAAATACAAAGTTTAAAAAATACTTAGTTAATTAACATATGAAATGTCTAGAGAATATGGATCATGTAGATACACATCAAAATTCAATATCAACTTTTGTTTTAAGAAATTCATGGATGCCATAGAAAGGATTGCTGATCAACCATTCACATAATTTAGATTTGAATATCTTGAAGGATACAGTTCTGGCTGAATCAGGCAATTTATTAAAAAATTAATACAGTTTAGTTTATGACTATTGCTACACTTTTTAAGTCTATGAGCTGTTATTTCTAACTGTAGTTTATTCCTTGTATTATGAGAATGAAAATCTTGTCTTATATTAATGAGAAGAATTTAAATGAATAAATTTGCCAAGTTTGATCAAAATATTTTTATAAACAAGCAGACTTCAACGTTTTACAATATTCTCCATAAGGATAACATGAGAATTTTAAATTTACAGTTTTTTTTTTTATTTTCTCTGTAACCAATGTACAAAAACACTTTGGCATGCAAAATTATTTATTTTTAAAGCTCTTTAAAATGGTCTAGAGAGAAATTAGGAAATTTTGTGTTTTGAGGGCTAAAATGAGAAAAACCTATTTTTACCCCATATAACCCCCCGTAAAACACTGTTCCCATGGTCTGATCATGCTGGATCGCAAACTCATTCAAGTTTATCCCGCCTTATACAGTGGAACCTGGATAATTCGAACTTCTTTAATTCGAAATCTTCTTTAATTCGAATTTTTCCCGTGGTCCCTAGCATTTTGTATTAAAACAATGCTAAAATAACGTGGATAATTCGAATTTTATTTTGGATAATTCGAATTTTTAAGTGCCAAATCATTAAATTATTACTCTAAATATATTCAAAAATAATAAATAAAAAACATATTCCAAGCCACATTTGACGAAATGTTTGCGTTAGAACAAGTGCCAGCCCTCGCGCGCCTGCGTTTAGTCTGATGACTCATACCTCCCCTCCCGCCACCGCCCTACAGGTCATTGTACCCTACACTCCCTTCCCCTTTCTCCTCTCCCACCCACCACCACTGACCTCTTTTCAGTGTCGCATTGTGCGTGGTCTGTATCGGTTTGCGTGAAGGCCGTTACCTAACGTAGTTTTGCTGTTGTCTTAGACTTTTAGTTTCAAGTGATTACGTGTACAGTACTGTAGTTTTAACGTACCGTACTGCACTACTGTATACATTAACTTTTAGTGAGTGTAACTGTGTAGTGATCATGGCATCAACCTCATCGAAAAAACCAGGGTCTTATAAAACTTTGACATTAGCTGAAAAAGTCGCTGTGATCAAAGAAGTGGAAAAAGGAGTCAAGAAAAAATCTTGACCGGCCGATGAAGAAGAAACGCCAGTACCGAATGCAGCCGACGCCATGACCTACCTGAGAGAAATTCGGCGATTTGTGGAGAGCAGAAATGATGTCGGTGATGTACAGTTTAAATCATTAGATGTTTTAGAATCATTTATCATGGCCGAGAGATTAAACTCAAAGAAACAAGCCAAAATCTCTTCTTTTTTTGTAAAACAATAAATTAGATTTGATATGTTTTTTGTTTAACAATCAGTCAATACGGTCTCCAAACTTTTAGTTCTCTTTGGCCGATATTTTTCTATTTCTGTCCTGTTGTCCTGTATAGGGCCTATTTTGCTTAATATTTTGCTTTGGACTATTGGTAATCGTGTGAAGTTTGCGTGCAGTTCAGCTATTGCTGAGGACATTTTAAGGTTAGTTAATTTTAGTTTTGTACATAATTTCGTTGTCGTTTGAGCGATTGCAAGTTATTTTTATTGTATACTATTACTGTAATAGGCATTATTCAATAAATTAATGTTCAAATAGTATCAATAAAGTTAATAGTTTGAATTTAAAACGTGTTTTTATTGTTTACGGCCCTGGTTATAAGAACTTATTTAATTCGAATTTTTGGATAATTCGAAGTTTTTAGCTGGTCCCTTGAGGTTCGAATTATCCAAGTTCCACTGTACCTTCAAACCAAATTTTATCAAAATCGGACAAAATTTTGTTAAATTTTGTTCATGGACGTATATAAAAATGTGAATGAATAGTGTTTTTCGCCTCTAGGGACATCAAAATGAAAAAGTATATCGGTCCCGGCTCCAGGTCTTACCGTGCCACCTATGGTAATAGCTAATTCCCTATAGGGAATTCTTCGCTAAAAACAAATCACACTTATCTGTCTACTTTCGTTTACCACATGCAGATATTATTCCTATTTCTTAATTGCCCTTAATATTCCTGGTCACAAAATGCCTGAAAGAGAGGGAGTCTGTTGTCCAAGGTTGCAGACACAAGGGTGTAAAACTTCAAAAATAATTTCATGGTAGGTTAGCCTCTGGATCGAAAATTGCAATATAAAATGGTTTAAGTTACCTTTTGTGTCAAACGATCCATCAAAAATAAACTAAACATATAATTGATTTCAGGTGAATCTTTGAAAAATTACAATGAATCCCAGAAGTACCAGGTGTCCGGGCAAGAGGTATCAAGAAATAACTATCTTGTGCAATATAAAATACCCCTGCCGCAGCAAACCTGCAGGCTAAGCGAATTTCCATTTGCCTAATTGGATTTACATTAAAATGTCTCCTTAAAAATATCACATTAATTCCCTATTTAAATAGCATTAGTTGAGCGGAGCGAGCGAAGCGAGAGAAGCGAGCGAAGCTCTTTGAGATCGGACCTTATGCAAACTATGTAATCAATTAACTCAATAACGGCTGAACACATTGAATCCAAACTTACCAGGGGTATTTCGACAAATATTTTTGATGTTACTAAACAAACAAATTTCAATTTGATAATACCTGTACACTTTTAGACTGAAATAAAATTTGCAATGTTTAACATTAGTCTTATGGGTTGCCATGTTGGTTACGAGATAACAACATAGATGTAAACAAAGAATCGTAGCGTATGTGACTCGACATTGTGTACCCACGGGCACCTCAGCTTGCACATGTGCAGATGGCCTAGGTACAGTTCCTGGGGTAACTGCTTGTAATTACAAAAGACAGTACAAAAGAAAAGGCCAGTCCGATGAACACCATTAAGCATTGATTAATAATGCAGTACACAGATTCGCATTACTATTACTGTCGGCCTTATACAAGCAAACTATTTCTTTTGGTGATTCTTATTTCTATTAGTTTTGTAGCAAATATTGCTTTATAACAGCAAAAGAAAATCTTCATTATTGAAAATTATAGAAACTGCATTTCCGAAGCAGGTATTCAGTATTTTCAAATGTTGATAACAGTAGCCTATCCTATATAAATACAGTTGCTAGGCCTGTACAGAAGTCACGTTGCGACTATAGTAATTATTAAATAAATACCTAGGCTTATATAGAAGTCCCACTTTTAACTAAGGTGTGCAAATAATTGGCTAGGCCTGTACAGAATCGGATAATGGGAGGTTCGGATTCGGATATTTTCGGATTTGGATAGTTCAGCGCAGTTAATAATAAGCTGCATATGCATTTTGAACCTATAAAACACTGTAAAGCTGTGTAAATAAACTTAAATGACGATTTTGAATCATATAGAATTTCAAATTAGCCACGTCCACAGTTTTTTCTCTCTTGAAAATCACACTTCTATTTTCACAAGTTGGTTGCTTGAATTAAGTACACTAGAAGCCGAAATCTTCACACAACACTTTAGCTCAGCAGAACTTATGTCAAAACGTTTGGGATTGTTTACTTGAGGTTATGTTTTATGTTGTTTCCTGGTTCTCACAAGACAAGGAGTTCTATCTCAAGTTTATTTTCACATTGTAATTCCTTACGTTTTTGGAACGGATTAAGTGGCATTCTGCGGGTTTGCCAAGTTTAGAAAACATCACTAATGCACTAAGCTGGGCTCTAGATTTGATGTTGGGGCAAGTTAATTAGGGCAATTAGGCTTTATAACTCTGTAAAAGGTGTGTATCCCTGAATTTATAAATTTCATTCTTCACTTATTCACTGTTAAACATAACTCAGTAGAACCTTATTGAACCGAGAATTACACTAGCCTACATAACTTCATTACCCCAAATAAATTACCAAGATGATTTTTTAAATTGTATTTGAATAGTATATAATCTTAGTCTGTTAAAAATGGATTGCGTATCAACAACTATTGCAGTCCTATATATTGTTATGCAGTATGGTCCCAAATTATTGTTTTTGATTTTGAAACATCACA